AACCGAAAACGCGGACTACTATCTCGACGCGATACTCGACAATCTAGTCAAGAAATTGAGGACCTAATACGGGCGCATATAACCCATATCTCGAAGGAGGATTTCTTTTCGGCATTCTATAGGGCGTATCGTACGACTATAGCTAAGTCGAATATCCAGGCAGGTTTCAGGGGGACAGGACTTATTCCGTACGACCCGGAATATGTGATTTCACAGCTGGATATTAAGCTACATACGCCTACACCTCCTGGGAGCTCGTCTGGCGCCCCCTTAATCTGGGAATCAAAGACTCCAAATAACCCAACCGAGGCGCAATCCCAGTCTGAATACGTTAAAAACAGAATCGTACAGCATCAGAATAGCTCCCCGACGACAATACTTACGGCTATTGACCAATTTTCACGTGGTGCGACAGCTGTTATGCATCGGTTAGTTTTACTTGAGCATGAGGTTACTACACTTTGGAAGGCCAATCAAGAGCTAAGCCGTCGTCGAAGGACTAAAAATCGACAGCTACAAGATGGAGGATCTCTTAGTTTACGAGACGCTCAGGACTTACAGTCTCAACGGGATATTGAACAGCAGCTACAGGATGATATACGTGTAAGTCGTCGTCGTATGAGGCGCTGTAGGATCTGCGGAGAGCCCGGACATAATGCTCGTACTTGTGAGAATGATAAAGATACGCATGAGGAAGAGGATTCCGATTAGTTTGAATTATTATTTTTTAGTTTAGTTAAGTTATTGAAGTTATTCATACGGTGCCAAGAAAAAGTGGCCAACTTGCTTGTGGGGTACGTTATAGGGAGAGAAGTAGGTTGGTCCTAACTATATATAGATAGGTACTTATAATACGGAGCAATTACACAATTTTTCCAGCTGCTTTTGAAGTATGCTTAAACTTGTCAAGTCGCCTTGTGATAGATAGCTATGGTTTGCAAATTTGCGTTCTCCTCGCTGAAACTCTTGGCGTACCACCAAGAATCACTTGTATCCCTAATTTGTCAGATATACGTGTAATTCCAGGGCAGGGCTGGAGCACGAGCAGGGGGTGGAAATAGCCAATTGTTTTACTGTATGCAATCCCACGCTGACTGCTGATACGCAGCACATCCTATTAGCTAATATCACCTAGGGTCTCGACGCCTATTATATGGCGCGGCAATTTGATTCTGATTGGATATGCGTACATGTGCGCCAAGAGTGTGTATTCGAAAGATCAATTGTTGGCTCTGTATCAGTCCTGGAGTCGCCGCCACAGGCCCCGTCAGGTAAGCCTGTAGGCTATATCCAGTCATAAGCCGAAGATTTTTGGGTCTATGTGTGTATGCATCCGGACGTTAGGGATTGATTCGAGCCAGGGGCATGAAAATACAGAAAACTACATATCAAGCACGGTAAATATATGCGAAATATCTACATAAGACAGCACTTAAACTCACTTGAGATTCTGTAAGTCGCCATTATATCGGACTCTTACCTACGGGAATCGCAGGTACGCCTTCGTTTTTTCATCAATGCTGTAAGTGCAGGTATATAAATGAATATATGTGGACAACTCCCACCTACATATACGATGAATGAGCGGTTACGATTCCCTACACTACTTATATTAGCGCTACTGTGATGAAGACGAGGTACTCGGCACTTGTGTAAGCAATGTAAGGGAAGTACCGCTTGAATATGGAGACTTAATACGGTACCATGTACTCCAGGATCAGTGCTCCAAAACGGTGCTCCTTCCATTTTCAATAATTCTCCGGTTCTGATCCCCGACTAGGGTGTTGCCTCGGGAATATCCACTACCACTTTTGGTGCTGCAAGCATTCTCTTCTGGTTACCGGTATTCCTAAATGCAAGAGTGTAAACCGCTAGATTCGTAGTTAGGTGGGCGACCAACAGCGAATCCCTAGTGTTGTATGTTTTACCAGTTTTAACACAATATTTTGTATCTATTTAAGGAGACATCAACATGATTCTTTTGCTTTCTAGCTCCAACGAAGTTAAAAATTGACTATAGTTAGTGCTTCTTATCTGCCACAGAAGTTGTTCGAGGCTTGTGTTCATTTGTGAGTGTTCTTCACTGGTGGACTGGTGTAAATTGATACAAAGACTTTTGAGGAATCCTTTTACAGACTGTTACATCCCGATCTTTCTGGTACAATCCGACAAATGGTTATCATCTACCCAGTTGTCACTCCGGCCGACGGAAAAACTTGATCGTCTTTTGCCAACTATCAACGTTAGTGTCCAGCACTTCCTTGCTCGCCTCAAGGCCTTCCCAGATCTTCGAAGGTAGAGCATATGTATGTCCGTCAACCCCAAGCATCTCGAATATCTTCAAAATTGCCTTCTCCGCAGCTGGCTGTATTGCCCTTCCTAGTGGTTTCGTCAGCTCAGATTTTTGGTCCACAGTAGAGTCTCCTGCGATAAACAAAGGGTCAATAACTGCAGCTGTGTCAGTATGAGAACACATATGTATATACACTGGGGAAAACATGGGCAAACTTACGCAACAGATTGCCTTCGACCTTTCTGTTTTCCTCTTCCCATACACCCAGAATAGGGTCAGAAGTGACTGGATTGATATTCGGTAGTCAACACTCGCATAGAAGCTTTGCATCAGTCTTTTCTGATCAGCGCTCAGCGGGGGTTAAATGATCTCGTTCCTTGGCGTTTAGTCCTGTTTGGACGGTACTGAATACGTAGCAGGCTTACTATGCTGCCGTCAACCGAGACACAGTTTGCTTGGTATTCCAGGGTCGGGCTATTGGCGAGACCTTCATGCTCACGCTTAAACTGCGTCCGCTCCTTATCGCTGGGAGCCGTGTTGACCATTTCCTCAAGACAACGCAGACCTTCCCTCTTGATATGTTCCTAATATTTTATGTTCTCATTCCCCGTTGCTGTATCGGCCTTGAACCGGGTTTTTGAACATGTTCTCAAACTTGTAGCTTTCAACATCAACGAATTCCTCCGAAGATTCGGATAGGTGCGGCCAATTTTTGTACTGGACGTCTTCGATACGAAGTTGAGGGGCCTCCATTGGGCGAACCAACCTGCAAGATTTTGACGGGCTTGGGGGGAAAGAGGAAACGAGATATAAAAGCCGCAACATCATGGGCCAGGAAACTTCTGGTAAAATTTTCAATAAAACCCCAGAAGTCGTGGCGTGGTTGTCCTAGTTTAAAAGTTATAGTGATCAACATCAGTTGGACGAACGGCGCCTACATAATCAACCAGCAAAAACGAAATTCAGATAATGATGGGAAGGCACATACACGCGGCGTACCTTACTTGAATCGCTAGCCAAGGTCTATCTTGGTGCCCAATACCATTGGATGCCACTGTTTACTATCAAGTTTCAAGCCCATTTGGTTGGCTCACGCAAAAGGGCACAGCCAATTGGTGTCATGATCTGGCAGCTTAGAATCTTGCTGCATGGACAGCAAAGTCATTCGGTGGTCATGTCAAATTGTCCGATCTTGAGAGAAGTAACAAAAATGATATACGATGATGTATTGCTGATTGGTGTAGGGCTGGCACCTTGATACTGAGGTTGAAGAACAGCAATGCAACACATCCCATCTTGAACAGCTCCACCGGGCCGGCTAGACGTGGAAACGGGGTACGACCTTCGCCGAGTGTGCGGCGCGCAACGTCCACGCATCCGGGCTTACCCAAGTTAGACAAGTGTCGATACTGGTGCCGCTTCCTTCGGGAGGGCGCCTGTCTGGGAATGAAGCAGCGTAGGCTAAGCGAACCTAAGAAACGTTGGGCATACAGCAGCGCATGGATAAGTCCCATAGTTCAAACGGACTGTGATGTAAGCCGGGCCAAGATCTTCCCTTGGTCTTGCTTCGATAAACCTTCCGCGCCTCCATGGAATCAGGCGGCGCGTGGACCTGTGCAGCGGCTCGACTTACAGCTTTTGCCCAGGAAACCTCTGTTGAGATTAATATCAAGGAGAATTGGCTGGCGATGTATTAGATAGTCAGAAAAAAGTTGAGTTCTGCATTGGACAATATGGCGATCAAACAATCTTGATCCCAGCGCGGGAAACAGCCGTTATCAAATATGGAGTAAAGCACTGGAAATTCTTAAGTAGTTGATTTGGTGAGCATCCATTCGTGGCGGGCAGTTTTTGGAAAAGATCTACCATTGCCCATGCTACTACCATTGAGTGCAACCATATGGACTCGGGTGCCCGTCTGATGAATGATGTTCACCATTAGATACCTAAGTGTTGGTCGATGCACGGCTACGCTGAGTAGCACAGCCGTCAAACATTGCAAATTTGATACGATAGCTGCTCGGCCCGTTCAGCTGTCTTGGGGAATAAATCTGGGGTAGCCACACTTGTAAGGCTGACAAGATTCAGTCGCATTAGCGTTGGGATCCAAAGTGATAGTCATGATAGGATTAAAAGGCCCCTCTAGATCGAGACCCGCCTGCTAATATCGCATCGCAGAGCACCACTGCGAGCAGCTTATCCGATTTGGAATGGAGAGGTTACTTGATTCGAGTACATGATGATTAAACTAGGATCGGCCGAATGTGAGTGGTCAAGGGGAATCATTCTGATAGCACGAAGCGCCGAGAATGGAGTTTTCACGCATCATACTCGAGGTGCAAAGAGCCAAGCGAAAGTTTGCCATAGGAAATACTCGTTTGTGGCATCGGTTTGCCCATACGTCCTCAGAAGTGAAAAGGTCTGCAATACACGATACTGTAAGTTTCCCGGGACATATGTCGCACAAATAGCAATACAAACAGGAATGCAACCACAAAAGGTATCAGGGCACAAACTTCGAACTTTCTGCTTTTGTTAAGACCAAGTTCACCCAGGAATGACAATGTAGAAGCTCCTGTCAAGCAAGCTTGCCTGGTACGCACCTGAGGCGTGGATATGAACCCACTTTTCACGTGAAGCTAAAAGCGGATGACGCTAGTCTAAAGATGGGCTAGCCTTGGTTTCGGTCATCTCTTCACACTCTCGCATTCTTGACATCCTCTCCTGTTGTCCCCGGGATTTAATCAGAAAATAATCAGAAAATATCGCCTACAAGTCCCTGGCGAATTGCACCCATCGGTACTTGGCGACTGATGACTTCCCGTGGTGGATTTGGATGATTCCACCTGTGTTGTGGTTGCTGCTCCCTCGACAGGCTTTTTTTGCGGCAAGTGCCACCAACATCAGGCCAGTCGACAACCAGTTGCACCTTTCTCGCGAACGCGGAGCCTGCCCCAAAAACGCGACAAACCCATTCGGCACCTTGAGCTTGCTGCCCAGGCAACTGCGCAAAAATGGCTTCGCCAGCCGTGGCACTTCCAAACGGCGTGCCCGAACCACCGCACACTAACGATGTCGAAATGACCGACGACGCGCAATCTGCCATGAAGCGCAAACGCGACCATGAAGCTGAGCAGCGCCAAAACGGAGTCGGCAGCACCACCACCAACGGCATCTCGATGTCGCATCTGACTGAGCGCAACAAAGCCGCCATTCGCGATTACTTCGTCGTTCTCGAACAGTTAGTCAATATCTCATCGACCCGCACGTGTGCTACCCTGCCCTGCCAGAACCTACCAGCCACCCATCTCCTCGTGATAATAGACTAACGACGGACGATTTGTAGCTATGATGCACCACCCCACGTCCTCAAGCGCCCATTGCCTGATCAGGATTCTGCCGGCGAACCATCTACGAAGCGAAAGAGAGCTGAGGATGGGCTGTTCTTGCCGTGCGTTGCCGACAAGGTAGCTAGGGACGAGTATACCGACCTGGAAGGCCTTGTCACCGACATCAAGGCATGTGCCAAAAGCCAGGTCGCTGAGCTACGATTGTCTGAGCCTGGTAAAGACACCAAGTCGAACGATGCGGCTATAGCGAGGACACTTGCTTTTGACCAGAAAGCGCACGAGCTGTATTCGCGCGAGATGGCATATCCTCACTCGATAAACAACCCCGAACTCCTTTCATCTCTCGACCAGGGTACCAATCTCCAATCGAACGCAAGCGGCAGCATGGTCCTCACCGTACACGGCGAAGCTCCAAGAGCGAGACAGTTGTATTCTAGTCTGCAACAACCGGTCGTTACACCCGACAATCTCCAAGGAGCAATCCAGCCTCTGCGAGAGCTTGGTCTACCTAACGGCGTCAAAACGGCCAAATCCATGGCTTACTCGTTTGCGTCGAGCGTGGCAAAGGACAAGAAGGGCAAGACTCTGGGTGAGCTGTTTCCAGCTCCGCGAAACTTGCCTTCACTGCAACCTCCAAAAGCGCCCAAGAGCACCACGAAAGGAGTACAAGTCGGCTGGCATCATCCGGAGTTGACCGAGAAGTCTAAGTACCGTCAAAATTCATACTTCAGCCAAAATATCTCAGCCGGTCAGTGGCTTAATTACAGCAACGCCGCTCCTCCGTCGCAGACCATGACGAAACAACGTGAGAGAGCTTTGAGTCTGGCTGGCAACAAGCCGTCATCATCAGACCTTGAGATGTCCGAGATGGAAGCCCTCTTCCGCGGTGCCTTCTCCAGCTTTGCCCCTTCCAAGGATGACTCGGCCGCTATGGTGTCGGCCGGCCTCATCAGTCAAACCATGTGGTGGCAGAAGACTGGAAAGCGCAACTTCGACCGCCTGATTGGAGCTGAACTGCCAGAAGAGGACGTTGAGAACGCCGTCAAGCAGGATGATGTGCAGGTGGAGCTGGACGAAGACTTGATCAATGAGGCAATTGAAGCGTGGGATGAAAACAAGATCGACCCTAGTCTTCTTGAGAAGACGTGCTGTCCCAAAAAGTCCGATGAGGAAAAAGATGTCGACCATGTTCTCCAAGAAGTCTCCGACATGATCCAGACTCTGATTTCATTCCAAAAGAATCGCAACTTGTCGCTGTCTTCGACCACAACTCAGAGTCGGTACGCCGCCGATCCGGCTCATAGCGATATGTTGACCAATGGCACTCCTGCGCAGCCAAGCGAGGAAGAAACAGCGACGTATGAAGCTCTCAAGGCCCAGCTTGCTCTTGTTGTTCAAATGTTGCCACCATACGCTGTAGCGCGGCTTAATTCCGACAAGCTGGGTGAACTAAACATTAGCACGAAATTGGAAATTCGCGCAGACGAGTACCAGGGGCTCATGGATGAAGACGAAGTAGCCGTACGATCTAGAGCCGCCCAGCAAACTACCCCTGGCCCTCGACCCCCTACGCACCGATCGTCGAGTTCATCGAGCAATATGCAATATGGGGCTCAGTACTCGGGTGTCAATCGCGCCGCAATGCCAAGCCCCGGCTTCTACGGCGCGCAAACGCCTGCTGCCCGTCCGCCTTCCAGCATGCAGCGACCACCACCCACCATGCCCCAACCACCGTACCAGCGTCCCCCGTCGAACGCTGGTTACCGTCAGCCGAACTCATACCCAGCCAATACCAACTTCGCGCAACATCTGGCTAAGGCCCAGTCGTTCGGCCAGTCCACTCCGTACTCCGCCACCCCACCTCAAAGCCGCCCGCAATACCAGCAACAACCGCCTTACCATAACATGGGGGGCGCCAACAACCCTCCGGCTAGATACCCAACCCACCCTCCAAATTCGCAACCCACTTACCACCAGCACTCATACCCGCAACAGCACCACCAGAGCGGCCCGCCTGCCCATCCGCCATACAGCTCGTACGCCAATGGCGCTTCTCCAATGCCTCAACGACAGTCTCCGCAGGTTGCTCACCAACAACCGCAGTACATGCCACAGCAAGGTTATAATCTTAATGCGACACCTTCGAGACACCCTTCTTATGGCAATCAGACACATATGACAAATAACTCGCAGCAACGACATACTCCCCAAGCCGGCACGCCTCAGGCGCAAGAGGGTACACCCAATCAAAACAATGTGCAAGGGGCAGGTTTCCAGACGTCGCTGAATGCTAATCAGGTTCAGCAAGCTATGAACCAAGCCAGGGCACGTTTCGATGCGCAGAGCAAAGCTCAACGACCTGCCATTGAGGCTGCGCGCAACCCGGGCCCCCCCGGTCAGGGACAACAAGTTGGTGCACCAGTCGGACTACCAGTCGGACTACCAGTCGGACTAGGCGGCATTGGCCTCGGAGCTGACGCGGCTAGGATGGCAGCTGCTAGAGCCAATATGCCAGGTGGGATCAACCACAGTACGCCTAGTCCAAGACCACAGGCAAACTCGCCGGCCATACTTCAAGCGCCACCTGCCATGAACGGTAGCCCGGCGGGTACGCCGTCTGCCTCTGGTATGTCACAAAACGGAGCGACTCCGTCTCAGCAAGGAATTTAGGATCATTTCGCGCAACGGGCTCCTCCGGAGTTTGCGCGCCGCTACCCGGGGATCTTGTCTCCACCCGACATGTTTCAACCTAGGTGGGTTTAGGATGCTTGGTATCACCCTTGTGAGACGGTTGAAGTAGGGAGGGACGGTGTAATCGTACAGCGATGAACGGACGGGCGATGTGCCAGGATGTGGCGTTGGATTTTGCTTTACCCGGATACATCATTCGGCCGTAAGGATCACGGCTTGATTCCCCTCCGCAAAGCCGGTGGTTTAGAGGGACGGGATCCGGTGTTGATTACAGAAAGACAGGTTTCTCTTTCAGGGCAGTGTCAATGATCCCCCTTTGTTGGTTTGAGGCCGGGTTTTGGCCCATGTATAAACAGTCTAGCTACTTAAGTATCGACTTAATTCTGAAAAGATGTCGCCACTTTCGGGCTAATTTTGACTTGTGGGATTGCCTTCCGACCCTTGTGAATATCAATGGGGTGACTGATAGGTAGACTCTGCGTCGTGTCAGTCGTCTAGGACCAACCTGCATTTGCTCGTTCCCCCTAATTGTCGTCATCGTGGTAGCTTCTCTGCAATACTCAACCGCAAAAATACAGGACGTGCTCTTCAAGGTGGTATTTTTTGCTCCAGTCTTGTCGTAATTACTCTGCTATCACTTCGCCACCACTTAGGGTTGCCAAGTTGTTTACTCCTTCTCTCCCATTTTTCGCCAGCATCCGTACACTCAGTGAATGGGTATCAGCAACTCCGCCCAAACCCCTAACAATCATCGGAGTCAACCTAGCACACATTGTTCAACGGCCCGGCGAATATGAAGATTGCGAATAGCTCCAACGCTTGGTTGTAGCCCTCAATACCACAATGAAATACACGTGTGCAATTTCAGCTGGCCCTTATGAAAATTTAAGGAAATCTTCTCTTTTCAGTCAATCTTTTTGGCACCTTTTATCATGACCGCGACTACGACCGCGACAAAACATCCAGTAGTTCTCTTTCGTTCCTCCGCAACTAGTCATGCTATCGTAATTCAGGTAGAATAATCCACTGGGGTCCAGAAAGATCTCGGTGATCATGGGCTGCATTGTCGACCATGACGGGGTCCCTTAACCCGTTGCTGTCTATCCTTAGTATCCATGGTCTGCAAGAATACAGCCATGAAGATTCCAACGCATTATCAGCCAATGACGCAAGCGGCCGAAAATACGAGATTGTCAGAAACCGAATAATCTAGAGCTTATGACGCAATCCTTCGAGCGCTGAAGCCACAATACGTTGAACTTCAGATGGGCCGGGCTCCTGTCTTTTTGCGACACATTGAAGAGGACGACGACCCCAGAGCGATGTACCGATACGCCCGCATTCTTCAAGGCATTTGGAAGTTCACGCAGTAGTGCCACCTTCGCCTGGGCAAAGGCTCGAAACGGCAGGAAGATCAAGACTGCAGACGAGGAGCATGAGGACTTGCAAAACGCCCAAGCTGACTCCAAGGGTGAACTAGAGAGAGGAGAAAGCATTCGAGAGCAGTGCAACGCCAAGAGGAAGAAGGCACTCAATTTCGAGGAGCGAGAAAATCTCAATAAGGCTTAAACAGCTCATGACTAATTGGAGACACGAGGGAGCTTCATCCGGCACAATTACCAGATGGGAAGAGCGTACTGAGGTTGATTGGATGCCGATCGCTGTCGCACGCCGGACCACCTTCAATATGCCGAGCACTACCCTAACCATACTAACCAGAGAGAACTTTTTCCCACATGGTGTGCTATTGGAGTTGATGTACGCAACGTAGCCAGTGCTAGCAAACAGATCCTCACCGACCGAGATTGCCAACAACACTACCAACCATAACCGCAACCTCACGATCCCAGCCTCCACTCTTCTCCGAGTCTGCCTTTGCACCCTTCCCCTTGTTGACACTGACCGTACTTGGCGGCTGACAACCACGAATGACGCATTTCCTGATAGCATCACCCACGTCATTTCGCCGTGACTTCAATGTACGAGCCGAGACACCGCCCCGGTTGGCTATCTCCACCACCCTTGTCGAAAGGCTGCTTGCCATGGAACGCCAGAAGTACGACGCCAACGAGCCCGTTTCTAGGTATGCCAGGAGCGGTTGGAGCAAGTTCGACTTCTCCGAGCTCTGCTTCTGGTGCAGCAAGAGGGGGTGCGTGGGCACCTTGGTGGCGTCCAGGATAATCTCCAGCGTCACGATATTCTGACAACGTGCCGACACCTCAGCAAGTGTCCGATCCAGTGACGGCAGCGTGGCCAGAGACCTAGTCAAAGATGTGATGGAGCTCTGCAAGGCGTTCCGCAGATAAACCTCCAGCGCTTGAAGAAGCAATTGCGGGGTCCACTTGTCATGTTTCGCGACTGCCGTTGGTGATATGAGGTACAGCGTGATCATAGCCGACACAGTACGCGCCTTGGTCTCCTCGCTCTGCGCAAACGTCGCGGTGCCAGTGGCAGATCCAATGGCGAACTCCCGTATGATCTGCTCGGACGTGGTCCGCACAGAGCGCTCAATGGGCGCAATGACGCTGTCCTGTAGGCTCCGGATCGCATTGACTCTGTTCAGCCCATACCCTTCCTCGCCTGGCCCGTTTCTATCAAGAACTTCGCGCAGGGAGATCAGCGTATGTGCGCAGCGAGTCAAAGCTCTATGGTCCTCCTTCTTTCCACCGGCTGCAGCAGAGGCCGTACTGGATATTTCTGAGTGTTGCACCTCGAGTTGCCTACCCAATTGCAGACAGCGGCCGACCGCCCGTCCCAGTTTCAATGTTTCCCATAGCCGAGCTGCGACTTGCCGCACCTCGTCGGCCTCTGCATGCTTCTGTATGACCTCCTTCTCGAGCTGTTTGTAGCTCTCATTCAAGCTCTTGACTTGGTTGTCAATTTCGGATATGATCTTCGTGCTTGAGTCGGTCTGCTCTTTGGTGTGCGTTAAGAGCGGTATTGCGGAGCGGGTCGTCAGCAGATCAATGTGCGAATCTATCTCCTGGGCGTCGAAAAGGACCTTCGACAGTGGGGTCGAGAGGTCGAGAGGCGTGTCGTTAGAATTGTTCGTCGCAAGAACGAGAGTGTTCGCGAATAACGAGGGGCTGAAGCCAGGGTCCAGGAATGCCTCATAGTCAATGTACGACGGCTCGTCGTCTTCGTTAGCCGTCATATTGAAGTGTAGTACTGCGACTGGCAAAGTTGCGACTCCATAAAGATCATGTGCAGATTGATGCCAGCATAGCTTCCCCGGAATGGTTGGAGCAACGTTGATTGCCACCCCACTCCAAGATCAACCCTACCTTAGCCACTCGGTGTCAGCCACACAGCCATTTGCATGGTGCAAGTCTGGTCGTATCTTCGCCTACAATGTCAGCTCTGAATTTTTTGAAGAGCTGGTATTCACTGAATACAATCGACTATGGCTGCAAGTGGGAAAGATTACACGAAAATTTCGTACAAATCAGAGTGCAAGTGTGTTTTTTCCTAAGTATTCTCGCCCTCTTACACTTAGAAGGAAGGGCCTTGCCTCCATAGGGGGCGTCTACTATAATCCCCCTTGGGGCGGCATCACAGAAACTGTGAAATACGCTTGATGGTGGTTCTGAATCAAACCCAAACACTTGACGAGGCGCACCTGTAACTTTAATCGAAGCCAGAAACGAGCATCTTCTCTCTTGTAGGGGCGTCTAGCCTATTCTCCAATGGATAATCGCCCACTCGTCCAACAGTATGCATAGTGACAATATAACCTATATTTTGCGAGGCTGACTTTTCCACAATCCTGCTAGCAAATTTTAGTTTGCCATAATGGCGGCATGGGGCCAGGTTGATCCGTTAGGAAGTCACAATGCTGTGCTTAGGTTAACTCTCTGCAGCTAAACCTGAGACAAACCGGAGAGTCCGAGACATCAAAAGCCCTGGCCAAATCTTGCTATGATTATCTCGCTCTTTTGCCTGAACTTTTACCTTATCTGCTACAAGACCTGTCCTCCTTTGAAGTGGCCAGCCAATGCACGTAGCATGGTGGTGCGCTGTATGAGATTTATTGCCTGCAGAACGCGGTCGTCTACAGAGCGGAAGTACCCATCCTCTCAGTTATTTTTACGTGCCCTAGGCGCGCCGGCTGTGTACTGGGTGCAACGCAGGTACTAACTGCCCATATGTAGTCGTTGTGTAGCTGCAGAATCCTGGGAGTTAGTCCCATCAACAATACAGTGGTTTTGCTGCTCGGATGCCTGGTCTGTGGTCCAATTGCTATCCCATTCTTGTTGTTTTACTGGGTATAAAAAGGTACGTAAGATGTCAGATAATTGCGAAAGATCTGGGGATGGCATACTCCGATATGAACGCTCGTCACCCAAAGAACCAACACCTCTCCTTCTAGACTACGGGATTTCAGACATGCTGCGAGTGGAAGTATCCAACGTACTTTTGCCGATATGTCCTTACACTTGCTATGGGAGACCTCATCCTCGGCCACGTTAGTAGTCGTCTCTGTTCTGGCTTCCCCTGCGCATGATCCAGTCAAAGTGGGTCTGCAGTCAACTTCTACATGGCGAAGCATGTGCCAGACTTCCAACGCATGCTCACACGACGCCAGTATTGTCATTTTACACAATAACGCTATGACGAGTTGTTACGGCGCTTTTGTGGGATTGTGTGGATGAATCTGGTCCCGGTGATCGTGGATTATCAACCAAGAAGTAGTTAAACAGCATCCTCGAGTATAGCCACTCCTCTTAGTGTATGTAAATAATCCAAACGTACGAGTTTATGGCACAGGGGGAACGGCTCGAAGTTGAATTCTACCAGCTCATCTAAAGCTAGTGGCCCATCAGGATCCCGTCCAACAACATAGAGATGGCAACTACCGATGAGATCTTAAATTTGGGGTTTCAACCGCAACTGTTGTGAAATCATCTTTCAAGCCACCCTGCTTAGCGACCCTATCTCTTATGAGACCCAAACCACACATGCAAACTTCTTCTTAAGGCGAGATGTACATGTACACTGGTGAGACACGCCTCATAGGCCGAGCATTTCACTCGAAAATGTGTGGCTTGCTCAACTGTGCTTTTTCACGGCTCGCTCAAGAACTTTTACGCGTTTGATCTTTCGTTCTGGATCCCCACGCCCTCTGCGGAATCTGGTGTCACCTAAATCCACGTAGTATAAGCATGATGCAGATTTTGTCAACTGTACTGTCACGATTTCCCTGATTTATGATGAAAAGGTCAAGCCTCGTACAAAATAACTGCCTATCTGCACCAAATATTCTACCAAAAGTCGATACTTATCTCATCAAGCCAAAAATATTTCCGTTCCCGTTCCGGTATCTGATTCTGGAAAGCACATCGATAGCTATTCTATTACATTGGACAACGTGGTACGTCACATCTGGACAGCCTGCATAGTTACTCCGAAAGTACCGATTTTTTTCGTGCCGTTTGTGCATGCTTTGGCTTCTTCATATATGCCGCACTGTGGAAAGAGATTGAACGGTTTGAAAAAGAAACGCGCGAGACGTGTGAGAAATGTACTCATCCACGCAAGAAGGCAACAATGCTATAGTGGTCTTGTATATTGTGTGTATATCCTGCGCCAGCGAGAACCGATGCCGAACATGGCATACTTCGAGACCGGAAACCACTTTGAGGAAGTTGGCCGGCCCTCCAGTTTACCAATACCGCCTGGTTACGATGACGTTGAGGGGCCGCGTGAGCCACGACCGCACAGCCTGTTACTCCTTTTAACGGCCCGTTCCATCATCAAATCATCCTAAGTTAACAATAGGAAAGCAACGCAAGGGCTGTCTCAAAACAAGGCCTCCGCAAGTACAGGAAACTGATAGGTTGTAAACATTAAACCCGGTGGGGAGGCCAAAAGGAAAGGTACATTGTCTCACCAATTCTCACCAACCGTGCCAACCCAGCTCCAACCCAAAGGTAGCCGATTATGTGGCCTGCTTCACCTCTGCTACTCATAAGTCGCACGCCTAATCAACGCCACAAAACTGACCTATTGCCTGGACAAATTCCCTCATGTCTCTATGCTCTAATTATCCGCGCCGCCCCGAGTCTCTGTCTCTGTTCTAATTGTCCACAATGGATATCTTACTCTTGATAGTAAGCCCCAGCCCCTCCAGCTCCTCCACATCCGCCGTAATATCATCTCCCATCCCACGATCCAGCGCGAACAGCGGATGCTCGTCAACACGGCCCTTTGTGACCAAGTCACGCACCCACGGGATCCCAAGGGCCGTCCAATTAGCATGGTCCGGCTTCATATAATCCTTCTCTAAATACTCGCGGTCGACCGTGCCTAGGCAAAAGTTGACCATGACAGGCCATCCCCATTCCTCGGGTACAGACCCGGCGTCAAGGTTATAAGCGATCTGTACACCGCAGCGCTTGCAGAACCAACGACTGCGCACTGGTGTTGATTTGTAAAGCCCTAACCATGTTTCTTTGTGAACTGTGTTTGTGTGGTCGAACATCTCAGTGCCCGGAGTCCAGGTGTGTTCGTTGCCGAGCGCTTCGATGTCTGCTAATGTTGGGGCTGCAGACACCTGAACGCTTGAGGTAAGGGCCATCAGAATGAACGACGGAAGCTGCGCGGTGGCGTGGCGACAGTCATTGCAGTGGCATATTTGGGTCACTGGTAGACGATGATCGCCGATGTCGCCTCCTGGCGTACAATAAGGGCTCAAGACTCGGTCTTTATGAGGCGGGACAGATATGCGATATCGGATGGCTTTGCAGTTGCAACCACCATGGATGGTGAATGGCTCTCGTGGTAACGGCATGATGTTTGTTCAGCTTTTGTGAATCTCGCGGTTTTGACGGTCGTTGGGAAACCCTCGGAGTACGATGCAAGAGTCCCAATGTTAGGGCACACGAAGAGATATAAGTGTGATGTGTTTAGGTAAGCTAGAGTAGTGCTGATGGGCTGGAACCAAGTAGTAGTAGTAGTGGTGGATACGCACAAACCACCTCTGGAAGGAATCCTAGTACATATTTGCCTACAGGCTGTTCCATGTTTATGTCTGGATTGACGGCTACCACCACGGCTGTACGCCTGCAGCGTTGATTGCTGTCACCTTTGGAGGGTCAGCATAGCCTATCTTGACCGCAGATAGGTACTTGGAAAGACCATGCGTAATTGGATCAGCACACGAGATGCGTCGGAATTCAATAATCCAGGTCGGACTTTCGACTTTGCTGTCGTCAGCAACCAAGTAAGAAAATCATGATGCGCGGCAAAGCGTATGAATTAGACAAGTCGAGAAACACCCCCTGCCCCCTCCCCCAAATGAAGTTCTGAGTTATGTGTCATGGCATGATTGGTATACGCAGGAGTGTGTCTTAGTATCGGCAGTTTCTAGAAAGACATACCCTGAAAGCGTCGTCGGCGCAACTAATCATGAGCAGATGTGACGAATATATCGCAGTTTAGATTGCGACGTGAATATACATGTATGCTGCAGACGTGAACGACCCCTACCAACTATAGCTCCGAACCACCAGTCCCGGCACCGTTGCCACAATCCCACTCAACTCTCCAAGCACGCCCAACATCTTAGAGCACCAATCATAATCCTCATCCTTCCTCTCAACTCTAATCTTCATAACCTATGCAACTTCCCATCCCCCCAACGGTCGAAACCAATGCAGTTTGTCTGCTTACACATGGGGTGGACTTTGAGGTGGATGCACGACCCATTTCCGCACCCTAACTTCTCAGTCACCGCGATCTTCAAGTAGGATTTCAGCCAATTCTCACTGAAATCGCCAGGGTACAAGTGCAGTCAGATTTTAGTTAACAATAATTACAATTGCCTTTCGCTTATTGAGCTACCTTGAGTCTCACCGCCTCGTCTGATATGATCTGCTTCAATTTCGAGAAACTAAGCTCGGAGGCATGATTTCGCTCCTTTAGAGCCTTCCAAACCTATTCAATTAGGTCCAAATCTGGTAAATGAGCGAGGTAGTTGATCATCCCAATACCGCAATCCTATAATGTAAGGGAATGAATGCAGAGTATAAGCAGCGATTTCTCATTGTTAGTGGGGCTGGTATCCATATAGAATGACACTGGTCGTACCCCCCACCATTTGACCAAGTCTGTCAGGGGCAATCCTTCCTCTATCCGCAACGGCAATAATCGCGTCCACGACCTCGTCCTTTTCATCCTATCTGTTGAATTGCCCTGCCGTGTGGAGGTAGAACTTGTCGGTATATGCGATTGTGCCGGCGGCGAAGACATTCTCGTTGGCATATCCGTTGGTGTCGCACCTGTCTTCGTGGCCGATGTTATACGACAAATGTGTGATATAAGTGGGTGAATTATGCTACCTTTTCCTAAGGCGGTGGTTTGGTCGTATTTGAGTGATACGTATTTTGGAGAGATATATTGTAGGAATGGATTTTCTTGGTTGTCAAAGCCTGAGGACAAACTGGTAGGACTAGTGAAGTCGACGGTGATTCAAATTTTGACTCTCGAATGATGTGATCGAAGACGAGAGAGCGTTCGTTGCTGACGAAGGGATTACTGTGTTGCGGAATGATGGTCCTTCAAACCTGGTGATGATCACCCTTTTATCTTCTATTGCTTCGAATAATGGAAATCGTACGGTATGAGTTTCTTGTTGAAGGCTTGATTTCTAGGATTTCTCTATCCATCAACGTCGAAATCCCTAGAGAAGATATCGTGGTAGCTTTCTTTTTCGTTACTTTTCATTTCGTTTTTGGAGTTTACACTTTGAAATAAATTCATATTAATGTCTTTGATTTGATACTACTCAAATATATGAATCCTTACAATAGCCTCAGGTCTGCTGGTCGTTTTTGATTGAGTATTGAGCAGATATAGTTACATAGTCCTAGTCGATGGTGCAGACACAGCTGCCGGTAAAACTGGGAGGGGCCAAAAAACAAGCGCAACCGAAATTGCACCCATCAAGAGTTGACCACATGCAAGAGGCAAGGACAACCGGCACAACAGCCAAATTATACGGCATGCGGGGCACATTCACAACTGATGAAGACACATCCCCTTAGATCAAGATTCTCAAACGTCATAACATCGTCAGCTGAGGACATAGTACCACTGAAATCTCCGGCATTTTCTGAAATGCCCAAGGCAGCCTCTGAACCCCCAGAACTATCACCGTCATCCCTGCCAGCGGAAATTGACGATCAAAGCCTTAGCGACTTGTTAGAGGAGCAGAAGCGTGTGCAGGAAGAAGCGGCCAGACTGCGGAGGTTGCAAGCATTGTCAGAGGAAGAGTAGAGGCTTAAGAAAAATATTGAGCGGGTTAGTGAACGGAACGGGTGAAGCCAAAAGGCTGCTCGAAGATCTTCGGGTGATGATTATCTTGTAATTTAGTTATGATCAATGGTAAGGATGGGCTGATGACTCAAAATCACATCTGGCATTCGGAATGGGGGGTGAATCTACCCGCTGAATGATATTCATGATGGCGTTGTTTTCCAGGGACGGAGAACTTGTATACTTTCCATATCACGTGCGATTGCCAGGTATCTACAAGCATGAGCGGTGAATCTCAAGGCATTCCAGGAACATAACCAGTAGCCGGATCTATCCACGTTTTATACTCGTCTTTCCTTGACTCTGAAACGGTCACATCAAGCGAAAATAACCAACAAGCCAAATAAGCTGTCACACAAGATCAAAGGCGCAGTAGTCTTGACATTCGCATCTGACCCCGTGAGCTTCATGAGGGAAGTCTGAAGATATTGGGAACTATTAGGTGTAGCTAACCTAACTCCCCACACAACCTAGTACGTTGAAACCCATTCAAAGCTCGTCATGATTGAGTACCACGCATGGTGAATTCTGGTGCTTTTACATTGGCAAGAGATTCGTATCGGCATGGGTTATGGTCCTATTAATTTAGATGGGCACCGTAGCAGATAACAGTGTTTGTTCTTTGGCCCGACGGCCATGATCAGGAACTGAGCGAAACGTCTGCAATCTTCCATAGCGCAATCGCTATGCTGTGGATGACATGAAGTTCTTGGGAATCGGAGCCGTCATCCCCATGCATGAGAAGTATAATGTCGTTTCCACCAAGCGATGAAAGAGTGCTCGTGGAAGCTTATCAAGATATATTCTTGCGGCCATCTAAGCGCTTCCTCGCCGCCTGTAACATATAACACATTTTCTTTCCCACCAAGTATGAGCATGTATTTGAGTCTGGTCTTATTCCTCCTTGTCGCCCAACTCATGCTTTGTGCAGTAAGCCATGCACGGTTCGCAAGTCAGGAGAATCTCCTGGCCCATCCATGAGATCATTGAAACCTCAGTGCAAAACTCTGTCCCGACAACAGAAATACCATTTCTGGGAGTAAAGTGTACGTCTGATGGTGTTATCAAGTCTTGCTGGGTCCAGCTTTGAGCAAGACAACCCCGTTTATGCATTTCTTGGGCCGTGGATTCTTTATTGGCGAAGAAGTGTATGCTAAGGAAAACCTCTAGGGAATTATGACATCGTTGAGCCATGTAATGCCGCGGCGGATGATTTGCTTGAGTGCGGGCACCCGGTTGGACTTGTATGCCGAGATGAAGCTATCTTGCATCTTGACCATCACAACCCAAGCCGGGAGCACAATGTTACGGACCAGATTATCCACGAATATCGGCCCCAACAGTCTCCTTTAACCTTGTCAACCGTCCATCAAACCAAGCCTTCTGCCACGCATCAATCTTACCACCCATGATGACGCACGTCGACGGCTCAAGGAGGAGAACCCCTCGCGCAACGATGGCCCCCTTCTTGACAATTATTTTCTCGCCAATATTGAGAGTGCCGATGCCAATTTTATCAATCCGCTTCAACTCCAGACCATAGACCTTATTCCCCTTGCAGTCCTGCAGAACAAGTCGGTGCGTCGAGTTCTTCGGCGTCCCGGATCCCGCAGCGCCTCCTCTCCCACCAGGCCTTGCAGTAGAAAGATTCTGCGTGGCCAAACTACCGTACCCCAGTTCTTCTTCTTCCTCACCGTTAGTGGGAAGGCGAATCATTTCTCGGCCTGTGGTTTGCTCTCCTCGAGCAATGGCCTCTAATTCCTCGACTTGCTCCCATTTACTCTTGGTAAGGTTATCAATATCCAGTACCTGAACTAATACATCCCTTTCCAGCTTGGTTTCTTTGACTTCTGGGTTGGCAATGTTGGCAGGGAAAGATGGTGCTGAAGAATCCAAGACGGCGTTTGTGATGTCAGCAGCCATGAGCCGTGCTTTGACCGTGGCAATAAGAGCCAGTAGGGGTGGCAGAGGATCCCGGTTGGGAAGTGCATTTTGAATCCAGGCAAGAGTGGGTGAGGGTAGACCTTGACTATGAAGTCCGTTCTGGACTTCAGCTGCCTTGCTGAGTCGATTCATGCTGGAGTCCCGGTGTTGTAATACAAGTTGCACGTATCATTGAGTATTGAGTAAAGGCTTAGCCCGTGCAGAGATTAGCAGGATGATTTGGTCATGGTTTCTCGGAGAATGCAAAATGCGGATGCTGCTCTTTCCATTTCCGTGTCGGTTGCAACTTGTTCAAGTCTTTCACTTCTTATGTCAAAGTTGTTGTAGCTCTTGCTGTTGACTGCAACTGCTGTTGCGCTCGCGCCACAGTGGCTGGACCCACTAACCACTAACTCCAGATGACGATCCTCCTGCAGCCCCCTGTATGGCATACCGGGTCCTGAACTTCAACGTATGTCACAGCTGGGGGGAGTTTCACAATCTTTCCTATATTCTCCCAAGAGGCTCTCAATCCTTGCCACAAACCCTTGGTCTCCTCTCAGGACGTCCAAACCAAGGTCTGACCCAAAATGTCAACAATAGCCTCCCCGCGGGACGCGTTATCACGGCGCATTCCCTCATCCCAGAACATAACCACGCCCACGTCCTCAGCCCGACCTTCCCTCGACGTACCACGTTCCGCCTCGGGCTCTCCCAACCCCAATGTCTCCGGCGCCTCCCAGTCAGTCTCTAAGCGCAACCGCGCCGCCCTGCGCGAGTACTACAACCTCCGGAAAGGCGCGAATACGGCCAACCCCCCGTCGGTCGAGGTCACAGACCCGCCGGGCGAACACCATGAAGCGTCCGAGGTGCCACCCAGCGAGATGGACAAGGAAGGGTTCGAGCCCGAGGCATATGTGAAGAAGGCGCTTGCTGAAAAGGGGATGGAGGAGCTACTACGGCTATACACCAGGATATTGGGGGAGATTCGAGCATTGGATGCGGAGAAGAAGGCATTGGTTTATGATAATTACAGCAAGCTGATCGCAGCCACTGAGACGATACGGAAGGTGGGTGTCGCAGTTGAGTGTCGGATTGGCAGAATGGAAAGGCTGACTGAAAGCAGATGCGAGCAAATATGGATCCACTGAACCCAATGGCGTCTACGTTAGACCCGGCAATTGCTCAGATCTACTCGCAAGCCTCGGCCATACGGGAGGAACTACGGAAATCTGTACCTGAACCAAATGAATCAAGCAAGGGGGCAGACGAGGCGAAACAGCGAAGGCTACGGACGAAACAGCTGGCAATTAAGGTCTTGGAAACACCCGACCGGATACGAGCCCTTGTCAGTGAAGGACGGTTAGAGGATGCCAAACAGGCATGGAAGACACCCCGAAAGCTTCTCGAGATGTGGAAAGAACAAGGTGTGGGGGGTGGAGACGTGGAGGCTTGTATTGAAGATGGCGATGCTGCAGTGAGGGGGGACCCAAGCCAATCCGACTGGCGAGCAGCCAAAGACGATGAAGACTGATTCGACAACCTGGCCCTCCCCTTGCAGTATTCTATGGCTAATCCTCTGGAAGTATCTACAGGAGGGGAGATTCCTTTCCTCACTGATTTTCATCCATCCTGAGCCATGATACGCGACCGAAGGCATATACCGCGGCATCCCACCATACTACCGGAATACCTACATGTGGCCTCGTTGTTTCTATGCTAGCTTGGATACATCGATGACCTCAAATGGATCTCGGTCTGTGGTGCTGACAATCACCTTTCCGCTTGATCCGAGCGCCTTCTCGAGCATCGGCTTCATTCGTTGGGTCAAATACTGCCTCTCCGAGTTACTGTGGAAAACTGTCACCACAGTCTGTCCAAGCTGCACGTGTCGGAGGGCGTAATGGTGGCTCATTTCACCAGTCACGAGCAGTTGAGCATCACTATCCTTGAGCATATCCGCTCCGGAGCCAGCACATACTGCTACACTGGAGATGCTCTGGGTTCTGTTCACATCGGCGACGGAATCTTGAGGCACCGCAACAGACATATAACGCTGGTTTCCAAGTCCCGCGGATAGGTTTTTGAGCAAAACCGCCAGGCTTGTGGGCTTGTTGAGCTGGACTTTGCGGCCATAGCCAAGGCCCTGAAGCTCTGACGGCAATGTGCGGGTAATGGGTTCGATGACGCTACGTCCTGCTACGAGATCGGGCTGGTCTCCGACTAGGATATCGCAGAGCCAGTCGTTCAGTCCGCCATTGGCAGCATCGACGGCTGTGTGGGGGCAGTAAACAGCAATGCCCGAAGCTATTAGGCGAAGAAGTTGTGCTTGCATAGGATCCTGAGCCGTCAATGACTTGAGGGCTCTGAAGATGACCGGGTCTGTATGTGATCAATATGTGCATGGGTACAGGGGAGGGTAGCTCCATAGACTAGCTTACGGTAGCTAACAATTATGCTGGCCTTCTCGCGAATGGCTTCATCTACCACAGCTGCAGTGAGGTCATTGGTGAGTAGCACTGTTCCAGGCGTGTCATCCTTGGTGGCCGAGAGTTGAGCCTGTCCAAGCAACAATCCAGTGTTATCCCAAGCTTTGTCTGCAAGTACTTCAGGGAATCTGGTCATGGTTAGCAACTAAACGTGCTTGACCAAAAGTTTGTGAAAGACTAGCTCTCATGTCAGATAGTTAACTCACAGAGTTCTCATGGCGGAAACCACCGTGTCTGCGAACGAAGAAGTCGTCATGGTACTTATTGCTCTTGGCTGTAACCGGGGTAAGATGCAGTGAATTGGGATTGATGAGAAGAGAGGCCTTTGTGAAGAGGCGAGCCGGCATGCACGTTGACTAGCTGTAATGAGATTGCGGTAGTAACGCAAGGACATCACTCAACTATAGTGATGCAGGAGAGAAGCAGCTGAGATATATTCCAATGGAACATGAACACTCTCAATTCGTCAATTGGCTAGAACTGTGCAGTATCGTTGTTTGAAAGCACTGGGATGCGAGCTTCAGCCCCACGTATTTGTCCTTATCAATGAATAAACATTCCCCAAATTAACACTTATCCTTTGGAGGGGTATTTCATCATCAGCCGAATTCGCATCCTACCTTCAAGCCCCCGATTAGCACTAGAAGCAACGCCATGGCAGACTCCGGAATTACAGAGTCGTCGCTCAAGAACGCCCTAACAGAGCGATTAAAAGCGACTCATGTAGAGGTCACTGATATGTCTGGTGGGTTCTTCTTTATCCTTCTCAATCCCCTTCTCCGTACCCGTCCCTGCGGGTGCATCATTACAAATTGCAACCCAACCCAACCACAACTACTTGCATGGAACTAACTTCGGCCTCTCTCCAACAGGCGGCTGCGGCCAATCCTTCACCTCCCTCATCGTATCCCCCCAATTTGCGGGCCTCAACTCGCTGAAGCGTCACCGCGCCGTCAACGCCGCTCTCAAGGACGAAATCGCAGCGATCCACGCCTGGAGCGCAAAATGCCAGACGCCCGAGGAGTGGGAAAGGGACAACGCTAAGAACAGTGGGGTTTCGAAGCCACCGATGAATGGGACGGTTAGGGGGAAGGTGGAGGGTACGGATGCATGATTGAGTATGAGGAAATGAAAAAGCTTGGATACCACCGAGGAAGACTAGGTCGGGAAGAGTCTCCAGCAGAATGTCGCGGGTCGCATCTTGGTGCCCGGTGGGAACATTATAATGGACAGGCTGATACCTATATCCGGGGAAGATAAACGAGATGCAGGCGAAAGGATGAGGCTGTGAGCCGCGTTTCGCATTCAGGATTGGATTGGGCTCGGGACATTTGGACGCTGCGTATAGCAGAGAGCTGTGCTGGACGCTGGGAGCCACGCTGGTCCGAAAAGAAGTATACAACCTTGGAGGACTTCTGCTTGCTCCCAACACACATTGGATCACCAGACTCTATGCCGGAAGCATTGGTTCACAGAGAAGTAGAATAATCAAAGTCATGGCTGGTGTAGAGCAACGCACTACACAAACTCTTGCCCCGGCTCCAACAGGCAGTGAATGGTCCTCGAGAGTCTTCTTGAATACGATAGCCGACGACTTGTTTCGAAACCCTCAGCCTTCGAGTTAAGTGCTGCGGAAATGCGTAATCCTGGCTTGGACTTGAGATTCACAACACACAGTGAACAACGCAGTCACACATGATTGAATGTAGCCATCTGTCAGGGCATTCCTTATCATCTAACTACGCTATGTCTCTTATTTCACAGCTCGCAAGTTGCCCAAACTTCAACACAAGCCCACCACCCTCTAGAAAAGACCCAACAAATCATCATTTCCACTCGCCTCGTTCTTGTGCTCTACGTGGCCCAATTGCTGTGAAGCCGGGGGCGGTGCACTGCTCCCACTTAGGTCCAGTCCTGCGAATCCATTCATCATGTCATTACTGCTACTGCTCGGTTGCGCTGGTGCATCGAACAATCCCATCATATCCGCCATTCCACCCGACTGCTGTGGGCCGGCGGGGCTGGCCACCCGGTCTGGTGTGGCCATAGAACTGGCTTGTTCCAAACTTGCCGGCGCTCCACCATCAAAGTCGATATCTAGGAGATTCTCGATATTCCCCTGGGCACCTGTGCCGTTGGCCGCGGCGGCTACGGCACCTGCGGCGATAGGATTCTCGGAGGCGTTTTCGCGCTGTTCCTCAATAGCGGCGCGTTGTATAGCATCTGCTCCATATCTGCCCTTGCCAACAAAAGACTCTGGTAGTTTGTGGTAGACCGAAGCAAGGGTTGATAGCTCGGTGAGCAGCTGTTCGAGAAGGGCTGAGGGAAGGCATGTCACTGTGGTGGAGATCGCGGGCTTTTGGGAGAGCACGATATTCTAGCTTGGGTTAGTGGATGCAAATTTCACCAAGGTGAATAGACATACCTTGGCAATGTCCAAGTCACCGGAAAGGAGACGCCAGTAGACGTATGCCCTATCACGAATATCGGGGTTGTCGTTATCTGTCGTCGCCTGTTGCAGGACAGTCTGCACCAGCCCCTGGTTGTTGCTCGGGTTCTTCAAGAACAGCTTCACAACGGCTGTCAAGATCTGAAGTTGTGTTTGTGTAAACTCCTCCATAAATCCTTCCACGAAACTGGCCAAAATTTCGTCCGCATTGCTGATCTTCTCAGCGTACTCGCCGACAATCCATATCAATGACCCTCGCGCCTCTGGCTCGTCAAGTTCCTCGATATATTTGCAAAGTGTCGGAATGACGCCTTCATAGCCGGGATATTTCCGCAGGATGTCCTTGATGACCACGATAACCTCCTGCACGACGTAATTGACCTTGGTGGCGATGAGATCCAGTAGGGTGTTTACGCATTTCTCGCTTGCGCCCTCGATCTTAATGGCGACTTGACCGATCGCCTTCACTGATCTTCGCACAAAGTCCATGTCAACTTCCAGTGCGTACTCCTTCAGCTCGGCCAGAAGTTGCTCATAGTTCTTTTCGTTCGCTATCCTCACCATAATCTCGAGTTTCTGAAGCTTGACGTAGGGCGGGTCATTGTATTTGCAGAAGAAAACCCTCAGCTCCTTGCTGAGGATGTCTGGCTTGGCTTGCAGCAGGAGATCGATATTCCGCAAAGCCACATATTGAACTTCAGGGGCGGATGCGATCAGGGTAACTGTATAGGTAAGCACATGAACGACACATAGATGTGAAAGACCAACCTAAGGGGGGTGCCATTTTCTTCAAGTACTGTCGCACCAGGTCGGCATTGATCAGTTTCATGTGGATGAAGACGACCTTGACGGCGGCTAACACCACGCTTGGGTTTACGTGCTGGAACTGAGGCGCAACCCTTTCGCATATATGCTCCGACTCTTGTGTAGTTTGCGGCTGGTAGGCTGTGAGCGTTGACAATATGGTCACTCGACCCATTCGGTGCATTCGTTGAGCGCCATGAGGAGCTTCTTCAGTGTCACCGGGGTGATGATCAAGGCGCTTGTCTCGGGCGCAGTCTCGGTGATCTCACCGAGGGCCGTTACCGAGTTTGCGACAACCATGGGATTCGGGTCCCCAATCAGCTCCTGCAACGTCTCCAGGAAGCCGTTCTCGATACACATGGTCGGGTTCAGGTCGAAGAGCTTTGCTACGCAAATGGCAGCGGTTTTCCGTACGTATGGTGACTCGTCCCTCAACGTCTTCCTCAGTGGTTCCTCCATATAGTCTACCATCTTGTCGACCCGAATGCAGCCCATAGTCCGTATGGCCAAGGCCCGAATCAGGGGGTTCGGGTCCTCCGCATCTTGGACAAACGTGTTGACGGCCAATATACATAGGTCGGGGTGTGATTTCGCGTAGTTCCTAAGCTTTCCATGAGCTTTTGAACGTGGGAGCGAACACAATTGGTACTTTGACGGCTAGAGCCAGCTTCCAGAGAAGTATTCAAGGCAAATGACCACCTACATCAGATATAAATAGACAAGCTTCTTCTGGTCCAAGTCTCCTGTTGCGATATTCTTCAGAACATCTGGAAACAGCGCCGACACGTCCTTGCCCAGCGTCATCGCCATAATCGTCTTTTGGATAGCCTCCTTCCGTTCGTAGGCATATTGCGAGACCAGGCCAGCTCGCAGCTCGAATGTTTCGCCCTTTCGAGGCACGGCAAAGGCCCCACGAATGCGATTCACCGCCATTGCTTTCGACGTTGGATTATAACTCGAGTTCGAGGTGTAGTTGTGGAGGGGTAACCGTTGACAGGTTGCAGCTCAAGTTCGAGGAGGGGCCGGCACAGCGGTCAAGGTGGTTAATTGGAGGTTTAGAGGAAGGGGCCCTTTCAGGGCTATCGTGAGTACATCCGTTTCCTCAGGGTTATCGTAGGTTCGTCGGTAATAGAGTCAGAATCGGCTTTCGAGTATCTTTCGTGTCAATTGCACCTGGAGCTTAGAGGCTGCCAAGAAGATGCGATGTGTTAATTCCAAAGCTGCCCCTGCGCTATCTTGACCTTTCAGCCTTGGGCGGCACTGGAAGTTTCCGCTTGACAATCGGTCACTTGGTTAACAACGACGCCGCTAAAAGTCGCAGCCACAGCTGCTCATGGGGCTGATGGGTCATCTGCCCAAGCTCCGGTTTCCAGAACAATTACAGAACGGCATCCATTCGCCACTACAGAGGTCGTCTCCTACTAACAATCTCAAATACTGATCAAACGAAGAGTAATCCGCGCTGATGGCGATATAGAGCCTACCCAGCTCGTCCGCATCAACAACATCAGCGGCCAAGGTCATCTACCTACATTTCAGAAGCTGGATCATCCAGGTTCGTGCGTACATGGTATGTTTGCTAAGTTCAAGTGTGGCGGGTGTATGAAAGCCAACATGAGAAATGTCACTTCAAGCCCAAACCATTCCTTCCAAATCTCATTCCTGTTGAAAACACTAACTTGACCACTGCAGGCGAGCTTCCCCAACCTCCGACGCCTCTTCATCGAGGCAAGGACTGATGATGAGGAACGAGCTGTGTCACGGAGAGCTGTAGGTCCATGATCAAATGAGATCTTTCCAGCCCAAAGGATTGACACGTTGCAGTTTTATAATGGAGTGTTATTCATGGGTTCAGTAGCCGTCTTCAGTCTCATAGCCCAGAGACTCAATGCCAGCAGATAGACCCACCCCCAAAATACAACCAGGCACAGCATTTGTCGCTTGCAATTTGATGTACATGCTCGGATCACTCCTCATTCTGTGAACCTCAATTAATTAATGAGGTGCAAGTCGTGGAGACCAACAAGAGATTTGGGCTACTCAGACTCGCTCTCGTCGCCAAGGAAAGCCAAATCGGCCATTCTCTTGGAAACGCGAGGTTTCGCATCCACTGCCTCTTCCTCGGTCTCTACTTCCTCCGATGACTCCCTCTGCGCAGCCTTAGCTTTGCTTCTGGAAGCTCGACCATTGTGTCCACCAACCCCCCAATTCTTGTTCATCTCCTGCACAGCTTCCAAGTCGGCCATCAGTTCTCTCCTTTCTTTGATCTCCTTCGCCTTGGCCTCGGAAAAGCGCCCATCCATGCCGATCTCCTTAAGCATTTTCTTGAGATGTTTGATCTTGCCTCCGCTATCACTACCATAATCCTTAAGCTCAAACGCCCATATCTTCCGCACTCCGCACTTGAGCAGCTGTCCTTGTAGTTTCTTGATCTCGACTTCGTCGCCGTCTAGTTCTTTCGGTGCTGGTTTGCTCGATGATGCCTTCACTTTGGCCGGTCCCTTGCTTTCCTTGGCTTTGCCTCTCTTCTTTGGAGGAGGAGGCTCATCGTCGATCACAGAGGACAGCTCAGAACTATCATCAACAACGGCAGCGGCTTTGCTTTCGTTTTCGACATCGACTTTCTTTTCCTCATCAGAATCTTCCTGCTTACTCGTGGACTCCTTCGCTGGATTGGCTGATGTCTTGACTTTGGCCTCTGCCTCAGAATCATCCTTAATGGGCATCTTCTCATCGACTTCATCATTGTCGGACTCAATCTTCGCCCGTTTTGCCATTGGTTTCTTGCTCGGTGCAGGGAGCTTTCGCTTCCGATCTGCGGAGTCATCTGGTTTGATCTTTGCTTCGTCCTCATCCGAAATCACGGTTTTCTTAGACTTGCCGCGCGGTGCAGCTTTCTTGGGCTGCTTTGCCTTTGGCTGCTTCTTCTGCTTTTTCTTGGTATCTTCTTCTGATGAACCCAGGTCACTTAGCTCCGAATCCGAGTCTTGCTTCTTAACGGCGCCATTCCCCTTCTCCCCTGGTTTGCCGTCTTCCGAGGATCCAAGGTCGCTCAATTCCGATTCGGATTCTTCCCTCTTTGGCGCTGCCTTCTTGGTTTTCTTCTTCGGCTTCTCTTCTTCCGATTCCACCACGTCGCTGAGTTCGGACTCGGATTCCTGCTTCTTCTTCTTTGGTGCAGCTCGCTTCGTCTTCTTCGGCTTTTCTTCCTCAGAATCATCCAGCTGACTGAGCTCTGATTCGGACTCCTGCTTCTTGGAACGTTTTGGCGCCGTAACCCTCTTCACGCGCTTCGGTGGTGGACTTGGTTCTTCAGTCGACTGGCGCTTGACACCATTCTTGGTATCGACCGTGATCTCATCCTTCGGCTCTGACGATGGCTCCGGTTCGGCGGTTGCCTCATCCTGGCAATTGTTAGTGAGGCGCGAGGCATTCTTAGGTGCTGGGCCGGCCTACGGCAGCCTGCTTGATGATATCCTTGCTGCGCGCCTTCCAGTCACCTTGCGCGAAGAATTTATCCTCCAATCCGAACTCTTGCTCTACACGATTCCGGACAAAGTTGACTGTCAGCTGGTCGCGTTCATTTTCGCTATTCAAGACGGCACGCACAGCGTCGGCCAACGCTTTCTCAAGCGTCTTCTGGGAGGGTGCCATATCCGTAATGATGACACGGAAGTGCCGGATTGTCGCGTTAAGGTGGTGCGCAATGGAGCGCGTTCGTAGATCGGGCAGTACTCCGTCGCGTGGGGAAGATGGTGGAGTTGCTGTTGCTGGGATAATAGTGGGCCGTTTGACGAATCCAGCCAAGACCACAGGAGAGACAAAGCACACGCACGAGTTGCTACGTGCCTCTTTTGGACTAGTGCCCGCGTCCTAGGTAAGAACTTAAAGTAAAGTAAATGCCTGCATAGGTCAGGTGCTTGGAATGATGCAAGTGTGCAGTGGTCGCAACAGCTCACATATACCCAGCTTTTTTTCATTCCTGACCTGGTGCTTTTCTGCAAATCTCAGTGTGAAATAGGTGCTGGATGAGTGGACTATTCCTGTTCTTTCCACCGTAATTCCATCGATCATCATGATAGAATGCAAACCTTGAAACCTGAAGATCTTCCTCAAGTTGTTAACAGTTGCCTACATCTTGGAAACAGAAATACATCTAAAAATGGGTTTAAAATATGATTCTGGGCTTCAGGCAACCATTTCTATCGTTCTGCAAACAGTCCACGGTATACGGTCTTTACCTTTCTTGGGCATCTTACTCATTTCTGACAAGTGAAATGTCTATACGAAGACTTAAGCCAGACGTACATTACCCGGTGCAACAAAGGTCAAGTTGTAATAACTATTAGCATCTTTCATGATAACAAAAAGCCGCGAAATTGTCATGACTGTTTGTCTCTATTGATGCACTCCTATAATCCCTGTCGTCAAAGACTACCTGATGTAGTACCCTTATCAGTGCATCAAGATGCCGCTTCGCCTCCAACCTAAGGCATGTCTCAGGTTTTCATACTAGGAGGTGACTTGCGGCTATTGTCGTAAGTCCGTATATGTTGAACGCCACGGAAAAGGACTTCATGACAAAGTCGACGGCCTTGGCGCCTGTGACCAACCCTTTTGCTCCTTGGCCTCGAAGACAGCAATACACCATCTGGTATATCCAAGGTTACGAGTGGCCTCCCTCAATTCCCTCTTCCAGAATGTCCAGGTAGGAATGAAAAATAAACGTAGACTGCCGAATTTGGAATCCCATGTGTGATTCTCAACATACTTGACTATCATTGTAAGGCCAATGCTTCCCAAGAAAAATGACAGGAACTCTGTTAGATGCGGCATTCAAGTCGTGTCAACCCCTCACCTCCCTGCGTCGCATCCGCTCAAGCAATTCCGTGTAACGGCCTTTCTCAGCAAGCGCCTTGGCAGTCATTCCGTGTCCGTCCTTGAGTTCTAGATCAGAGCCGCCTTCACAGACTAAAAACAGAGCAGTCTCCACGTGCCCATTTCGAATAGCTTTGTGCAGTGCACTTCCAACCTCCTCCTCGTGGCCCTCTTCCTGTTCGAATTCCACCGAAAGCTCGTTCACACTGGCCCCTTTCTCAAGCAAGAACCGCACCATCTCCTTACGCCCTGTCTCTCCCGCAGCGGCGATAGCACCACTCCCCTCTAGTTTCGCGCCGTATTGCAGAAGCAATTCGGCCATCTGCACATGGCCCTCCTCTGCCACGGCAGCAAGCACATGTTTGTACTCGTCGATCTTGTTCATATTCGGATCGGCGCCGTGTTCGAGGCAAAACCGGGCCCATTCTAGGTTGTTGTCCTGCGCCGCCAGGCCAAGCACATCGCCGAACCACGGTATATAGTGATTGATATCAACGGCTTTGGCCTCGACGAGCGCGCGGTGACTGGGGAAAGAGTAGCCTGCAGAACTTCCACCGGCGATTTGGGCCATGACGGGAATGGTAACAGTGGTGCCACGCTCAAGACAGAAGGCGACGACGTCGAGTGCATTACAGCCGACCGCTTCGGTCAAGAGATAAGACAGGAACTTCTGTGGATCTGACGCTGAACCTAGGCGTTGGTCTACCAAAATTTCCACTGTCTGTCGCTGATTTTGATGACACGCTTCGACAAGGTCTTCGCCTAACTCGGCTTTGCGTTCTTCTGCGTTCATGATGTCATGCGTGTGATATCAATGTGTTTACTGAACGTGTAGGTGGTCTCTTGCTGGATATGTGAAATGGCCAACAACACAAGGCAAGTAACAGCGGCAAAACAGCTTCCAGGTTACGGGGGATTGGCAGTACACAAGATGAAAAAGAGCCTGAGGGCACAGCTTAGTCACCCAGAACAGCATGAATATATCATGAAGTGGGGTATGGATGCCATTATGATGGGACTAGTCAAGATGACATGAAAGTCTGCGCCACCAACTGCATGCTTGGACGAATTGTTCTATTGGATACTATTCACGATTTAGCCCCAACGAGAGCTTCCCTAAGGTCCTGGTTTCCCGGCCATCTTTAACCTGCCTAAATGGCCCAACTCGAATTATTCAAGCCAAACGGATTTTCAGCCCGTTTGACAGGATAAGGGTATTTCTTCACTTGTCCTACGATTGACGGGGGTCTACACCAATAGTATGCCGTGCGGCGGTTGCTTCTACAATCAACTATGCTCGTGCGTTTAGACTAGCCGAGTGGTCTAAAATACAAATCCCTTCCAGGGACGCAATTCTGGCCAAGTCCCAACTAATTTCGACAGTATAGTGACGGAACTTCTACTCCGTGAGCCTTACTATATGGTCAGCACAGCCTGCTCACTGGCATCATGCACACGTCTTATGGTGCCGCCCCGTTTGGAGGTTTATCTTAACAGCACTGTCACAGCTTGCTCGCTCGGCTCGCTTGATCCAATATCTAAATCAATCTGCTCAGCAAGTTTGGCTTATACAATAATAGACTAGCCGTCCTCGCAAGTTCTTATAATGAAGATTCTATTATTCGTGACATGTAGTCGGTAGGTACGACTTAACCACTATATATAATAGGCATGTTTCTCACACTTTTCTACCCTCTGTTTAGATCATTCCCAAGTCGTATTCAAATTCACTGTATCCCTACAAACACACGACAATCTGTCTCTACAGATATGCAGTTGGCTTTCCCAGCCCCATGGGGCTCCCATTTCCCTGGGCCTCCTATTTGCATTCCTCTCTCTCCTGCTCTCTAACAGCCTCGCCTCTCCATTCGCATGAAGTAGGATTAAATGTATGGAATTAGCTCTATAGCTAAGAAACATTCCTCAAACATATATTATAACTAAACACGACCAATGAGTTATTGATCGAGTTGGATACGGTAGACCAAGGAAACAGGCTAAGTAGCGGACCATATTCCCGCGATCGTCCCCGCGTCCCAAATAATGTTACAAATCAAGGGGCAGGAATGTGTCTCTTTTGCTCGCAAACCGTCTCCCTGACATTCTCAATCTCCATATCATCGCGCGGGTCCCAAATCGCCTGCTCCAGTGTCTCGTATGTCACCACCACCTTAGACGGTTCATCATACCGAATCCCACTATCAACCACGGGCCACTTCGCCCTCTCCAACTTCCTCCGCAACTCCTTCGACATGCCTACCAAACGAAGCTCAACGGCACAGCCGAGATATTTCTCAATCTCAACCCTGAACTCCTGCAGTGCCTTCACACCAGTAACATCTAGAAATGGGACACGAGTGAAATCAAGGACGATGACTCGCAACGCCTCAGCAGTAGGAGTAATGTGATCCATCTTCCTCAGGAACTCGAGCCGCTTCTCGGCAGCGACGCTCCACGATCGGTCGTCGGCATCCTTGTCCGCGGGGTTCTGGGGCAGGTGGCGGGCCTGGATGGATTCGAGGGCCTGGGTCTTGACGCGCTCGGCATTGGGAAAGAAGACGGCGTCTGCAAAATGGACAACCACCACATTATCCGGTACGGCACCAGCGTGTGGGATGGACGAGCCCACGGAGTATTCCTTCGTAGCGGAGCGGGAGGTTAGAAAAGTCTTGGAAAATGTCAAGCGGACCAGAGTATAGCCGATGCTGTAGAGGACGGCGACGGCGATGCCGGTTTCGGTGCCGGCGAAAAGGGTGATCCAGAAGGCAAGCATGGAGGCGGTGAAGTCGGCGAAGGAGATGTGCCAAAAGCGGGTGAATATTGAAACGGGGCCGACGAGGTGGATTACTGCCATGATCTGGTACATTGTTGGCTCTCGGTCCCCCGGAAACTTCTTGGACTGGGCACCTAGTACTTACAATAATGGCCGAGAGGGTAGCCTTCGGAATCCAGAACAACACACCAGCCAGCTTGTAAATGGTCAACAGGATGAATCCAGCCGTGACGGCTCCTCCCAGCGGGCTCCTGACACCACATTCCGAGTTGACTGCCGTTCTCGACATGGCGCCGCCCACCGACATAGCACCAAAGAAGCTATTACACGAGTTGATCACTCCAAGATAGACCAGCTCCTGACTCTGGTCAATGACGTAGTTATTCTTCCTCCCAAACGCCTTACCAAGAGAGAGATGTTCTAGCGAAGATGCAAGGACAGGGGTAATACTCTTGCCCGCCACCTTCATGAGCAATTCCGTGTCAGGGGTTCGTGGCGGGATGATGCCGTAGGCCTTAACCTTGCTAAGCGCCCAGACAGGGTCCTCGAGGTTACGGTTCACCACGAAGCTGATGGTAGTGAAAATGACCAAGGCCAGGACGGCACGGCTGCTGGACAAGAACTTGAGGACGGGGACTCGTTTGCCCCATTTCTTGCCGGACCATTCCAGTGCGCACAAAAAGAAGATGCCTCCGAATCCGATGGCTACTGTGAGGGGCTCCATCTGTGGGATCTGGGTGAGGACGTCGTGGATGACTGCTGCGGGACCAGTACCAACATCGAGTCCAACTAGGGACCCGACTTGGCCGAGGAGGATGTTCAGGGCGGCTGCTGAGATGAAGCCGGAGAGCACGGGGCTGGAGACGAAATTGAGGACAAAACCGAGTCTGAACAAGCCGAGCATCAACGCATCTGAATTAGGGTTGTCACCAATTGTCCGTATTGTGTGAAGTACAAATTCCATTGTGAATTTCTTAGAGTTGAAGAAGATTACTTACACACTCCAACCATCATGGCAATAGCTGATGAAATAGCTTCGGGTTTGTAACCCTCCACAGTGAGTTCAGCAATGACTTCCGCTGTGAGCAAGCCCATAATCGAAGTCGGTCCAGTCGACAAGTCTAGTATGCACTATTTAGCCAGCTCAAGTGAGTCCAATTAATTTCATCAGAAATTACCTTTAGATGTGCCCATGAATACATAAACAGCCGCAGGAAGCCAGCTCGAATACAAACCGAACTCGCCCGGGATCGTTGCGATTTTGGCATACGCCAGAGCCTGAGGAATCAGCATGACCGCAATGGTCAACCCGGAAATAAAGTCCGAGATGAGCCATTTGACATTGTAACGCGGGAGCCACTGGACAATGGGGACCATGGAAATGGCATATTGCGCAGCAGACGACGGCAGCTTGGCGGGGTAATAGGCGATCATGCGCCGGACCGTAGACAGAGTCTCGTCCGTCTCGAGCCCATGCCTGATGCGATTGGCGTTGAAGAGTCCCATAGTAGTGGCGTACACACGGGCTTTCTTCTGTGAGTCTCGAAAAGGGAAGACGTTAACTATCCAAATCTTCGTATATTGAATGGCATATGTGTTTAGAAGAATAATGATAAAACTTTCTGGACTTGGATTTAGTAGATGATAATTCTGTTCTTATGTAAATCATCTTAACTTATACTTCCATCCACATCATCCTATCTCCAGTCATACTTAGTTTCGCTACATTCGACAAATAGAACTCGTCAGAACTTCACCATCCTCGGAACAAGACTGAACCCGGTGGTTCAACTGCTCGCCATCAGGTCTAAGTTTTCTATACAGAAATCCAAAACTTTATTACAGCCTCTAGTTAGTTACTTCTGGTTCAGTCAACGGGAAACCTATAGGGGACATTGATTGGCGAGACAATATGTGTTTGGCACGGGTCCTGATATTTCCAGCCCTAGAGTAGCGATGACTATCACTTGGCACGGCCTATAGGAAGGTGATTGCGGCTCGTTGTTCAAGCTGGTGAAGTGCATGTTGTTGATATTCATGATAGCATCATCTGCTTCATCTCGCATTTGCAGCTGTGCGTAGCAACAGCAGGGTTGGTTTGTGTTAAACAGTCAACCTCGGGCGAAACTCGGTATGGGACCTTGCCGGCGACTGAACGTTGGAGGCCGAGTTGTAGAATGGGTTTCGGACGACGTTTCAGCGCTCACTCAGCACCGCAGGCCGTGTTGACGACTCGACTGCGCGAGGAAACAGTAACGCACCGTTGTCTTTGAAACGGACCTGGAGTAGATCCAAGCGGGCAATTTCAAGGCTGCCTCGGGCAAGGTGGTATTCAATGGCATTCTCTGGGCGGCATGGCAGACCACCGTGGCACAGGCAGGCGGTAGTATTTTCCAATTCGTCACATCTCGCCGAAGATTATTATGAAGGAATAAAAGAGTTATAAATCAATATTCTTGTGCAGCATGTCATTTGAGTGCAAGTAACCCCAGTTTTTGACAACCCTTTTCCTCCTTTGCCATCCACACTTACTTTCACTGGACGATCATTCTACGCCATAATATTTCAGCTGAGCTAAGCTTTCATGGCCATGCGGGAAGAAGATTAGTTTCTGACATCGTCCGAAATGCACTCCAGCTGGAATCGAACAGTAGGGATAACGCTATCGGGGATCGTCCAAAAGCGGATACCGCAACTGAATCAGTAACGATATACAAGGATCAGCAGCCAGTCGTCTGCAGTGTGCGTCTCGGATAAACTATTAATATGCGAATCACACTATATCTTGGCAATAGGAAGTGAGTTCCTAACGGCCCAGGGGAGGAGGATCGTCGATAAGGCACGCTGACAGGTCCTACTGTCGACGATAACACCCGTTCATGAATGGTAGATCCTATAGCTCTAGCCCAGGCGATAGTTTTTGCATATGAAATGAAACGACTTGCTTGTCTCTTGGGTCACGAGTGATTGCTACCTTTTTAATAGTATGGTCACTTTCCATCCAGTGTATTGAGTCAGGTAGCCATTCCTCTGTTGACTTCTTGGCGACACGACGCAGGATGTGTATCGGACCATAGATCCCTGAACGGATGGGAACACCAATTGGAAAGATATAGATGCTTCAGAAAGCTGTGTGCTTTAGACAGTTATTTCGACCAATAATCCCGTCACTGTTGTGTATACTCCCCATCTCTTCACAGATAACGACACGGGAATATCGAGACAAGTATCCTGTCAGATCTCATAATTGCCATCATGACCACATTCTGCCACGAGTGGGCCCCTCGTCTTTTGACGGTCATTTGGTGTAACACATCCATTGTGGGTACGCCTATAATACAGGTTATATTATGCATATTGGCAAACATAGGCCACAGAAACACAATGTAGATGCTTCATGTATCGTTGGATATACACAGTAGAGTTGTACGTCTTTCTTTCTAATATACTCGCCTACCCTCTTGTAGTGGTGGTAGCACGGAGCTGAAGCACTTGTTTGGGATATACACACGAACCCTGCAGCATCATATGCGGGCTTCTTGTCCACTGTCTTATGGTAGGCAACCGATGTCGCTTTTTGCCAGCATCTTGATTTTTATGCTATGACAAATATGATCTGTATTCGCCGACTCTCTTGTAGTTATGAGGGCAGTGCTTGGAATGATTCAGTTGAGGTCTTCCGGGACTGCGTAATGAGAGGATGCTCGTTGGGATTGTCGTATACCACCCCCTCTCCCCTGTAAGAAGCTGTGGAACTTGAAATACGCCATAATGGACTTGCTATCAGCAGAATACATTCGCCAAATAAGATGGTCTGTGCAAACCCTGATCGTGCAGTGGCCGTGACGTGTTTACACCATGAAGTGAATTCGTTAAAAGCACAACGCAGAACGAGCTCCCATGCTAGCAGAAAAGTAAATTTGTGAAACTGCAAAATAAATGTGGACTCTGCTGCTGTAATGCAGGAATATGGAGACATTGGAATATAGATATAGCAGTATTCAAGACTTCCAGGATGGCGTGCTCATGTGGCCAGTCTGGTAGTATGTCTTGAGAATAAGCAACATCATCGCAACAAAGCTCCTTCGAAGCACCCATAATCAATTGAGTCGCAGATTTTGTTACTGGCACGACCCTGGAGAACAAATTGACTTCTCAATTTCTTGTATGGAAACGGACAACGTCTAATGAAAAAAGGTTCAAACACACTGCCAAAGCGCCAGCCATAAATAGTAATCTGGCAACCTCGTCTACTAACTTCTTCTGACTGGGTACTAATAGTATGGCTTAGACCCGCTCAACTAATACGCGTATGTTCTACATAGCCTCAAACCCACAGCGATTGAGCCGGACCCAAGTGTATCAGACATCTAGACTTGCCAAACTTAGTTTCGCGTATTGAGAAATACGGTTTTACCAAGTCGAAAGCATTTGGGCCATCATAATCCCACAATATGAGAGAAGAACGAACATATAATCATAGACTAAATTGAATTTACCATGTTGGATTCTGGCAAATTGTCGATTTTGGAAATACAGATCGATTCAATACAACCAGGTGACCACCTCGTAGTTACGCAATTGCCAGTCATCTTCATTTGTCGCAAGCATGACAGACCAGAATAGCCAGCCTTTCGCGGGATTCAAGTTCTACCATTACACACCATACATGCCAGGAGAAGTGATCTTTATGATTTTCTTTGGCCTCTGCGTCATAGCTCACTGTTACCAGCTCTTCCAATATAGAACATGGTACTTCATCCCGTTCTTGCTTGGATGTCTTTGTAAGTCAACTCACTCGGGAAACGTGTTGCTTAGATCATTGACTGACCTTGGGGGTTAAACAGATGAATTCATCGGCTACATTGGCCGAGCCATTTCGTCCACCGAGGCACCCGACTTCACCCCGAATCCATATATCTGCCAGTCACTCCTGCTTCTCCTCGGACCGACGCTTTACGCTGCATCCATCTACATGCTTCTCGGACACATAATCGTGCTTCTGGAAGCCGGTGCATACTCAATAATCCCACCAAAGTGGTTGGCTAAGGTGTTTGTCCTGGGCGATGTGGTGTCACTCTGCGCACAAGTCGCCGGTAAGTTGAATGTCTACACTTGATCCAATTGGTGAGATGGCATACTCACCAACAACTCAAAACAGGTGGCGGCATGCTCATAATGGCCAAGACCCAAGAAAAAGTCGAAAGTGGCGAGAACACCATCCTTGGTGGCCTGGGCATCCAGATTCTCTTCTTCGGCTTCTTCATGGTTGTTACCCTCGTCTTCCATCTGCGCATGCACAAGCGACCTACCCCGAAATCACAGGCACTCAATATACCATGGCTGCAATTGATCTACGTCTTATACGCGGCCAGTATTCTCATCATGGTCCGGTCCATATTCCGTGTGGCCGAGTACGCCCAGGGACAATTTGGGAAGCTTCAGTCGCGTGAGGTGTACGTCTTCGTTCTTGATGGGCTGCCCATGTTGATTGTCCCCATTCTACTCATTTGGTTTCACCCAAGCCGAATCGTCGACCGCGATTCGCAGCTTGTCTCAATTGATAGTGTTGATAGTGTTGATATTATAGAAGAGGGCCACATGCTGCATTATCGTGGTGTGAAGAATCGGCATGCGGTGAGAGAGATTGATACGCTCAGTGGTCCTAGAGATCCTGGGTACTGAATTCAGCGTCCTGGCTAAAAGGTCGATTTGGGGTACCAGGTTGTGAAGTGCGGTTCTACGAGTTGTTTGGATTAGGTGAGACCCCTGCGAGTTGTGGAACTGAAGGATGGAGTTGATAAACACCCGCAGTGTAAGGATAGGCTAATAGATATAGATGTTGGTATACGGGTACGATCTCACAAGCATATACGAGATCGAGGAGAGTTTTGCAGCGAAACTGGAGTACAACCAAATCGCTACAACATTTCAGGGGAATCTCATGGATAACATCCTGTGCTGTGGAAGACCCATATAATGAAACGTCCAGATACATCAGCATGGTAGGTGACGATGTGCGGACAAGTGTGCAAGACCCACCTCCATTACACCATATATCCTTTTATGGACACATCTTTCCATCAACACGTGACCCAATTACTCACTTGGCAGTAAACCTGCCCTCATAGCTCAGTGGTAGAGCGCGTCACTAGTATCCTCAGATATGACGAGGTCGTCAGTTCAATTCTGGCTGAGGGCACAAGTTCAATTTTTATCCTCCATGACATCCGCGAGTGTTGAAATTTTCACATCTTTTTCACTAGTTCTTAAAAGTATAAGCCGTGCGGCCGTTTAAACAGTCTAATATGTTTTGTACGTTCATCACAAGCGCGTTACGAACAAAATTATAACGCGATACTTAATTGCTACAATAATCTTTCTATAATTTAAGATATCGATTAAAAATGGGTGTATTATATATAGCTAGTGTTACGTTTTGATCCATAGCGCCTTTGCTTCCTTCGCCTTAACCTTTGTTAAGCTGCCTCTTTTCTACCCTCTTTTTGTTGTTTCTTCCTTTAGGCCTTGTAAGGAGGATACCACACGTCTCGCAATAGAATAGTCAGGTAGTACAAAGAGCAACTAGAATGGGCCAGTGTATGGGTGCGTATATTGCAAGACTGATTCTTGAGGAATCTAAATTAGGTGGGAGCGTCTCGAGTTCTCCTCTTAAGCTGGGCGGTTCCGGGGTTTTACCGGATCGGGGGCGAATCCCTCCCGACTCAGCTTGTCAGCTGAGACCGGCCCGCCATAACGGCTCTCTCCTTACAGGCCTCTTTCTAAGCTAAATGGTCCTGTCTGTTACGAACCGTTGGCCCTGAACCAACATTATAGGCCCGTCGGCAGGCCAGGTGGATACAGACGCTAGGATCACGGGACCCCGCATCGGAGGAAGGAAAGGACCGATAGGTCACGTGACCTACAGGGGTGGATATGTTGGATATGTTGGACAACCAACATATTATGAACTTTCTTCAACATGAACTTGTCTTTTAGCCCTACGATGATTACTTAGGATTTAGTTTACCTCTTTAAGGAAAGCAACCCGATCCTAGATGTCACGCCGCGCCAGGGGTTGCAATCCTTGCCACTACGCCACCGTACCAGATGTCTTCACCAAAAGAGACCAATACCAAAGTCAGGGACTTTGGTATCTGCAACCACTTATCAATCTGTTCAGACCAGTGTAGGTCAATCACGTGACAACCGTCACACTAGAGAAGGATAACCTCTTATATTATCCCTTTAGTCCGTCATCCTCTTAGCGAATTGATCAATTATCTATTAGATTATGATATATTGGTGAGTCATTTAAGTAGACATTGGTGGTCTGCGCGGCAGTTCTACAGCAGTCACTATATATGTCTGTCAATGTCCATTTCTGGTAAGTGGTTCGTACCCAGTAGATCGCTTCAGGTCAGGCACTAGGGCAAAGGCAACAAATCAGCTGCACATCATTAGGCCGGAGGATAGTATTTTGTGTGCCACTTGCTAGACTGCTAGCACCCGTAACTAAATTAGGTCTTTCACTTCGGCTAGGAAGGAAGGACTTAGAAGGGTGTTTTGTCTCAATTCTCTCTGATACACTCTGTCTTCTCCAGGGTCCGGGCAGTTCCCCAGCTTCAAATGAGATTCTAAGCAACTATGGTTGCTCTGTGGCTGTACACATGACTAACTCCAGGAAGCCTACCCTCCTTCTTTCCTATACACACACATAATACACGAATTGCAACAACAACAACAACAACAACAATCATCAACATTAAAATGTGCTGTACACTATGAAAATTCAAGGTTGTGACCGGTAGAGTACTGTCAGAGCCACAAGTGTCATCCGAGGCGGGCCGGCTTCCACCAGGAAGGAAGTCGTTTGTGGCGAATGAGGAGCCGGGAGGCCGTTTGTGGCGGCTAGAGAGCCGCTTGTGGCGAATGAGAGCTGTTGAAGCCGTTTGCAGCGGATAGGGAATCGCTTGGTTGCAGATAAAGAGCCGCTATCCAAGATATTGGCCGAAGTCGGAGGAACACAGACATGCGGAAGCAAACATCCAGAATCCAACAGAGAACCTCGGCTGGCTATAAGTAAGGAGTCGAGACGGAGGAAGATAGAGAGGGCAGAGATCAATGAACTACTGTGGACACCCCTACCTGCCATCATCAAGTGACCACCAGTGATCACCAGGTGACCACCAGGGGAACACGCCTATTTCTCCCCTTCACTCTGTACTATCGCCTTCGGTCCAGGCCGTAACCTGACAAGTACAAGTAGCGAAAATGCGTTCTGCGGAAGCGCCATTAACGGCTAATACGGTATATGTTTCGAAACTTCATTCCATTCGAAATAGGAAGCCAATCTTGCAAGTCACTGTATAAAGTAGCCACCAAGCTTGTAATGGAGAGTAAACACACCAATTTTCATCGCGCAATAGTGTAACTCGTGGAAAGTAACTCCAAATCAGAGATAAGCAAGCTGTTGTAACAGATGCGTAGGGAGGACAACACTCTGCCTCCTACGTGAAACATAAACCTATGACAACGCATACGCCCATCGTTAACTTGACAGATGTTATCCATGTGTCAGGAATGGCTACGCCGCAAGGCAATCGTACAGAGTGAAGGGGAGAAACAGGCGTTTCATCTGTTGGTCATCGGGTGGTTACTGGTGGTCACAGGTAGGTATGTCGAGAATAGTTCATTGATCTCTGATCTTCCCTTCTTCCTACTCCAACACAGCCCCCTTGTATAGACAGCTAAATGCCTTATGCTGAATTGCCAGTCCCGGATCCCTCGGGTTCAGCGGCATTCCAAGACTTCCATAATATTCTGTGACCCATAAACTCATGGGCCAGCTCCCCACCGGCTCCCCACCGGGGTCATACACCCAGCGCTCTGACAACATGGAAAATCTCAGTAGCGCCGCCGGGTTCAAGGCGTATTCTAGGCGATAAAAATAACGATTTCACAAGATTTTCGCTGTTGGCGTCTTTATCCCCCCCGATCTTCTCCGCTAGACCAAGTTTTGACAACATAAGATATAGTATGCGGAATGAGCTCTAGAAGTTGTGTTAAGTATGTGCAAAACCCTTTGGCCCAAGTCATTCCGGCACAGAGTCGAGAACCGCTGAGATGCCTATCGGACTTGTTGCAAGCTATTAAAAGCATCTGATTGAATGTCTATGTCCTCTATAGTGAAGAAGAGTGAAGGTGTCCACAAGGGCCTAAAGTACAGAAAAGTGTGCTTCTTGGCTGCACATTTTGAGAGTGATGCGTCTGAGAATAACGGCGGCTGATACATCAAAGGATTCGTTCCTGAATATCTAATAGTAGCTGATACACCCGAGGATTTGTCAACTGGCTGTTGTTGTCGGAAGTTGGAAAGCAGCCGTTGGGGTTCAAATGCTGGGAGGCCCGACAACCTTTGTTTAATTTCCCCGACTGTTCCTTTAATAGCCTCCGTATCGTCCTCCTTCAAATCAACGCCATAGTATTTCCTCAAAGCTTCAACGCGTTCCTCATCACTTCGGAACTTCGCCTGCATCTTTGTCTCCCCATGCCTTCGCCACTTCAGCGTATCATGGTCGATGATCAGTTAAAGCCAGGTAACGGCTGTGCGTGAACATACATAATCCGTATAGAGTTTTCCCCCGCGTTTCAGCACAGAAGGGGCCCGGATTGTGGCCCGGATAGCTGAAGATAAATACAGTACTATAATAGTGTGAGACGGGCACAGCGTTCTCCTGCTATTATTATACTAATGCAAGTGCATATGGGGTGTGAATTGTTGTATTGGGCAAGGTTGGCCAGGTCAGTTCGGCCTGGCAGAGCTCTTTTATAGCTTGTATCTCATCTAGCTATGTTATCTATAGCTACAGGGTAACCCCCCTTGGGTTACGTATCACATACTATTAGTTTATCATCTCTATGCATGCGTCTTGTTATTAATTAAGACCTCGCCACCATTACTTACCCGAATAGCGTTCGTTACACGTGTAAATGTGCAGGAAAGCGTCCTGGAATCAGATCCACGCCTGTAATGGCTACGACGAAGTCACCAGCGTTCTCTTCCCCTTTACTTGGTCTTAGGACCAATGCTACAGTGTGAAGACCCTACCAAGCTTACAGGTAAACATATTCAGGGACGGATCTCATCTCTCGGGAGGCATGCCTTGGATAATTGTCAAGCCATACCCGACTTGGAAAGAAACTCTGAGCTGTTGTATCGGATACAATATGCCATGTCTTCGAGTTATGTGGTCTGACATGCTGGTGCCCAGGCCATTTCTTGCGCGATAGAAACTCGTGAGAGCTCCAATGGCTCGTTCACTCAACGATCCAAAACATAGAATTATGGCTTCTGATAGTTCTGCGCTGTCGGTCTTATCGACGCAACACGTATAGACCCAAGCGTACGAGAACAAAATCATACAGTGATTATAGAAGATTATGCGAATTTTCGTGTTAGCGTAAAGTGGTCCCTACACTTATGGAGCCTGACTGTACTGCAGCTGCCCCATGTCAGACATTGTACATAGTATTCAAGGCTGCCCGCATATTAACGTCCCGAAAAGACCCCGCATTCAACTTCTAATCGCGGAATGCTGCTTCCCACGTCTGTTTGTCGACCTCAAAAGTGTTTGGTCAGCCTCTGAGACGTTTGATAATGCAAACTACCTAGATTCGCAGTCATTTTTCTCTGCTGTTCGGAAACAAATCAATGCAGATAGGCAGGCGCCGAAAAGTTTTTGTCCGAAGAGGCAAGTAGCTGAGCCACACGAAATTGACAAACGCCCATAGGTCGAGCACCACACCAATCGGCCACCAGTCCTGACCTGAGACCAGCTGAACCTCGGAGCTCTTTACCTACAACACATTCCAGAACTCCTGGCATTGGTCACGTAGCTGCCTCAGATATGGCATCTGCCTAACTTTGGACACTCACATGCCTATGTAAAGTGTATATCTCACCGCATCTTTTTGCCTGCAAGTTGCAACGCCTACGGGGAGTCACTATTGACAATTTGCACCTTCCATTACTGCAACATAATAACTCTCAGGCTCGAGTGCGACATCAGAGCTCGGTATAACCAACATGGATTCCCACAATAACGCCTTTCGTTGCGAAGACTGCAATGCTTCGTTCCCCACGCGACCTCGTGCAGCTCAGCATGCCGGACTCACAAGACACATGAGTAGTCGGCACTGTTACCTCTGCCAGAAACTATTTGATCACCCCAGGTCCTTGAAACAGCATGAGAAGTCATCACCTCGTCATAACACGTCACTATTTCAAAGCCACACATTGAGAGAGCAACAGCGGCCCAGTTACCAACCGTATCCTGAGAGCACCGATACTTCTGATTCAGCAGCAGCTGCTGAAACACATCGGCAACAGAGAATAGCCACGCCAACATTAGCCACGGGTGATGGTGCTACTGAAACCATCATATCGGTACACAAGGTCAGAAACCAACAAGCTGATGTGGAAAGTCCGGCTAAGAGGATACCGATTAAGGCCATAACAAGCACCAATGAAACGGGAGTGACTAGAAACTCTGCGCTTAACAAGTCATCACCTGATTCTGCACCGCGAGTTTACCATACAGAACACCCTCACGTCACCCGAAGCTCGCTCGTTCCATCTCAACCTGGAATAATCAGGACTGCCACACGCCGACGGACCAAAGCACAAGCGAGCAGTGTAACTCCCTCAACTACTGAACTTGCAATGCACCCTGGCACTACAGCATTACAGCCAAAAGCATCTAACACCCTTCCACAAATGGCGAGGGCGCTATCTACAATTTCACGCGACGACACCGAGTCACTTTCATATTCCCAACTGGCAAACGACCAGAATGAGAAGGAACCCCAAAAAGGTACGTATCAACTTGAACCAAGTCAAACATGCCGATATTAACTACATGCAGCGTCGTCGCCGGAGCCGCCCCTCCCTGCGCCTACATTCATTACTTATCCTACTCTGCAAATTCTCCCGATTAACCACCAAACTCATGGAAAAAACCAATACACGCTTTATTCCGAGTTCGACCAAGGAGTTCTTTTCGAAGCCCTGCTACTACGTTGCCACACCCGGGGGAGGTTAACGGCCAATAGGTTCATCCTTCCAGGCCAGTCGGAGAGGGAACGGATAGTTATCCCGAAAGGAATGAAAGAATCTGATTTTCAATCTTCTCCAGCGCGATCCCGGCTTCAAGTCAAACGAAAAGTTGTTGCTTTGGACTGTGAAATGGTCGGGATCTTGCACCGAGAGGGTGACGACACAACCGAAATTAGCGAATTGGCTCAGCTGTGTGCTGTGGATGTCCTTACTGGGGAGACACTCATCAATAAATTTGTTTGCCCGTACGTCAGAGTTTCTAATTGGAGGACGAGGTACAGTGGAATCACACCAGCCGCAATGTCATGGGCAAACAAGAATGGGGAGTCACTACGCGGCTGGCGTGCTGCACGAGAGGAACTACTGAAGTACATCGACTCTGAAACCATTCTTATCGGCCACAGCATGACAAACGACCTCAAAATTCTGCGTCTTGTCCATGGCAAAGTTATAGACACGTCACTGCAGACCGCAGAGGTCGTGCATGGCGATGGTGACAAACTGCGCCGAATTTGGAGTCTCAAAGAGCTCGCCAAGGTGTTGCTGGGCATGAACATTCAAGTCGGCAAGAAAGGTCACGACTGCCTCGAAGACACACTAGCCACGCGTGAAATAGCACTCTGGTGCCTTCGCTTCCCCCAAGAACTGGAGACATGGGCATTGACGATGAGGGAAATGCTCGAGTGCCAGCGTATTGAGAGGGAGAAGAAGCTTGCAGAGGAGAGGAAAACCCACGAGGAGGAGAAAAAGAAACGCGAAGCCGAGGAGGCAGAGGAAAAGAGGCGTGAAGCTGAAGAATATGTCAAGAAGGCGGCGTGGTATTACGATCTCTTCTATCGAAGCCCTGGGGCTGAACCTGATTCTGGAGACGAGGCATACGAGGTCGAACACTGCGCCACCGGTTAGTGAGCTACCCTACAAGGAGTTTTCGGTGAGTATTGAGCTGAGATGGGTCTTCCGGGACCTGGGGTACTTGGATCGTTATATTTATCACAGGAAACATACCGTTTGTTCATATCCCTGGACAAAAAGCTTGGAGCTTCTAGCGTGTATAGGGACTATGAAAATCTACAGGGCCAAGTATCTCACTTCTTAAGCTTCATGTCATATCGTAATTAGCCGCCGGTGCTTTTCTTATCCTATTTTGTTCTCCTGTGCTTGATTTCCATCTATTGACGACGGGCAATAAATGCCAGCAGGTTCAAGGTGTGATGATGATGGCAACGGACAACAAGATCCTCAACAAGACCTTACTTTCCGGGAGGTGAAAGGAATAACAAAAGTACCTCAACAGGCATGAACAGAATAGGACCTTAACAGGCCGGGACAGATCGTCTTGATCAATAAAAGTACCTCAACAGGTACGGACCATGGCCTTACCAGGCACGAGGAACAGAACAAGACCTCAACAGGCGAAGGGAATGAGATCAATTACTACTTGCTTGGCCGCTCGCCTTTTCTTCTTCTTCCTCAAGAGTGACTACCTGCACAGGTTCTTACATACCTTCAAGAACACGCTTATATAATTCACCTAAAAACAGAAAAATGTCAGAGACACTGAACGCAGGACACCGGTGGGGTGCCGGTGGGGTGTTTCGGACAAAGCCTCCCGAGTCGTGATTACAATCTATGTGAAGTTTCGGGATGCCGAGAGTCAGGATTCCCGGCATCGCCAAACCTGCGGCTACGCCGGGTCCAAGCGGCGGCCTAGCTATCTATATAAGGACCATCTCGAAGTAGGATAGGGAAGGAGTAGAGATCAATGCATCATCGTGGGCACCCCTACCTGAGACCGCCAGTGACCACCCGGTGCTACGTAGGAGGGACGCCCATTACTCCCCATCACTCTGTACTATTGCCTTCGGCCTAGCCGTACCCTGACAAAAAAACACCCAGAAACCCTATTCCTAAGTCACTAGTCCCAAGTTAATTCTCATCGCTCTACGACACCTATACATCGCTTATCTCGTAACTAGCGTACGCATTGTCTTCTAAGGTAAATTATCCCTTATCAATTAGGTCGGTAGGACCGCTAGTCGCTAAGCCTTTTACTTGACTAAGCGCTGTCACGCCGCGCTAGGGGTTGCAATCCTTGCCACTACGTGTCAGAGAACAGAATGCCATAGGCACCAGTGGGTGTCAGGACACTGAACGCAAGACACCGGTGGGGCGCCGGAGGGGTGTTTCGGACAAAAGACTCCCGAGTCATGATTACAATCTATGTGAAGCTTTGGGATGACGAGAGTCAAGATCCTTGGCATCGTCGACCCTGCTGTTATGCCGGGTCCAAGCGGCGGCCTAGCTATCTATATAAGGACCATCTCGAAGTAGGATAGGGAAGGAGCAGAGATCAATGCATCACCGTGGGCACCCCTACCTGAGACCGCCAGTGACCACCCGGTGCTACGTAGGAGGGACGCCCGTTACTCCCCATCACTCTGTACTATTGCCTTCGGCCTAGCCGTACCCTGACACTACGCCACCGTACCAGATGTCTTCACCAAAAGAGACCAATACCAAACAAAGTCCCTGACTTTGATATCTGCAACCACTTATCAATCTGTTCAGACCAGTGTGGGTCAATCACGTGACAACCGTCACAAGCGCGTAGTTAGCCGCCACTGCCTCGTAGCCCAAATCCGAGCTATAGCTCTCTCCGTATTACATGAGTCTGCGCGTTATTATGTCCATATAGTTTCCGTCTACGTTACGGTTTTACTTCTACTATTAGTTATTTCCTAGTTATATGTTACACGCAAAGGTGGTCAAAGATTTGTGAGGTTGTAAAAGCATGACATCCTATCTAGTCCTATGGAGCACGAAGGTTGCACTTAGTCCCAAAGGGCTAAGTTACGTGGTAACCTTGGTGGTCTTAGCAAAGCCCACCAAGGTTGCCTAACATTATAGCTTGAATCTAGCGTATCGCCTACTACGTTCTCCTTATTTACAGATACAGCTTTAACTAAGTAGGCTATCTTAGACGAGTTCCCCCCCTACCGAAGATGCTGTTATCTTACAGTGTGGCCTTGATATGACGGTAATTTGACCTCTCTGTGGGATGGCTGTGACCTTGCGGTCGCAGTCCAATTGTGTAGAAGTATGTGTTGAAGCCCCAGTCCAAAGGGCCCCTTCGCAAGGCTCCTCGGCACTGACCCCAAGTGGCTGGTAGTCTCAGCTCCACTCTACTGGTGACTCACGTGACCTTTGTTATCACGTGACCATTATGTCTGACGAGATGCAGAGAGTCGCGTCGCGTAGTGGGCCGTTGAGCAGGGGGGTGGCGGCCGGTGTGCTGGGTGCCGCCAACTGCCCATAAATAGCCCTTCTGTAGCTGTAGATTCCCGGGAATTAGTCCCATCATCACAAATGCGGCTAGCTCCCTTGCCTGTCTTGCGCGCAACAAATCAGTCTATAGCATTTAGGTTCTCTAATCTAGCCAGGCGTCTTCACTCTCCTGATCAGTGGTCTGATTCCGGTGTAAATGCAACCATACAGCATAGTGCATATCTATCAAGAAGCCTGGAGATTTTGAACACGACGACACATGGTGAGTTCGCTGTCGTGTCTTATTACTGTCGTGGTTCGTGCCAGTTTCGGTGTGGCGTTCGATACCTTCGCGAGGATGAGACACGAGCTTCGTGCGTTGAGTCTAGACTTCGTTATTGGAGACGGTTCGCTCGTTGCTACAAGAATGATGCTTGCGATTGGGGAAAGTTCACGTCTGCGTTTAATACTCGTCGGCTGGTGTAGTTGGTCACTTCGCTGGTAGATAAGTCCCGATTTGAGCCTCGCCCACTTGGGTCGGTGACGAGTCGCGGGTTCGAATCCCGCAGCTGACACACAAGGGGGTTTAGTCAACCCTTACGGCGCGCTGCCCACCTTGTTGACTTCGCCTACCTAGCGATAATAGGGAGATTGGTGCAGTTTAGGATTACGAGCATCCTAGTCAGTCGACCGTCAAGCACTACGTCGGCGGAATATAACTCGACAGCCGGTCCAGAATTCGAATCGTTAATCCGACCCCTTATCGGACCTCGCCTATCCGATAACGCTCGTCGGCGAACCCGTCCCCTCACGATAGAAGGCGCGCAGCACGCCCTCTCGCCGCGATTCTTGCGAGCGTCTAGACCACGTTACGGTCTATCCACTTGAGCGTATGGTTGAGATGTATACGCTCGACGAGAACCCCAATTAGCAGATACTACGACTTGTCGCGACAAAAAAATAGTCGAGCATCTTCTGCACATCAGCAGCATCCCACCCCTGAGGACGAATTTAAGTGCCACATTACCACGCTTATCGGTAGTTCAGGCAGGGGTTGTAGCACAGACTTAGGGAGGGACAGGAGGTTTAGTAGTCGTTTGGCTACAAGTTTACCTGTATAACCGCCCGACGCGGCTTAAGGGCCCGCTATATCATCTATAGCCCCTTAAGGGAGTACTTGTAGAGGTACCGAGGGTTAACACCTACGGCGTATTTAATATTATTTTTAATACTCAAAAGTTTTGGTAGTTGCGCTACAGCGTAGAATATGACTTGTATACGACTTCAGTCTTTTGAGTCATTCGTCTGGACGCTCGATTCGTGTGCCCACAGAATTTCTTCGAAGCATTGCAGCCGGGTGAACAAAGTTCGAGTTGCAGGTTCGTCCTTCACAAGAGGCCTGGGTGGGTCTCGGCTGGGTCGGCCGAGACTGGTTCTCCCGGGGGAATAATATTGAAGACACGATCACTTCTGGCCTGGATCTGCTTACAAACAAGAAAGCATTGAAACTTGTCATCGAGGACGGCGATAACGTGACGAGGAGGTCGCAATGTTTCTTACTGCAATGCCATGGACAGGCGGCAGGTGGAGGCGATTCCCCAGTTTCATCCTTTGACATATTTGTTATTTGTGACCTCTGTTATAACGAGGATCGCAAAAGACCATGCTGGTGGTGTCAGGTCCCGAAACGGCCGCGACTGGACATCGGTCTCGCTGCATTAAGACGTGTGAGTCTTGACTCGATCGAGATGGATCGAAATGGCTCATGGATCGTGATCAGATGGGGCACTAGTCTGCGGTTCGACTTGGATTTGATGAGCTTCTGGGAATGAGACGACCCGAGGAGATGGAACTCATCAATAACGACAGGCTCTTTGAGTTTAATTTGTTCATAATGGCGGTGCTGGCTTGGAACTGTGAAGGCGGCTGCTATACGAGTGTGGCAAAGCTTGGGGGGCCGGGAAGGCCGAACAGAACGTGACATTATTACAACGCTACAAACCTTATGCGACCCAACGAACTCTGCCAAGGACACCGACGGTGCGGTCTCACGATACCCACTTGATACTGCAATTTCATATTCTGTGTGTACCCGGCCGGGGACTTATTTGATGATAACCCAAAGGCGAAAGCGAGCTTGTGGATTTGGCATTTGTTCATCACTCGGTTATCCATCGAGGATGAGCACTAATCTACTGGTTTATCTGGATCTCAAACATCTAGACCTATCGAGGGGGATCTACAGCTGTAGTAAAAACGGCCAAGCGTCGCGTCTATGCTGCGAACTGGGATCTCTATGCCATGAATCCTTGCAGCACCCCTCTTTTCCTATCACCTACACAATCTCGACGTTCGGATATCCAAAACTTGGGGAAACGTCCTGGGCATATGTGAGCTCAACATAAACTCCATCGGCATCTGGTGTCCAAATAACAAGGTCGAGACTCTTCGAACGACAGGACCAATCCAAGATTATCCGTCACCCATAAGGATCTAAGCGCGGTGCTGTCACAGCCCTATCCCTGCACAGAGAGCGCTAGCGCGGCAGAAACATTGGCAAGCTGCAAGGCACACAGAAGGGAGTTTAAGCTTCCCGTCAAAATGAACCTTCATTTCAAACTCTGTTGGCCACTATGCGGATGGGAAAAAAAGTCTAAGTGGACAGTTCCCTCAATCTCGCACCGGGATGTGAGGAAATGGTGTTGATGAAGCTAAGAACTCTGATCTTAAACTCGAGAACGCCGAGGCGATGATCACTTGGCCGTTTCGGGCGATGCTCATGAGATGGCATGGCGTTGTAGGATAAATGTATGCTATATCACCACTTCATCGCCAACCACATCCCACTTTGACATCGCTTCGTTCGTTCATTGAGACTACAGGTCAAGTGCCGCATCAACATTGAAGCAGTCCTCGGGCCATGCTACTCGAATATTCGATCTTTTAATTATTTCTTTAGTTTCTAATATCCCCGACCAACAATGTCCATCAAGTCGTCCGTCACGATGCAGTCGACAGAGAGCACGGAGAGCACGGAGAGCACGGAAAGCAAGGAGTCCAAGTACACGTCGATGGACCTCTCGGGCAGCGTGTTCCTCATCTCATCTGATGGCCAGATGCTCAGTCTTCCGATCCCGAGCGACTCCCCCAATGACCCACTTGGCTGGAGCTCCAGGAAGCGGATGTTGGCCTTCGCGAGTGTCATGCTGTATGACGTTGTCGGTGTCGCGGCGATACAAGCCCCGACGTTTATGTACGGGGCATTCGATCATGATGCGGCATTGGCAGTATGCGACACCTCTTCTGATTCCTTCAGCTTCCTATACTAACCAACGCCACTAGGAGAGATCGCTATTCCGCATCGAAGTCCTGGTGAGCGCCCCGATGCTGATGCTGGGCATTGGCGCCTTTCTATGGGTACCACTCTCGCTTGCCATCGGCAGGAGGCCGGTGTTTCTTCTTTGCACCCTGATGACGTTCATTTCAACCATATCGGCAGCTTTGGCACAAAACTTTTACCAGCTTTTGGCTGCCATGTGTGTTCAAGGTTTGGCGGCAAGCAGTATCCTGAGTCTGGTTAGTCATGCCTTCAAACCCCAAACGTGCGTACATAAACATGTTTTAACAGGGTGCGGTAGTTGTTGTGTATCGTCATCGATATGACCTTCATCCACGAGCGTCCCCAAGCCATCGCTATGTTCTGGGGACTCGGTGGCAGCCTGACCCTGTTGGTGCTGTCGATAATCCCGCAGATCAAAGTGGTCGACACCGATTGGCGCTCCTTCTACTGGATCTGGTCCATGGCAAGTCTCGCTTCATTTGTCATGACTCTCTTCTGCTTCCCAGAAACTTTCTTCCTCCGACCCCCTGTAGCCTGGGACGGCCGGATCGTGGTGCAAAGCGGATCCGAAAAAGTCCGCATCTATGACGACTGGGACGCAGTCCCCGGCGAGCAAGCCCTGCCCAACCCGCCCGATAAGCACTGGTTTAAACGATTCATTCAACGCATTAAGGTTTGGAGCGGACGAAGCGAGTGGAAGGCCATGTGGGCATGCTACCCGCAAGTCATCCTCTGCTTGTGCAACCCCCTCGTATTCTGGGTCATGCTGCTCAATGCCGTGAACTTCGCGGGGATGGTGTCCATCGGCGAGTCCTTCGTATACGTCCTGGCTGCCAAGCCTTACAACTTCCCCCCCTGGGCTGTCGCCCTCGTCAATCTTGCCGCCGCCGTGGGGAGCTTCTTGGTCTGGCCTGCGGCGGGGATCATGATTCAGAATATCACGCGGCATCTTACACGGCGGAACGGTGGGGTTCGGCATGCAGAATATTATCTACCCGCGTTTGTGCTCCCCGTCCTGGCGGGTGCGGCAGGCAATCTCCTTTTTGGTCTCACAGCGCAGTACCACTTACACTGGATTCTCATCTACATCTCTTATGCACTAAAATCTTTCAGCTTCGTGGCACTGGGCGCTGCGAATGTACTTTGGGTCACTGAATCGTTTCCCCAGTGGTCGGCGGCTGCGCTTGTCTGTGTGGGTGGATTCAGCTACATCGTCAGCTTCTCCATGAGCTTTGTGCTGCCGTTGTGGATCAAGTCGCAGGGGTACGCATGGGAGAACATCCAGCTCGCTATTATGATCCTCGTCGTGGGAGGGGTTGGCGTTCCTGTGGCCTTCTGGGGGAAGAATGTCAGGCAATATCTGGATGGTCGGTGGGGAGAATATCAAGCGGGGGCATTGAGGCCGCAGTGACTATTGGGTCTTTCTAAATCTCCTGAGCTTAAAATAAAAACAATCATGTCTAAAATCGCACGCCCCCCAATACTATAATGTGAAAATAATCTCCCTCAAATGGCGAGGGGTCTGGGCAATGATTTGAGACTTCACCTTGGAAGCACACTAGCCGATGACGAAGATCACAGAACCAGTTTGATATAATCAAGACCAGGATGACGGGAAATGAATGAAAGGGGTTTGAATAAGCCGGAACTGACTTCTGGTTACCTCATATTCAACAAGCCGACAAGCCCACCTGTACCTGATCTCACCTTGGAAGCAAGGGACAAGCCATACACCGTCATGGCGTCCCTGCCAATCGCATCAATGGATGGGGAAGCAAGCAAGTAATCCCCGTCCAAGCCGTAGCAAATCATTTCATCATCCTAATCCAGGTTATATGTAGGGGATGCACCAAGTGCGAAGTTCGCAAGTACATTGTACATAGAGCTCCCAGCCGAAAGGATAGCCACGAACTCCACTTTGCTAGCATGGATATTCAAAAGCATTATACCTTGGGAATAGCAGAAACTAAGTCTAAGTTCTGGTATAGTATGTACCCAACATGAGCCATTTCAAAGTGAGTATTCGCGACGTGAATTGCTAACGGCAGTGGTGTTACCTTGATAAGCAAATACGGAGGGGCTGTTCAGGACAATTACCCCACGATGTTACGGTGGCACACTCGTACAGTACACATGCTTTCCAGTGCACTGTAAAGAGCCGGCACGAATCGCGCGGTCAGACGGTGTAAGTTGCAAGAAGAGCAACGCAGCCGTTGCGTCATAGGCTCGAGCTCCCAAATGGACCTCCTCAACTCTAGCTCCAACACTATCAACAACTCAGCTCGCTTGATACTCATCACACCTAGCATCACCTCACGTAAACCAACCTCAACTCAAACCCCATCGCCATACTCTCACCCAATACCCCCTCCACAAAATGTCTCTCCTCACCCGCCCGCTGCGCCTGGCCGCACCAGCCGTCGGCGCCGCGTCCCGGTCCTTCCACGCCTCGCGTGCCGCCTTCGTCAAAGTCGGCGACAAGCTGCCCAACCTCGAGGTCCTGTGCGAGGACTCCCCCGGGAACAAGGTCAACCTAGCCGAGGAATTCAACAACGTCAAGCGGGGTCTCATCATCGGCGTGCCTGCCGCCTTCTCGGGCGCATGCAGCCAGAAGCACATCCCCAGCTATATGAATCATCCCCGCACGAAGGAGATCCAGATGGATGGGGGTAAGGTGGTTGTTGTTAGTGTGAATGATGCTTTTGTGTAAGTCGATTTATTGCTTGCTTGCTTGATTGATTGGAGATAGTGTTCTTCTCTAGGGGATGGTTGGTGGGTGGCGAGTTGGGAAGTGGTTGCGTGGACTGGACTGCAAGTCTGGACTTGATGGGACTCACAGCTGACTGGATGCGATGGTGCATTTGAAACTGCCATCAACATGTCAACGTAATGAATATGAGAGCATTCCTCGCTAACCTCCTCCCAGTATGAAGGCATGGCACGACCAACTGGACCCGGTCAAAGACTCCGGTGTAAGCTCTCCTTCCTCCCCTTTCTCCACTCCCATGCCCCCGTTCTCACATCTCATCCAGATCCGCTTCTTGGGCGACCCAACGGGAGATTTTACCCGCGCCTTGGACCTCGGTTTCGACGGCTCCGCCATCTTCGGCGGCATGCGGGGTAAGCGGTACGCCCTGGTGGTTGAGGACGGCAAAGTGGCGTCTGCGCACGTTGAGCCTGATAACACGGGCACTGATGGTGAGTACCTACTTGACTTTACTTTCTTTTCACGCGTCCTCCTTTCTGGGATTGTCCTCAGGCGGGTCTGGAGAAAACGTGTCAAGCTACGGTTTGAAGATGCTCGTAAATGAGTTGGAAACATACACCGACAGAAGCCTGATGTCCGAAGCCCAAGTCCGTGCCAGCGTATGACACGCGGAACAAGCGGGTACGGAACCACGTTGTCGATGTGATCAGAAAGGATGATCTGCCCGGGAGTGTAATTTCTACCTGGCTTGTTCCGTTGTCTTTGACCTATTCAAGCTTCGTTAGTCGTGGCTTGCCTGCCACTGTTGGAACAGCAGCGAAAATACGCCAGCTATTAAAAATATGCTAATTTGGCCACAGTCTCCATGGCGGACAAGGTCTTGGGTTGAAAACACCCAACGGTATACCAAGTTGAGCATGGTATGGTACCAATGTAAATCTACGAGGTCTACAAGGGCTCTGACTCAGGCACTCGTTGTAAGCTGCTGTACAATACCAGCAATGGTGGATTGAAACAGCCAGGATTGCACATGTTCAAAGATCGATAGACGCACATCAATCAAGTGCAAAATTTAAAGTCTAAATGGGGAGCAAGTTACTTGCACCATGTATAGCGGAAATGCTCAATCCTACAGTACAAAGCTGGCCTGATAACTCCCTGTCCAGTAACGCCTTGTCCTGCTGGGTCAGCCGTCCAGCACACTTGCGCTAGTCTTCCAATCGCTAGAAAATAACCATACTCTCTCATGAACTTCTGTGAACATAATCGCCTACTTGAACCACGCCAACAATTCCTCCCGTTCGTACCCTCGGCGCCGGGTTCTGCTGGAGCCAGGGGTGGAATCGTCGGGCAAAGCGCCGCCAATTCTACTTGCGTCCGCTCGACACAGGAGCCAAGCTCTTGAGATCCACGTTAAAGGTCCAACGGCCTGTTGGGTGTTTGTTAGCATACTCATGTTCGCCAGGTTAAATAACTCTGCGTTTCACAGAATAACATTGGTGCGTTTAGCCATGGAATGACGGCGGTGTGGTGTAGATTTGTGCGGTGATGAGTAAGGAAGCTACTGGAATGGTCCAAACGTACCGTTAGCGAGGTTCTCTGCAGTGTCCTCGAGCAGAATAACTCGTCGCTTGTTGCAGTAGGATGTTTTGTCCATGATATCCACCTTCAACTTGGGATCCGAGAGCTCCGCAATCGGCTTCTCGAACATCTCGGAGAGGGCTTCCACGGATAATTCCAAGTCCTTCTGGTTATCCTCAAAAATTTCCGTCAAATTGTTTCGGGCGAGGTAAAAAGCAAAGGCGTACGTCCACTTCAATGTCTGGCGACATGTCTGGAGAGCTTGCGAGGCCGCGTTAAGGTACTGCACTTCAATCCACGACATGCCTGACGCCGTCTGCAGTTGTACCATCTTCTTCTCCGTCTTGGTGTATATGTCCTTATCCAGTCGAGCCGACTGTTCGTGGTTGGCGTACCGATTGTAGTAATGCAAATAGCGCTCCAAAGAGACTCGAGATTTGGCCTGGGCATCTCGAGCGTCGGTGCCGCTCTTCTCCTCGAATCGGTTACAGTTGTACCAGCTGGTACCGTGTTCCGACCACAGCCCCATGCACATCCAGCAAAACTCATGCTTGCACTTGCGGCACGTCATATGGTTGCAGCCGCCGTTTTTCTCAATAGTGGAGTTGCACTTAGGACACTCCTTGGTATTGGCAGAAATCCAGTTGGCCGTCTCGCTATCGTCTGCGCACTTCTTTAGCCAGCGCTTGACCAGCTCGCAAGGCGCCGGCTGGTGGTCGTTCAGGATGCAGCCAAAGCAGAAGCGGTGGCCACATCGACATGCTACCGTCGGTACGACCTTGTCGAGGTCCTTCTTCTTGATGGCGCACTCGATGGCGTTCTCGCAGTCCGGCGCTGGGCACCATTTGAGAATCTCCTTGTCCTCGACGTACGTTCGATTTAGCAGCTCTTGGTATCGGTCCGCAAGGTCCGGCGTGACGAGCAAGTCGAGTGATCGAGCGTCCATGATCCTCCCACAGCCTTCGGAAGGACACTGAATCCGAGCTGCTTCGCCTTCTTCCCGAATCTTCTGGGTCAAATATTGTCGGTAGCAGTTAACGCAGTATCGATGGCCGCATTTCATGGCGAAGCTCTCCAGCCCATCATCATCCTCGTAACATATGTCGCACGTAAATCCGGGGATAAATTCAAGGCGCGGAGGGTTGATCGTGCTGGAGCCCAGCCCGGCAGCCTCCAGCACCTTGGAGGGCTTGTCCATGTAATCCTCCATCAAGCGTTCCTTATTCCATCGGAAGTGACGTAACAATATGGCTGCGTCCTCTTTCCGCATCTCGAGAATCATATTTACTTCGTCCATCATCTCGTCCTGGTGGGCTTGGATGTCGGTGGGGCTGTAGACCTTGAAACTGATGTCGTACGCAATCCGCTTCCTTTGGATCTTGTTAGGTCCCAAGTCAGGTTCCTCATCTGGTTCGTCGTCGAAGGCGTCAAAATCTGGCCAGAGGGAGTTAGTCCGAGTCGGCGTAGATGGGAGGGAAGTGAACATTACCTTCGACCCCGGACATCTCATCGTTGTCGGTGTCTTGCATGGCATCGTCGTCACTGCTCACAGTGGACTGGAAGTCCTCGTCGGAATCCATGCCGGTAACGGGTGTAGGAGGTGCTGCCGAGGCGATCCGCTTGCTGGGTGCAGCCGGGTGGTTGATCTTCGCCTCAGCCGCCTTCCTCTTCCTCGTCGTGGGAGGAATTTTGACCAATAAAGTTGCCCGTCAAGTCGACGAGCAGCAGGGCTGTGGCGACGTATTTGTAAACTCAAAGCGGAGAGAGGTATTGAGTCGAAAGGCGCGGTGGGTTGTGCGTCACCGGGAGAAAGAAGGAAGGTTGGGTTTGGGTGGGATTTGGCTTGACTGAGGGGCACTGGCCAAATCGGTGACAGCGGGCGGAATGGATATAACTTTGTTCACTAGTTATTTAGAAGAGTCGAGCCACAACGGTCTCAGGCCGACGCAGCAACCAGCGCGTAATTTCAGGAATACTTGAGATAGAGGAGCAGGAAGGACGATTGTAGTGATGCAGGGGCTAACGCCGCAACTGGTCAAACGGGAGAAAAGGGGATCGGGTGTTGGTGCAAGTAAGCAAACAGACAAGGCAAGTGCCTGCTGGTAATCGGTTATCAGTGCACGACTCCAGGGATCCTGTGACGCAACTGATGCCTTGCCGCTAAATCCTCGGCTGTTAGGTTCGAGGTAACCTTAAAGCGAACCAACGCTGAAAGTCGTCGCAGCTGACCACGGCGTCCACCCGACCTCTAGACTGGGGGAATAGGAGCAACTTGACGTTGTCATGATGAACTGATGCAAGAAACGCGAAAACTCTTGTACAGATTGCCAACTGGACCTGTCTTTTGCGTCCAGCACATCCAAAATTGGCACGCTAATATTATCACAATTGTACCCCATCAACACAGAACATAATGGTATCATATATTGGTCAATCCCGGGCCAAGCAATAGTCATGTATATGTATACAGATAGACAGCCCAACCGTACTCCGCGAATCTATTCTTCCCATGCCTAAACCCATGGCATGAACACCCCCTGCGCCATGCACGCAACCTGGACCATGATGTGGAAACGCACCAAGTTTCCTCTTTGTGGCCTCTGATTAGTGTCCTTTCATGAGCCGAAATGACGAGACGAAAATCTCAAGTCCTTCCCATATAATGTCTTAAGCAAACAGAAACCTCGAAAGGTCAATCCTTCGCCCCTCGGTCTTGTTCCTGGCCTTACCCAGGTTCTCCACGTTCTCAAGATCCTCTGCACCATCACCAGCATCGTCTCCGTCACTCTCCGAGACTAGCATATCTTCACTGCCAACAGGTTGATGCAGTGCTTCCACTTCCGTTAAGTCTACAGGCGGGAGAGGCACGAATGCCGGGTTGATCGGAATGGAGTTCAGGTTTGCTCGGCCCAAGCTACTACGCTTCAAAGGTCGAGGGACAGCAAAGGTTGGTGTGGATGGCGGCTTGCTGCGGCCGATCGCTTGAGCCCCAATGCGCTGTAGAGGGGTCATAATAGGGGTCGCCGGTGTTGTAGCAGCAGACGACGCACTGAACGTTGAGTTTGCAGACGCCGGCGTAGACCGCGTAGTAGATGATTGTGTAGATGATGCAGGCGTGGGACGAGTGTACGAAACTCGGCGGCTGTTCAAGGAGGATGAACTGTCATTACTCTGGCTGAAAGAAAAGCGGCTGATATTTGTGGTGGATTTGAGGGGTGTCTCTGAGGTCTTTGCCTCTGTTGCTGAACTCGTTCCATTCGCCTCGAGCGTCGCGCCTTCGTTGTCGTCATCCTTAGAAATATTGTCTTGGATATTTTGGGAGCGCTCCTCAAACACCACAACTTCCTTTTTCGCCTTCGATAGCCCGTGCCATCCATCCATGTCAGGAAGACCATTCAATGCCTCTTCTATGGAGTCATCCGACATGAGGTATCCATCTGTCTTCTTCGGGGATGTTGCATTGTTACGACTCAAGGGGAAGAATTTGCTTATCTCTTTCGCGGGTACCGAGTCCGAAACGGCATCGTTGCATAGCCTAGCCTTCTTAGGTGGGCGGGTGGAACTCGTCAATGCGGCCTCATTTCCTGTGTCCAAACTGGCAGTAGGTCCCAGGGTCTGTCGGCGTGACGTTGAGCCCAACGAGGTTCCGTTATCACGCAGTAGATTCGAAATGGGCTCCGTCCGGCGGCGTAAAATGCGAGGTGAGGTAGCTGCTGACGAACGAGTGATATATGACCGGGCAGGGCGTGAAGGCGGTGATCTCCTACTGTCAACATAGGGTCTCGGTAGGGGAAACACGATGGGTCTTTGGTCATTGTCGGTCATGCCAGCCACCCGCTGAGGATCAACGGAGAAGCAGTTGGGATCCATCTCACCCAGGGGAATGCGTCTGTCACCCTGAAAATACCCTTCAATGGGTTTCCTAGGCGGTTTGCGGCTACTGGCCTGTGTAACAGGTTGCGGGGCCGACGACGAAGATGCACGCTTCCGAGGCTCTGGGAGAGGCGCAAGCTGAATCCTCTGCTTGGTGATGGGGTTGACATCGCCAACGGCAATCTGTCGAGCTAAATCAGCCTCGACAAATGCTCCGATGAATGGCATATCATCAATGTTAATGTCGGCAGGAGGCGGGGTCAAAAAGGCCTGTTGTTGGGCTTTGGGGCAGTAGACTCGTTGATAGAGAAACGTAAGCTCCGCTTGACGGAAGAGGACCATGTAGTCAGCGGGTACGCGATATTTACCGTCGAATTGAAGCATTCTGATGGCTTTTTCTGGTGTCTTGTACTTTCGAATCATCCGATACGCAGTTTTGAGCCCCATGTTGTTGATGCTGTCAAGATAATCGCATCCACTCAGTATAGCCATGTGGCGGAACTCGGCGTCGGTCCACCCTGTCAGTGAAATCTCACGGACGGCACAAAAGTCCCGGCGGTTGATCTCAACACATTGCCCGTGTTGATCGAGTTTCGACAGGAGTCGTTTGGCGCCGAATACGAGCAAGTCCGAGTCTTCCGAAATGATGCCACTGACTAGCCCCTGCCGTTCCAAATACACCATTTGGGCATCTGCTTCGTACGGAGCTACAACGTAAGGAATACCTGCTTTCTTGAGCTCCTCGATCAGGTGCCTGGCCATCTCCGGGGTCACATCAATGGCCTTTTGGAGTTCGAGATGGGCTTGAGACGGCTTGCCAGCTTTGAGCAGCTCCAAACCCGCCTTTTTGCTCTCCTCACGGCGCTTCGCACGCGAGTCCTCCGTGCAACCTTTGCTCGGCAAGTAATCACCATCAAAAACAAGGTAAGGAGTCACTCCGAAATGCTTGGCCATTCGAACTCGGTGCATGGCGAAATCGACATATCTACAGCTAGGGTAAGACCATGTTTGATGAGAGGAACTATGAGGGTAGTCCAGTATGTAAATAGAAATAACTCACTTGCGGGTCGGCTTGTCCTGAGCAAGCTCTATGGCACATGAAATGGCGCCTCGATGCAACCACCCATAGGCATCAACTGCGAAGGTCTCACCAGCAAACTTTTTCAGTTCGGTTGGTCGTTGGATGGACTTCAACAGCGGGAAAAGACCTGTTCCATGGTCATTAAACGATTCCTAATTCAATACTAAGTCCTAACGTACCTTGAATGCCCATGTTCCCAAGTGCCAATTGGCTAGGCAAACACAGAAAGTCTACAAGGCACGCAAGTCCATCCAGCAAGGCTTGTACAGTGGTGGTGCTTTTGGCGATGGAAGAACAGTGGTGCAGCAATGGTCAATTCCAAGGGATGGAGACCTGGGGACTAACATTCAGGTGTGGTGCCCGAAATTTATGAGCTATGCGCCAGTACGTAGCGTAGAGAGGCGCAAGAAACGATGATGACTGTAAATAACTCGAAAAGCAGCCCAAAGGAACCAGGTTTGAACAAGATGCTGCAAAGTATGGACGGTGTAACAAAACTGGAAGCCAAGGACGAAAGAACGTGAAGTCGAAATGGACCACAAAGCACCGAGAGCCCCTGTCACAGCAAGGACATTTAATCACCTTATTACCGTCATGCGAGTGGAAAGGACGCGGTGCATTGGTCAATTGATAAGAGCAACCGCGTCGTGGACCCAGCGCGACTTCCCACCCATATTCGGTTAGCACTTGTCGACAGTGGATCGTCAGAGCAACGCGGGGTCTTCGAATTTGGGACACTTTAACTATTTCGTATATTTCGTACCGAGTACTCCGTATAGGTTAGAAAGGTGTAGAGAAGCCTGCCCCACCAAAATTTGCAGCGGCTCGTTTACGGACTTCACCGACTAACAATCTGATTCTGCCAGCGCCCCACCCCAACCAAGACCATCACATAAGCTTTTACGAATCATCAAGATATCAAAATGGCCAAAACCAGCCTCGAGAAGACGCGGAAAGCCATTGCGAAGAAAAAGGGCCCCATCGAGGCGGTTCACCAGTATTCCCGCGATGCCAAAAGACTGCACCGAGCCGTCGGCCGAGATGTAAAGCTCGAGAAGCTCGCTGCGGCGAGAAAGAGAGCCGATAAGCCATTCAGTTGGTCCAACCTTTCTTTATCCTCGACTTCGTTGAGATGGGAGCATTTGTCGCTGACTGAGCTGCAAAGTTGAGCGTGCCACTTATTTCCAGGAGGCCTTGAGACGAAATGACAACAAGCCTTTTCAATTGGATATTGTTCAAGAACTCATCAAGGCGTAAGCTGCTTCCCAACTTTTCATGAGAGACTTATGTTGCGCTAGCTAATTCACATACAGCTACGTGCATCAGTATGATGAAGAAATGAGCGAGTTGAAGAAGGCTCGCAGGCCAGGTCGACCTTCAAGTACCAAGGAGGACCTCCTGAAGATGAAGATAGAGAGACTCTCCAAGGAACATGAAAATGGCTTCTGTGAGTGGTCCGCTGTCTCGGCATATCTCATCTCGTGGCTTGAATGCTAATCGCCTCGTAGTGGTCCCTGACCTTACTACGGAAGACAACACCAAGCTTCTAGATCGTTGGGAAGGATCTTGGTCCTACCTGACTGGCATGCAGTGGGTGAGGGTAGCAAATGGGGGACATGTAAAGCCCTCGAGCTTTCCCCCCAAGGGAGATCACTAGCGCAAGTTCGCAGAATGTCACCCTTCTTCGCCAAGCTCGACAGTGTGTGGACAGTTCGTGCATACGTCGGCTGATCTTTCTATCTTCAACTCAAGCGTTCGGGGTATTGCGTATGGCGCAAGGCGTTTTTAAGACAGGACAAGGGATATTCGCCGGCACATGGATGTGATTCGTGAACGACGGTTACTTACAGCTGAGACTGAGCTAAACCCGTCCATGGCCCATCACCAATGTGCTCCTATTAGATCACGGGGCATCATGGCGATGACACGACTAAAGTTCAGCTACATTACAGCATTGTGTTATTCAAGTTGCACCTTCGGTTCCCACAGCCAGTTGCTATTCCACTTCTGTTTCTGCGTTCGCATGTTGAGGGTTCTGGACAAGGTTGAGGCATGCAATGGCTTTCCTGACATATTTCGTGCTTGCCACAGCATCGCGACAGTTTAACGCTTCTCGATGCACCAATATAAACAGCCTGCAGTGGTACACCTGGTCAGCCGTTGCGGCCATTGCCGATCGACTCGCATGGTTTCCCGCGAGGCCGGTGAAGCCGGTGACGTTGTTTGGCTTATATTCTCATTTACATGAGGGCGAGGGCAGCAGGTAGCCGATGGGCGATAGTGTCAGCCCTGGGGGGTATTATCTTTCTGCATAATGGCATATATCCCGGTGGACCCGGATTCCTGGGCGAATTTTCCGATCGTTCCGTTATCTGGGCCTTGCGCTCTGGCCCGTACCGTTACTTAAACAAATGCCATGGCCTTGAGTCAAAGGTGCGACATTCCACAACTGTCCCTTCCCACCGTCACCATCCCAACCAGGGATTGGCCAGGTGTGCGTTTCCGTGTTCCTCCTCGTGGTCGCGGCTTCTGATACACTCCGAGATAACCTTGTGTCCGTCTGTTCTGTGATGCCCCAGATGGCCTATGGGATGGTCATATGGCCATGATCCTCTCGCTCGAGGGCGTCTTATATTGGGACTCCAACGCCCCTCGCTCTCTGTCAACTTCGATTGGCCTAGAGACACATCGCCCGGCGATGGAGTCTAGGACTGTCGTACTTGCCAGAAAAGTAAGACGATGTCGATATCCTGCGGAGCCTTCCGGTGATTCTTCTATATATAAAGGCGGAGTCGGGTCTTCATGCTTCGTCCCGTTTACCTCTGGCGATCTCTTCCATATTCGCGTATAATCGTCGATGAGATCCGAGAGCCTCAAGTGATCAAACCGGCCCATCCCAACCAACATCTTCCAAGATCTATCCGAGTATGCCCTCTACCTTCTGATGGACTTTCGCTCGAGAGAATGGTATCTGACTTTTCTACAGAAATGTGCAAATACATCACCCATACGAGAAACTGCTTCGTCTGCGGCCACGAAGACACGGTCCTGATCTCGGAGAAGCAATGCTCCTCGGCCAAGCGGAGCAGCGTCTTCGGCAGCTGTGGCAGAGGAATCGGTAATACTATCAAGTCAACACCACATCAATGTTGGAAGTGCAGGGAAACCGTCGAGAGGGCTTCGCAGCCGAGAGCTTTGCAACAGGTCGGCTACCGTTGATCTTCGGCGCAAAAGGGGCAAGGAAGTCAACATTCAGTGTCAGCGACATTCTCTGGTCCGACTTTCATTCATCTGGTTCATCAAAACGCACTGTGGACATAGATGGCACTACCCTAGGGTTGTGCAGAACAAGGTTTCCTTTCCGAGTGTGCATTTTTGGGCGGTAAATATCTTTACACCTGTATCATACAGTATGCCTTTGCGGCGTGGCTATCTACTTTGGACCCTCGATGTCTAGATGTTGTATCGTTACTCGTCGCCTTACACACGCACTGCTTGACACGATGTGGTACTGATCAATGGTTCCACTACACTGGCGTTACCTGACATCAGAGTAGCTCTGAACTGGCGCAGATCAAATGTTCTGGTCCCTCCATCCAATTGCTCCCGTCCTGTCACAGAATTTTCTCCTCAACGCTTCCAATTATCACAGCTGTACTTTTATCTACGAAACCGGTGATGGGGGTTCAACTCTTCGTTCTTCCATGTGACCGAGAGATATTTCCAACCATTTGAGCACCTGTCAAGAGCCTACTAGGAGTGATCCGACGTCACACTAGCTAAAGGATGATGCAGTGACACCAGCCGAGGGCATCGCAATGTCAACAGCTTGAGCGATACACGACGTTATTGATGACTCAAGCAGCACATCAGGACAGAAACGGTAAAACACGGTCAAGGACTTACTTGTCATCGCCAACTTCGCATCCAATTTGGTGTTCCAATACCACCAAGAATATCAAGCTACAAGATTGTCGAACCTCGAATCTGACTGTACTTTTTACCACCTTCAGGGGATTGGGTCCGATGAGACTGAAGTCAATCATGGCATATGGAACCTCTCCAGAACGTTTTCCCTATTTTACCCTTTCAGGGATCAGCACGATGGCCACTACAACAAGTCTACTCTTTCTTTCATGAAGACGAAACGTAATTTTCGGCGTCCGCATAAAGGCTTATAACGTTTGATGACCATCGTACACATCCACGCTATGCATCTTGGGGAGCAATACAATACTCTCTCACCCGGCCCCTTTTCAAGATCGTCCCTCCAACCCCCAAGCTGATGTATACCCGAACGGCATCCACTTGACCATTCCCTCCACCCTCTCAATCGTCCCATTACCAACCTTAATCAACTGCGGAACCATAAAAGTGCTCGGCACCCTCTCCGTCTCAGGCACTGGAGCCAGCTCCCTAGCAGCGGGGCCATCCACCATAGCTACGGCCAGCACAACCCCTCTCTCCGCATCCGCAACCAATACCCGCCGGTCCCGCACCACAGTCGTATCCCGATATAGCCCATTGGGGGCTACTCCCCACCCTTCCATCTGCGCAGCGCACGTCAGGTTCCCTCGGGCCCCATTATCGCGGCGCGTGCAACCCGGCGCGAAGGGCACCCGCCGGCCGGAGTGCCGCTGCATGCCATCGAAGTACTTATGCATTAGTTTATTGGTGGAGAAGCGATACATTCTTCCTGCAGTTTTGTTCTGCTGGAATGCGGGGTCAAGCTTGCCGAGGCTGTTGCCCTCCCACTCTATTGGCAGCGGGGGGCGCAACAGGGTCATGGTACCGCCTCTTGCGCCGGTTGACTCGGCGCGCACGTCTATGGCTTCGATCTCAGTGATTTGGCCGCGGTCGACTTTGATTCGCAGTGCGAGCACACCTGGGGTGGTCTGTTCCCTCGTGAGGCCCCAGTAGGCGGCTGTACCGGTCGAGGGATCGGCGAAGCGGGCTGCGTAGTCATTGACGCCGGGTACGGCTACGTCGCCCAGCGTCTCCCAAAGCCCGTCGCCTAGAGGGATAAACTGTCCGTTTTCGGAGTATCGCACGCCCTCTGCCAATGGCAAAGTGGCAGGATGATGAGCCAGCAGCGCATCGAGCACCCGATCCAATTCTTTCTCGAGACAAGCCCGACCACAAGGCCCATCTATCGTCTTCTCAGTTCCCTCACCACCAACGTCCACAGGCGCCCCCTCGTGGAAAGGCGAGCTCATCCCGTACGGCACCTCGGTAAGCGTCATCTCAATCCTCCATAACTTGCCCTGCCCCCTCAACCGAAACGCCTCGGCCGCCTGCAGCGTTCGGGGTACATCGAAATATGCCGGAATCGGCTGGCTCGTCCCATTCGCCGACGGCAACTCCCTCACCGTCCCATTATGATCCAGCGTCGTGATAGCTAAGACGGCCTGCCGCTCCTCGTCCACGACGGGAAATCTTCTTTCCCTGATTTTGGTCACGAAGCCCAGGAAGCCCGTTTGGAATTGCGCTTCGCAGCCCAAGGATTCGAATACGGTGTCGTTGGAGTGTCCGTAGGGATCACCTGTGTCTATGTTGGTCGTCTGGACTGCGTCTTCGAGCCGGTTGCAGTCGGTGTCGAAAAAGGAGTAGTTGCCGTTCGGGTCGTTGCGTTCCATGCCACTGTAGTACTTGTTGGTTTGCGATATGAGCGTTGCGCGGGGGATCCGCTGCTCAGGGGTAACAGCTTGGAGCCAGACGGATTCGGGCTCGCCCATTTTCTCGTACAGAGCCGCACCGTCCGCATCCCGCGTGATTTGCGTTTCGATCTCGCTGATACGCCGTCCGTCGTCGTCCAGCTGGAGGCGGACAATGTAGATAGTTCCCACTCCGTTCTCGGTTATCGTAGTAATGGTCCCAACTTGGCCGGACTCCGGGTCGGAGAAGGTGTGCCGGTATTTGCCTGTCGAGCCGGCGACGAGCCATTCTCCCGTTCCGAGGGGAAGCACCTGGTTGTTCTCGACGTACTTGACATCCGGTGTGGTGGGCAAGCTGGATGGGTCGTGGGCTACCAGAGCAGTCAGGTAGTCCGATATCAAGGCTTCCAGACATGAGCGATCGCAGTCTCCGGACCGCGCATGCGTGGAGCCGAGTGTCATTACCGCCCAGAAGGCGGCAAGCCCTTTTCCAGTATTGACCTTCATTCTTCAATCCTTTATGCGACAATCTGGGTGTTTCTCCTTGAAGCTCGATTCCTACTTTTCATTCAGTCACAACAGCCATTACTCCAGCGAGGGAACACATCCATCGGATACTTATACTTGCCACTAACTTGTGTGCTTATAATCAGCGTCTTGGTGAGGATGCACCCCGCAAAGACAATCCGGTAAAACATGGCTTCGTAGATTTGCTGTTAAGTGCGGGTAAAGTCGACAAGACTGCGGTGCTGCCGGCAGTAGAGAAAAATAACATCGGTTCGGCAGTAAGTTTGCCTGACTGCGGCAACGCCTGCTGATCGATCATGTCGATCAAATGCTGGCTGTAAGGTATAGACATTAGTTCTGACGTTGCATCAGATATTAACAGCGTTGTTCGACGTTCGCGTGAGCGCATAGTACGCACCTGTCAAGTGTAGGAGCGCATCAACCACAGCACGATTCAATGACAACTTTTTTTGAGTGGTAGTACACGCCGCTGGTTTAATTTTCTCTGTCCTAGCCTGGCTTTGCCAGATCCAATTAATCTTTCGCTTTTCACATTATACACGTACATGTCGTAGAGAGTGGAAATTTACACAGAAGAGAAGCCCCCTTCATACAGTTATGGCACAAACCCTCTTCTTGTCCCCCTCGCACCGTTGACTCAAATCGAGTCCCTTCAAATCTCTGCACCAATGTCCCAAAGCGCTTAAGCGTCAATGAATTGCTTGACATCCTTCAACCATGTCTGGTACTCCTTCTGCTCCTTGGTGTCCATGTAGTCGGGCACAAAGACGGCCATAGCCTGTGTAACACCACGCTCCTCCAAGTAGCGCTCCATCAGCATCTGAAGGTCCTCGTCCAGGCTGCCGAAGGGAGGACCGGGGTAGGTGTCTTGGGCTTGGTGGGAGATCTCGGCCGACTCGCCGTGGGCGAGCTTGGCGTCCTTGTAGTAGTAGAAGTTCTCGACCAGGATCTGGCCATCCTGAGCAACGGCTTCGATGTTGAGGGCACCCTTGCCGTCCTTCTCTACCACAACGTTGAGGCGGCAGGGAACGGCGGCATCAGCATCCTCCTCGCCCTCGAGACCCTCCTCGGCTTCTGCCTCGGCGGTGCGCGCCTCGGGGCCCTCAAGTTCTTCGTCGGCAAGAGCGTTATCCTCGTTGAACATATCAGGCTCGTAGTTGGCAAGGTCGGAAATGGAGAAGGAAACGGTGATGCTGCGCATGGAATTAGCATGGGGGTCAATTGTCCGGCTGGTGAGCGTTAACTTACGTCTCATTGCCAAACTTGCGCTTGAGAATGACATCCTCCTTGCCGGGGGTGTCAATGAGCTCGAAGGGGCTATTCTCCAGAAAGTCCTTGACGCTTGCGGGCAGTTGCTCGTTCTCCTTCATCTCGCCCTCGAACTGGAGCTCGCTCTCTAGCTTCACCGACAGCTCCTCGTCGACCTCACCAGCCGGCGCTCTCCGGAATTGTGTCGTAGAGAAGGAAGATGTGAGTTGGGAAGATCTGAGGGGTGCCAATGTTGACTTGAGCAGGATGCTGGGTCTGGCTACCGATTGTCTAAGGGCTGCACTGCTAAGACGGGTCAGAGTCCGGGGTGCAGAGCGCGCGATAGTTCGCATAGACATCATTTTGAAGTGTGCAACGTAAAAATTAAAAAGTACAGTGGGAGAGAACCGTCCAGATGGATGATGGGAAGAATTGGTTGGGTATCTCGAAAATAGGTTGATGTAGCTCAATAGGAACTAGACTTTTGGCAAGCTCCCAAATTTTTCTGGACATCGCGACGGGAGCAAAAAGTGCACGGGCCATGCGTGGCGTCACAGAAAATGCAAGTGGGTCGTTCCGGGATCCAAATCACTGCCAGCTGGCTGCCACCATTTCAACGACCTTCCCTGGCTCGAAGTCACTAAACGTAAGCAGACATGTTGTAGATGCTTTTTATTGTCCATCGACAGGCCAGTGAATCTGACTACCAACTCTTGGGTTACGTATGCAGATTTTGAAACTAATCGATATTTGCAGGAGCGCCTTCCGACGTTACCAGCGGCTTCACAACCGAGAAACACCTAAGCACAATCGCTCCCAAAGGAAGCCCTGAAGGTCGGAGGGAGGGGCGACCTTATAGTCCAGCTTGCAACTTGCTGCAATTATCCTTTGTATACTTAGTTGAAGGCTCGGTTGGAAAAGGGAGTTGCCTCAACATTGGTTGCTGCTTTGCCAGACGCAGTTGATGAACCTAGGGCTCAGGGGCTGACAAGAGGCAGCAACTTACAAGTTTACAGCGAATAATGATGGGCAAAGTAAAAGACAGAAGAAAAAAAGGGCATTGCCTATGATTTTATCCTGGATGGTGTTACGAAAGATCCATAGGGGTTTTCTCGTGTAGGCTACCGTGAAAGCGACAACATTAGAGTAAGCTCCCTGGCTAGCACCCAGAAGCCATTGGCCTGGGCAGCATTTTTTGTTTCCGTGCGAGCATTAGGAATAAGAGGTGATATCAGGTATTATAAGTCGTCGAAAGGGTCCTGGGAGAGGAGTTGGCACAGGAGATGAAATTCAATACTGTAGCAAAGATTGGGACAGGAGGTATGTGGAGATGAGTGGAGATGATCAGGTGAAGGTCAGTCAATCAGCTGGGCCTTGCCCCTTTCTATTGGGGTTTCCACCTCATCATCATCTTGTGTCTACGATTGCTGATTATGTGTCTAGAACATTTCTCATGGTTTCATGACGTGAAGTACGTCATCTATAGGTTACTACATCGCGGTTTAACGCCGTATGTCATATACATCCGAGGTAGGTTCACGGTTGGCTTTGTGACGACCTGAAATCAAACAGCTGTATATAAGTATCTAATTGTTAGAGTGCCTCCACTTTTAAATATGTATGTAGAACTATTCGGTCCATTTCCAATGATCCGCACTGTATTGCTGTAATTATCGTATGATTGGAAAGCAATCAGTATCACTATACCCTTTGCCAATGTTTCAATGTCTTGAACTTAGATTCAACTGGTATGGAGCATTCATCCGTTGTTTCAATGTCTTGAACTTAGATTCAACTGGTATGGAGCATTCATCCGTCACCAATGATGGATAGGAAGCTGGTTTGAAGCTGGAGCTTACTTTATGCTCGCGTTGTCCAAACTAACCTTGGCAGTCGTAGCCGCTCAGGGCTATGCTTCTGAAGTATATATATGCATCCCGACGATGATCTCCAAGTTTTCGGATATCCAGTGATAAAACTGATGGCTTTGACTAGTAATAGGAATTTGATTTGAGATTTTACATAGACACATTGCCGTGTTGTTATTGTTATCGTAACCCATGGGGTCTCATTCGGACTCATTTTAAGCTTTGGAACAGCACAGAACACCGCTTCTAGCGATACCATTGGCTATATTAACCAGTGATAGGTTCCGATTCTTTAATACTTAATCATCATGCAGAGTTGATAAGCACCTAAATAGGCACAATATTTGTTTCAAAACAGGCAGGCTCAGTCCTGTTACGAGCACTGCACCTGGGCCGTGACAGCTGCCACATTGCGGCCAGCTGTCGCGGTCTGCTGCAGTAACCTGCAAGTGATTGATGCGGGGCCACTTGCACCTGACCTCGGGGTACGCATTTGCTTTGCCCAAACAACCCGATTAGACTCGGGCTACGATGAAAGGTTCCCAGATCTCCAAAATTCATTTCCATTCCGCTAGCCTCCCCATCCATCCATCTATTAGAGCATGGAGCTACACAGTCTCTCTCACCCGCTTGATCGTTCATTCATAGGTACACATGATGGTAGACTTAGGTCATCGTAATGGTAGACTTACCATCTCCAGCCGTTCCTGCGACGCTTGTCGCACCAGGAAGGTCCGGTGCGAGATGAGCAGCCCTGTGTTGGCTGAAGCCGAGCCATGTAAACGCTGTGCGAGATTAAGCGTAACATGCACCTTCGACATCCCAACGAGAACTCGGGGGCCGAGAAGAAGGTATGTGGGTCGGGTTTGCTTAACAGGCGGAGCCTCACTGAACCATTAAAAGGGATGAGCGACGGGAAGGCTCAAACAACAATCCCGGAAGCTTGGGGTTCCCGCAGCTGGGAACCAAAGAAGCTTCTCTTCAATACTCACCTGCCAGCAATTCGCGTGGTGGCCCTGCTGCCCTGGCGGCGCCGGGATTCTCTCCACAGTCATCGACCTCATCCACGTTCGAGCTGGCAACTAAACCTGTGTATCCAACGGATGCGCTCTGCTCGCGGCGCCTTTTCAAACGGATATTGAGGGACTACATACGATTTATTTACCCCCTGATTCCGGTTGTCCATCGGCCATCCTTCCGTAATGATCTCGATCAGGACCGAGATCTCCACGACGATGTCTTCTTGGGCTTGGCATTCGCTCTTTGTGCAGTCGTGGTTGGCATTATGCCGTCCCGGTTCGACAGCTACCATACCCACAACCCACCTCTGCGCTTCACCTCGCGACTGGAAACAATAAACTGCTGTTACGACCTCTTGATGGGCCTACGTGGACCCACGTACTTCGACGAGATCAACTATCAAAAGTTCGCTGTGGCATATTTGATGTCGATTGCCTTCTTCCAGCTTGGGGAACAGAACCGCTCGCGCATGATGGAGGTTGAAGCCATGCAGCTCGGACGACTTCTCCATCTGCATAAAAAATCCGAGTATGAAGGCCTTAACTGTATTGAGAAGCAGCTACGGAAGAAAGGATTCTGGCTTCTTTTTTATGGCTATGTGTGAGTTCTCCCCGCTTCAGTCGTGAGGAATTCCACAGTTAACCTAGACTTAGACATTCTCAATTGCAGAACCTTCGGAGGGAGAAGCTCAACTTTCTTGACCCTATATGGCTATCTTCAACAAACATAGAAGAGCTTTTGCCCCTTGAAGTGGACGACGAGATGATCCACGAGGATTCGGTACTTGCTCCCGAACCCGGTACAACTTGTCTCACAAGCGGCTTCATCATCCACTCAAAGGTCTTCCGCGCCGCGCTTGTGCCAGCTTTACAAGCGCATAGATCTGGAGACATCGGAGAGTCCTGTCAATGCCGGAGGGCGCAAGATGTAAGTGCGAATATAGCACACTTGACAGCTCGGCTCCAGGAGCTCAGTTACATGCTCGACAACACGATCCCACCGCCATTGCGACAATGGGCGCACACTCCCACTACAGAATCCCACGACGGCGATTCAGTTCCGACTGCTGTGGCACCAGATTTGCTCGAGAATGCTGTGGAATCACAGTTCGCATCGATGCGTGCGAACTTACACGTCACGCACTTGTGGCTGCAGAGTATCGTAATTGACCAGCTTGACAGCGCTGAAGCAGCAGCAAGCACTGCCTCAGATTACAATGTGAATGCCCATAGGAGAAAATTGCTTTGGAGACAGCGCGAAGACATCTGTCGGCAGCTGTTACATGTGCTGCATGGCCTTCCAGAATCGGCTCTTGAGCCCAACGGTCTTCACCTTGCGTTCAAGGTGCGCGACGTTGCTGTAGGGCTGCTGGCATGTCCGTATGATGAGGACGAAATGGCGGCGAAGCGTGCGGGCGAGTACATCCGTGAATTAACTGTCATTCTCTCAAGACTGGACCAGAGCGAGAAAATGAACACGGCAAACCTACAAAGCTGGATCGATACGGACAGAATCAAGGATGGTACGACACATGGCGGAACAAGCCAAAATGATCATTGGTAGCTGAGGGAAGGAAAGAACTATAGTGGACAAGCACTTACGTTCTTCCAGATTTCATATATGGCTGCGCAAGAAATCTCAAGATTGTATCTAGGTTTTCGAATCGCTTTAGGTCGATGAGCCCAGACCATGATACGTCAGAGACGACACGGATATTAAGACTCAGGTTTTCCTATCCTTATCCGGCCTAGTTCTGTATACAAGTTCAAGGTGCCAGACCACCCCACCACCTTGTCTCGCTCACCTGGAATACAGCTTCTACTGCCTTATCATCTCGACTGCTGAGTGCAACCCGAGCGCTGTACTCGCCGGCACGACTGCACCACATCCCGGCGGTTTCATCCCAATAACTCGTGTCTCTGACCGAGTTAAAAGTTATTGAAACCGTCCTTGACTCGCCAACAGCTAAATCTCGGACTTTGTTGAAAGCCTTGAGCTCCTGTAGCGGTCGCTTCGGTATGGTGGGATTTGGCTTTGCGCGGGGAGATATGTAGAGCTGCAGGGCAACCGCTCCACCTCGCGCGCCGGTGTTTGTCACATCTACAGTGCAGCTGATCTCGGAGTTGCTGGACCTGGTGGTGAGTCGGACGTTTGAGATGGAGAATGTCGTGTACGACAGGCCATGCCCGAATGGGAATAGAGGCTCAATTTCGGCCTCATCGTAGTATCGATATCCAACGTATACATCCTCGCCGTAGAGGCAGCGACCTCCTTCAGAACGATAATTGAGATGCGCCGGGTTATCTTTCAGACGACGAGGGAACGTGAGAGGCAGTTTCCCTGATGGGTTCACATCTCCGAAGATGACATCGGCGATTGCGTTGCCGGTTTCGTTCCCTCCGTACCATGCGTGCAGAACGGCCTTGGCCTGGGTGATCCAGGGCATTGAAACAGGCGTTCCGCTCTGGATTACCACAACGGTATTTGGGTTTGCTTCCAACACCCGTGCAATAAGTTCGTCTGTGTGTGGTGGCAGAACCATCGTTTCGCGGTCTTCTCCTTCCGACTCCCACTCGCCACTCAAACCAGCGAAGAGCACAACTTGGTCAACATCGCGCGCTACCTTGACGGCGTCCTCAATGCCTTCTTTCAGGTCCAGGCGCTTGCAACCGCTGACCCGGAACCCACCATGACCAAAGTCGACGGTGCCTGGAGCTTTGAGCTTACTCGTCTTAGCGCATCCCCACTGCACAAGAATTTCGTACTCCTGTCCAGCAACGAGTTCTTGCGAACCTGTTTCCTCCATGGTTCCCGCACCTAGGAAACTCGGCCCAGGCCTTTGGTTCTCGAAATTGCTGACAAGAAGTTGCCCGTCGATATACAGCCTACCCGTTCCCTGGAGACAGAGACCGAAGTCATACACGCCAGATTCTTCCGGTATGAAGGTTCCCTTGGCATCCGCGTACCATATTGTCTCTAGTTCTGGGTGCTTGTAATCGAGAAAGAAAACCATCGAATCCGTTTCGTGTCGCTCTTCCAGAAGCCGCCTGGATTCAGATGCGGGTGGGTCGTTGTATATCTTGAGACTAAATCCGGTGCGGCCGTCTTGAGTACGGAGCTTGTTACCTATCAGGGGCAGCTTCTGATGGCCGTAGATACCCTGAGTCCAGATGACTTCACCAGCGGCTTGGGCGGTGATTCCATCCAGGGGTGTGATCGCTTCATACGCATTCAAAGATGCGGAGCCACCGCCGCAGTACGTGGCGATGTTCGAGTTCGGACCGATGACGGCAATCTTGCTGGTCTTCTTGAATGGCAAGTTGCTATCGTCATTTTTCAAAAGCACAATGGACTCGGCCCCGGCTTTTCGCAGTAGCCGCCGGTCCTGTTCCCTGTTAAGCAACGTCTCTGGTGCGTTCTGTGGGATTCCAGAACTGATCGCTGTCTTGACTACTTTCAAAACGGCACGGACGCGTTCATCTAATTTTCGCAGCGGCACTTTGTTTGCTGTGACGGCATGCGTCAGGGCGGAACCGCGCCATCTGGATGGGCCCGGCATTTCCAGATCCAGCCCCGCATTGATGGCTTCGGAAGTGCTGTATGTGCCGAACCTGTAGAGACACTGTTAATTGATGACATAGCAGCAAGTCAGGTTCCAGATCCTCACCAGTCACTCATAACGAGTCCATCCCAGCCCCACTCCTCTCGCAGGATGGACTGTAAGAGTTCTGGGTGCTCAGACGCATGGAGGTCATTGACTTTGTTATACGCAGTCATGATACCCCCGGGCCGACCCTCTCGAATCGCAATCATGAACGGGAGCAGGTAAATCTCCCGCAAGGCCCGGTCAGTCACGATCGAATTGACTGCCATACGTTCGTGCTCCATATCGTTGCAGACGAAGTGCTTCAGCGTCGCCGTTATTCCTTTCTCCTGAAGACCCTTGCAATAATTTCCGGCAATGATACCAGAAAGCAGGGGATCTTCCGAGAAGGACTCAAATCCCCGGCCTCCCAGCGGCGCGCGCTGAATGTTGATGGTCGGGCCCAGCACCACGTGCGCGCCTTTGGCCCGCGCCTCGTCAGCGAGGAGGTGCCCAATGTCGCGAGCCAATTCTTGGTCGAAGGTTGCGCCGATGGCGGTGCCGCATGGTAGGCATGCCGAAGGTACACTGCCGAAGAAGCGGGTGCCACGGATTCCATTAGGACCGTCTGACAGACGGATCGAAGGGATTCCCAGGCGGGGGACGGGCACTGTGTGCCAGAAGTCCTCGCCTGGGTTGATGTGGTCAGCGACATGCAGGATCTCATTGGGAAGATATCGCCCAGCATGCGCACTTACCTGCTAGGAGGGAGATCTTCTCATCTAGAGTGAGCCGCTTCAATACAAACTCTACGTCGAAACTTGCGGGTTCCCAGGAATGCCCATTCGTAGGGGGTTCATCTAAGGACGGCATCTTGTTGTATTGCCAGGTGTTCCGCGTCTCAAGATGTCCAAAATTCGAATTGAGGAGTGTGCCGAACCGCAGGTTCAGATAAACATCAAGCTGTCCTGGCAGTAAGGACGTCCAGACTGGAGAACTATTTCCTTTTCAACGCAAGTACACAATCTATGTGTCGTTCAAAATGCGCTCGATAAACGAGGCGATCGCTTTCCGACGGCTGTTTTCCATGAATACAATAACGGGGCCGTTTTCGTAATATAGCATGCAATGACGTCATATTCTGCCCGAGAAAGAGTGTTTTCTTTACAGCGTGGATGTTCTCAATGCTGTTTTCACGATCATAGGAGCTGCGCGTTGTAATTAACCATGCGAAATTCCCAGCTCTACCGAATTTCTCCGCTGCCGCATTGCAAATGCGAGGCATTTCTCCGTGTTGGTCCAATCCCAGGAGATGCCGAATCGCTAGTCTTTCTGGATCGGTCCAGGTCGATATTACGGAGTTCAGGGGTGGAGTTCAGGGGCCAAAGTGAACTGACTCGAGTAATTCCCTGATTCTCCGTTTCTCCGCCGTCTGAGGGCAGACCTGCTTTGGAACTTTTCGTCCCATATTTCCCCATTCTATCGGTCCATTAGCCATTATTTTGGCTCGTGACCCATTATGGAGAGTCTGGGGAGTCCTCTTGTTGACCCTTGCGTTGGCCGGGGCGCCCTTTACCCCCGTACTATGCTACAAGAAATCGTGGAGTTCGCCTTGATTTTACATAACGCGGACGGGATCAGACGATTTTCGCTCGTCTATAAAACAAGCCCGGGTCTTTACGCACGATTCAGAATTTGATGTGTCTAGCATCATGTTCATGTCATGCACATTGCTGTCAGCAACACTTGCTCCTTCTGTTGCTGAATATTTCCCACTGTGTTAAGCTTGGAAGTGTACTCCAATCATGGGTTTCGGAGGCGATGTTGGTTCGAAAAAGGCCGTGGGCAGTGAGCTTACGGCTGTCTTGCCCCATGACGGACTACCGTGGTGGAAACGCGGATATCTGCTCAAGTTGAACTTCAGCTTGTTGTCTCTTGTCCTATTCTGTGAGCTCAATCGCTTCCCGGCCGTTCCACTAACTTCTTCTGACCTCAAGTTCTCTGCAGCTTCGGCCAACGGTTACGATGGATCGCTCATGAACAGTCTCCAGGCCCTTGACCAATGGGAAAACTTCATGGGCAAGCCCTCGGGGGCCTGGCTGGGCTGGATCAATGCGATTTACTGGCTCGGCGCCGGCATATTCTTCCCAATTGCTGCGTGGCTGGCCAACAAGTTCGGACGCAAGCCCGGTGTCTACGCTGGATACAGTTTCCTCGTCCTCGGCTCCATTCTCCAGTGCGCGGCTCCAAACGACGTGGCCTTCATCCTCGCCCGTTTCTTCGTCGGATGCGCCTCGGCCCTTTTCGGCAACGCCGTTCCGGTTCTGATCAACGAGATCGCGTATCCTCCCCACCGCGGTATCCTCAACGCCCTCTTCATGTGCGGATGGTACGTTGGCGGCTCGGTAGCGGCGTGGGTCACCTTTGCGACGCGCGACTACACCAGCGAATGGGCGTGGAGACTGCCATCCCTCCTCCAACTTCTTCTGCCCGTACTAGCCCTTCCCGGACTCCTGCTGGCTCCCGAGAGCCCAAGGTGGCTGATTTCCGTCGACCGTCCGGACGAGGCCAAGAATATCCTCGCTAAAGCCCACGCTGGCGGCGACCAAAACTCCGCGCTCGTTAACTACGAGTTTATCGAGATCACAACCACCATCAAGGCAGAACAGGAGGCACATGGCGTGGCAAGCTACGCCGATATGGTCAAGACCCCCGGTAACCGCTACCGGTTGTTCATCTCCATCAGTCTGGGCATCTTCGCCCAGTGGGCTGGCAACGGCGTGGTGAGCTACTACCTCTCGCTAGTACTCGACACCGTCGGCGTCACGAGCGTCACGAATCAGACGCTCATTTCTGCTTGCTTGCAAGTCTGGAATCTGATATTTTCTGTTGCTGGAGCGCTCTCGGTAGATCGTCTGGGTCGCAGGCCGTTGTTTATGGCTTCGGCTGTCATCATGTTGATCTCCTACGTTCTCGTCACGGCTCTCTCGGGCTCATTCGCCGAGACAGGAAATTCAAAGACTGGAATCGCCGTCATTCCGTTCCTGTTTGTCTTCTTTGCTGGTTATGACATCGCTCTGTGAGTCTTCCCCCGCCCCGCATCATTGATCAAGATCTCCTCCACACTTCTCCGCCGTCTTTAGCTAACACACCACCTCCCTCTAGGAGCCCCTTCCTCACTGCTTACCCCTGCGAAATCTGGCCCTTCCGCCTCCGCTCCCGCGGTCTCACGGTAACGTGGGTTGCCTCTATCACGGCCATCTTCTTCAATACCTTTGTCAACCCCATCGCTCTGGCTACGATCGGCTGGAAGTACTACATCGTATTCGTTGTTGTGTTGCTGGTCATGCTTGTGACGGTGTACTTCTGGTACCCCGAGACGGGAGGACGAAGTCTAGAGCAGATTGCGACTATTTTCGACGGGGAGGACGCCGGGGTTCCGGATATGCAGAGAGTGGAGTTTTCGGGTAAAGAGGACGTCGAGATGAAAGAGAAGGTTTGAAACATGAGGATTGAGGGCAATGGACCAAGTAGTTCGTTCTCATGATGAACAATAATGAAATATCAATTTCTAAAAAGTAACTTTATACCACTCGGCTGGTTTCGCCTTGCCTGACGAGAGTTTTGAATGCGTTTTAACTCGATGTCAATGACAGTCTGCTTTAAGCTCTGTCCATTTGCTGTGCATAGCCAAATTCTCGAAGAGGGAGCGACTTGGAAGATCTTCATTGGCGTTTTCAAGGGTTCGTCTGTCTTCTCACCTGAGCAAGAAGAGTCTTCCTCATGGGTCTGTTATTTCAATTTCTATTGACCTCTCTGTTGAACGCTGTCATCTTCAGCCGTACTCAGCCCATTATGACCCTTGTCCTAGGGAATGACAAACAGCATTACTATGAATACATCACGAAAGGACTCTGCCCATCGTCATTCTGTCACGTAGAAGGTACCCAGATTCAACTCGACCTGCACCACATCCTCAGCTTTTACTAGATTGGTTACAACACCATTAATAGAGAATCTACAACTAGGCTCGCTGTGCTGCACATTGTCAAATCTCTAAAACCTAATTTCTCAAGGTGTGGTAAGTAATTTGACGGGTGTGTCTTTTCCTATTCTTCAAACGGCTAGACAGACTAACGGCCGCTCTTTTTAGCCCTTCATACACCCTAACACCTACGGCAAAACACATATTGCTCAGTTGGTCACAGGAGGTCAGGGATACTCATTTTCGTCCTTCTACCCGCCTATGCATGGGAGCTGATCCCATAGTTGCTCTCCTTGATGTGAAACGGATTGGGAAAATGTACCCTTCCTGGACTTCATTGTGCTTGATTCAGGTCATGGCTGCGAAGTTGGAACAGGTTGGTTTGGTCTAGTCAATGGAGTTTTGTTGAGATTAGGGTTAGGTATGCTGAACTGCTTTGGATGCTGGGGTGCTAGACGAGTGGAATTTTGGAGTGAGCAAATTCTGTGGAAAGGGCTTGCAATGATTATATAAGAAGACATGTCTTGTGTGTAGGTGTTACAGCCGCTGGTAGAGAGTATAACAGAGATGATTTGAATATGAACTATTGACCCCTTGAATGGTGTTAGTATTCGCTTCAAAGTGGTGAATTGTTAAACTACAACATGGACAACCCTTGGGGACCAACTGGTCGTTCAAACATCATTTTTTCACAAGTCCTCATATAGGTGTTTTTAGACATACCTTTCTCTCTAATTATTTGAATTTTCAGAGGGCTACCTGGCTCGGTTTGGCCTAGAATTTAACCGTCGGGTTGATGTTAAATTTTATACCTCGATATGCTTGTTTCATGGATAGTTAGTGTCCTGGGACCGTTACTACGGGCAGTCTTTCCGTTTGCACCAAGCAAGCACAATCTTATCATTACTACTTGACTAAAGGTATGAAAATTAGCTGTGGGTGACCCTTACTCTCGTGGCATGTGTTGTCTATGAATAGTGCTGTCTTAGAGATCAGTTGACATGAGCTCAGACAGTTATAATATCCTCGTTGGTATTTCCTGCAGATGCTAGGATCATAATTACATCCTGTAATTCAAAGTGCGGTATAATATTCGAGGGAGTTAGAGCATCGTGTCGTTGTGAGCAGGTCGTCATACTATAATGGACGCCATGCATCGATTTATCCTCTGCATTGGACCGAAATCAATTCCTCGCTTCACGAAGTCCCTGAAATAGCGATACAGCAGCAGCCGTTCTACGGTCAACAGTAACCAACCCTTCAGTGCTCGTCAGCACCACGCAGCGCTCTGATCAGACACGAAAAGAGAGTTTGACATCACTGTCCATTGCAAACATGCCAATATCCACGCAGCAGCTCGCCGAGCTTCTCCATATCGAAGGTCCTGAGAGTTTCGACACACTCTTGGAGACGCAGTCGGTCCGATTGGCCATTTAAGAGCATGAACGTGATTATATCCTGAAATCATCCGTTAAGATCACGAAAACCCAGCCTATCATCATACGACTACGAAACCCTGGGCCTTGCCGCCGATAATCCCGACAAGACCAAATGGGATTATGAGTACGACCCTGCTCGCCTGGTCCTCCAGATCATGAACGTACTGAGCGCTATTTTCGAGATGCAGCAACTTTTCACTAGAGATGCAGGAGTGGACTTACGGTATCCTTGAACTGGCCGAAAATGCACATATCGGATTTCCGGCTCTTCAACAACCTGAATAGAGACATAACCCCTGGCATGCTAAAACTTCATAGGGTTGGACCTTCATGAACACAAGTCTCCCTCGAGCCAGCATCTCTCGAATAGAGCAATACCGCTTATCATTATACTGTTCTTAGAAGCCCTCACGGCCACCTTCACTCGCTGGACCTTTCGAGGTACCCAGAGACTACCAAATAGACGCCTTTCTTTTGTTATAGCTGAAGTCCATTAGCACACGAGCAAGCGGTCCTGCAATTGCAGAGAGAACGCTTCGTAGTGCTCGTTATACGCTCGTTATACGCTTGATACCTTACCAGGGCTGATCGGTTCGTAATCCAGACCCGACTTACATGGATCAAACCAGCCAACAGTTGGTCTTGCAGAACGGCTGTAGCGGAAAACTGAGAAAACTCTCCTATGAGACCATCCCACCCTGCGACATTTGAAGTTGCTATGCAATAACCATTATCACGCTACTTCTGCTTGCTTATAGGACCCTTGATGGGATACGGCCACCCCTCCTAGTCACCTAAACCGGATTAAATCGGGCGTCGAGAATCAGTGTCAAAGTAGAGCCGGGACAGAAAATGGTGACATCAAGCTGTTGCAGATATTAAAATTTAGGAATACATGACAGTTACCGGATTTTCAGGATCACGCCGACTAAGCCGATACCACGATGTCAAAATGAGCTCGAGGCCAGCACCCAGTTTGCATCATGTATCCACAACAAGGGAGTATAGAACTAAACCACAGAAACGGCTGGGACTTGCTTCACCACAATTTGACAAACAATTTTAAATGGAGCGCTAGGATACTCAAGCACTGTTTCATTCAAAGAAAGTTGTAGATAGTATGAACGCTACATCTTGTGTACAAGAACATAATCATCCCTATTTGCAGCGAACGTTACAGGTGCCTCGTTGAAGTATTTTGGGTTTAGTTCAGTGCCACCAGTAAGTGTATCATAGTGCTTGAGATGGCCAGTTTATTCTTAATCTACGATTCTACGAGTACTATACCTTGTTGTTTGCTCTGCTTGTCTTCACGGCATTGAGCCAGTAAGCCGAGCCCGAAATCTCGATTCCAGTTCTACAAATTGTCCTGGATCAACAACCAGATTGTGTGCGTGCGCTATCGCAGATTACCTCCCGAATTGACAGCGAAGACGGAACTTAGCGGTGAGCCCAAATGACCCAAAGGGTCCAAAGGGGAGTTGTATAGGCTGTCGATCGTATAGCTTATGGTCAGTCACCTGGTCATATGAAGCGGGTATCTTGGCAAAATCATACTCTGACTTTGTACGAAAACGTTGGAATAGCCTTCAACTTCGGCAGCATTGTCACTGCTTATCATGTCAGATCATTAATCACACCTCCTATGTGCTACGTTCAAGTCTAGACCGTCGTACGCACGGACAACGTGACGTCTAGCAATCTGCAGGGTGCAAGGTGCAGGGTGCAGGGTGCAACCCGAGCATTCAATGGCAGTTCCAAGCAGCAAGGCAAAACTTCACCTCTTCTTCACCTTGAGCAGTCGTGCAGATGCACTGCTACAATGCTCCACAGATGCCCATGTGACGGTGATGGCACTTTCGGCATTGATGCGATATGGCAGAACCTCAGATGTACTTGTATTCCCAGCTGGTTGCAGTTCGCCTCTACGATGAACAGTGGCAGCTCCAAACTTTCAGGAAGATGCCACTGTCTCTCAGGCGTGCACGCTTCGAAAACAAATTCAGCATCCATATATGTGGGGGTTTCTAAGGTTGGCTGCAGAAGTTCCCTGCAAGTGTTTGCGCTACGTGCACAGGGGAATAGGGGGAACTCGCCCGACAAGCAGGGGTCCCTCATACAGGCATCCCTAGGAACAGGCATGTTTGCTCTGGTGAGCTCTGCTAGCCCAGAGCAGTTGCAGACTCGCAACTTTGGAAATATTGAGAAGCTGCCCTGCAATTCAACAGCATCGTCACAAGTGCTTCGTGTCCAAGTTTGATGGTGATAGTCAAATCTTAGAAGAATTCATGATGGATATGCCCGGATGCGAGCGACTCTCCAGGACCCCATCATTGTTTGGCGACTGGCTTGACACGCACGACGCACAGCGCAAAGCGACAGTGAGGTGAGATCGGCCAACAACCCCCTGGTCTGACGGTTCGTATCTTTGCTTCAGCACCTTCAGACGCAAACATGGAGTGGAATCTTGGTTGCTGGCCGCTTGCAGCTATTCCTCATCCGCAATGAGTACCGACACCTGTCTTAGACGCTATCCAACTTGCTATTGCCGCTTCTGATGAGCTGCGGTGGCTTCCGATAAGGGTTCGCACTCGAGCCGTCCATAATGTATTCACCTGTGACGCCTTCATTCTTGCCCAGATGGCTCGTTTGCCGGAAGTGTGTGACTTGTCAGATATAGTAATAAACCCCGTCAGTTGGCCCCCCCCGCAGTTGGGCGCGATCTTCATCCTGGCCTAGCACTACCTGGGTGTTTGTCAAGAAGGTTTTCTGCCGACCGTGTGCTAGTTGCGCTTCCCCAAAGCTGCACCTCGTACCGTACCGCCACTATGTCGAGCCGTTACCCGACCGCCACAGTTACAGGTCGATATGTCCATTCAATATTCCGCGTTCCGCGCCACTGACGTACGCGCACATATTGTCCACTGCGGTGGCAACGTCTGCAGGGCCCGGGAAGACTAGCTAGGGGGTCAAAATCGTGCCGCTGGGGACGACTTTAACGCCCGGTACTAGCAGTGCTCGGACTTTCAGCTTGGGTCAGAACTGGCAGCATGCGATGACACTGATGAGTTGGATGTGGCAAACAAACCAACTTCGTCAAGTTCAGGCCTATCTTTCCCCAAAGGCTTGGTGTTGGTGGCACTTGGGTGGGAAGGATTCGCGCAATAGGACATCGACCGCAGGCTTGGTGCTGTTTGTCAATGAGGAAACCGGATCTTCTCCCCGGCTCCTCTCCCCGGCTCCTCTATCCGGCTTCTCTCCCCGGCTCCTGTTCATGCCTGCGGCGCCTGACAAGCGTGATGATCCCTCATGACATTGGCAGCACCGCATCGGAAATCAGCCTTGCGACAGGTAATGTCAGCGCTTCAATTTGGTCAGCCGGTCTTTCTCAATGGCCACTGTAGCTTAAGATAGCCATTATGCGGCGGCTACGTGGAGTGACGAGGGGCTGCAGATGCAGCAAACCCGTTTGGGAACCACCAGACCAATGTTGACTATCTTCTTGACGAAACCGATCATTCAATAAACACTTCCACATTCTGTTCCGGAAACATCCTCAGTTCGGACATGGCCTAATCACTGAAACCATATTGACAGCCATATCGACAGCTCATAAATATCTCCTCTGATATTGGGTAAGACTGACTTCTGCAATGTGCCCACCCTTGAAGTCTGCCTTCAGCTTCTGATCTTCACCATGGCAGAAAATGTATCAGGGCTTTGGAGGAATATCCGGTCGCGGCGGGATTCATCGTCGACGACACGATCGTGTCACTGCAGCATACATCCATATCAATACGGCGAAGACGCAGAGGAACGCACCGTGATTCCCACCATCACCAGAAATACAGCCCCCCCCCTGTTTCCTCGAAATACCGCGAGGCTCCTCTGGCTTACGAGCAACGGAGCAAGATTTGTCATTGGTCGGATGTTGCGCCTTTCTGCAATGTCCACACCCGGCCCCCATATGACTTCACTATCTCAGAATCATGGGCTGCAGTGGCAAAGTGAGTCCTTGAAGCCTCTATCATTTTGGAATCAGGCTGCTCCGAGGGTTTATGTCACCGTTGCTCTTTGCTTCCCGCTCGACGACAATGAAGCAGGGAATGCTTCCCAGCATCTGAAGTCTTCCCTGCAGAGCCTCGCCAAAGAGTGTCCATTATTCGCAGGACGGATTGAAGCTAGTGATCACCCGCCGGGTATTGCGCTCCTGCGTCAGGCATCCCATTACGACATCCCCTTCACCTCAGATTACACAGAAGTTGCATACGATGAAGTCAAAAGCAAGGGGTTTCCACCGAGGTTGTTTATTGATCAAGAATTCGGAATCCCAGGAACGCTCGAGGTCCAGTCGGGCTCGTTGCCGGTGTCGAGGATCCACGCCCGCTTCGCAAAGGGTGGACTGCTCCTCGTAGCTTATCTGCATCACTCAATATGTGACGCAGACTGTATGCGTATCTTCCTTCAAAATTTCGCAGCTCGGACTCGCGCCGATGCGCAACCAACAGAACAGGTCTTTGGGGACAGCGTCTTCCAAGGGGCGCGGGGCAGTGATCCTAGAAAGTTCGAAGACCTAATCGTTGCTTGTCCCGAATACACGATCCTCCCTGACTGCAGTGGACCTACCCAGCCCTTATTCCGCGCCAATGTTACACCGGTTAAAGATGTCGAACGAGTTGGGAAAATATTCGTGTTCACGAGGAGCCAAACCGAAAAGCTTCAAGAACACATGCGCACGCAGAACTCGGCCGCACCTCCATCCACGTATACCTGCCTGGCTGCTCTTACCTTTGCACATGTCGTCAAAGCACGCCGGCAGGCCGAGAAACCGTTGTTTCCCGAAATGCAGGACAATTACGAAGCGATGCTTTGGCATTCGGTGAACTGGAGGCCTCGAGCGTTCCAAGATAGAGCGAAAGAGTATTATGGTAACGCAGCACTGCCTGCAGTCACCAGGGTTTCGATGAAAAATCTTGAGGAGATTGGTGACGACGTTGCAAAGCTTGTGCCACTGATCAAAGAGTCCATCGAAAGAATCGATCAAAAACACGTCCAGGAGAGGCTAGATATGGTTTCGGCAGCTCCCGATCCACGAGCCATCGGCGTTAACCATGACCCTCGAATGCCTGGATTTCTGGCCTTCAACACGTGGCGACATTTTGGGGCTGACGCCGAGTGGAAGATCCCCGGCGTTGCTGTCACCACGCCCGATGCGATCAGGCGCGGACACGGCGATTGGAATTTGGGAACGGCATTGATCCTACCAGCCAAGTCGAACTCGAACAGCCAGGAGCTTTTCTTGAGTTTATCGAAAGATGCGATGGATTTGTTGTGCAAGGACGAAGGTTGGATGAAATGGGTGGACGGGGGGGTCATTGGGTAAGTTGTTCGAAAGGGGCAAACACTTCCCAAAGCCATGTAATTCATAATATAATTTAGTTAATCCGAGTCACCTGGTTATATCGCTTCACCTTCGGGCCCTCGTAGTCGTTGGTCCTTCGCAGTTGATGTGCAACCATGGAAGCTGGCCATGTCTCTCAGATATCATCATATTTCCCAGCTGAATCAAACGCGATTGGCGACTCCGTAGTTACGACCGGTATTTCAGCGGGTCATCACAAGATGCCCATGGCATCTTTCTGGAAAGTTCCGAAGTGGACAAGGTTGGCGTTGACACAAGATGGCCAATTACGCTGCTTACCAACATCCCGTTTCATGCATGGTACTTTGAGTGGATTCCTCGCTTTGAAGTAGCCAACGAAATGAGCCCGAATACATCATTTATCAGATGAAAGAGCCCTTGCATCGGGTGCCCACTCGATTATTGATACCATAGTATGCAGATTGGTACGCTATCGACTGTCCCGCCCCCGGACGTTCTATCCACTCAACCAGTCAACGCACGATAGCCAACTCACCCCCTTGAAGATCTAGCAGCCCTACCCATCCCAGTATAGCCGGCATGGCCAATGAACCCTCTTCCATCTCCTCTTCTTCGTCCAATAGCCTGATTTTGGGCACTATATGCGAGATCTCTACTTCAGCTTCGCCCCTACTACCCACTCACTCAACCACGGCTCCTTTCGGGTCTTCCCAATACCCGCACGCGAGTACGAGCGGCTTTGACAACGAGAAACCGAAGCTCGGCCCGATATCTTTCTCCGCTTTACCTACCCCGAACTCCTGAAAACAGCGCGATCTGAGGTTGCGAAACTTCAGGGCGGCGTCGACACATATGAAGTCGTGCCGGTGCCTAATGCCACCACAGCTGTTAGTACCTTGTTGAGGGATCCGCGGTACGAAGAAGGTGACTAAGTTGCTTATTTCAGGACGGTGTATGATGCGTGCCCTAAAACATCTTCCCGCTGGAGCAGTCAACTGCGCTCCGGGTTCAATATATTTCTCTGAGCCATCCGTTTGAAGATGGTGAGGTGCTCGGTTTATACGTGATCATTCAGGATTTGCGATCCCAGAGGAAATGAACCCAAATTCCCATGTTTGACACCGTCTTCACATTCCCTAGAGGTCCGCTTCCCCTGGGAAGCGCTGGTGCGGATGTGCAAGGAACTCGACATTATGAGTCTCGTTGATGGTGTGTATGGATTGAACCACATTGATTTGACAGCGTTACATTTCATCCAGCCGGACTTTTCCCTGAGTAATTGTTGAGTGAGCTCACTGAGTACCCAAGATCACACCAATATGCGTGACAGAGGGACTGAACATCTGTTCAGATGGCTCATGACGCCCCGCGGTTGCGCCGCCCTTCACGTTCCCGATGTCTCACGGCCTCCAACCCTTTTCGCAACGAGAGATCTCAGCCCAAGAGAACTTGGTCGATCTTTTCAAAGATGCATCTACGAAGGATAACACCCCGTGCTCTGCATCCCAGAAGCGATAAAATCCCGCAACTAAGTATGTGGTGGCGAGACAGGAATACAAGAGTACTGCGAGCGCCTGGCTGGAGAAGGTGGGGACCTGCTGGCTGCCCGGCCTGGGGTAGAGGATCTGGGGAACGATACCCGGATTTTACAGCGCTGCTGCTTTGCTAACGTTCAATTGCCGCTGGAGTTGTCCCCGAATGGCGCAAGGTCTCGTTGCGAAGAAGTGATTACGCGAGAGGATGGTAGCCGAGTTCGACACTTTCATGCCGATCGAGTTCTGTGCTGGCGCACTTTGGACCGACGTTAGTGCCTAGATGTACTTGAAGTTATCAGACTTTGAACCAGCTGCGAAGATGTTGCCGTGGTTGTGCGACCGGGTTAAACGGGAGGGGTTGGCAACTGGTCGCAGAGTGAATTTTGTGGATGCTCGCGCATTCCGGCCCCCAACTTTTCCCACAACTCTTGTGATAACTCATGCAAGACTCCATAAAAAGCGATCATCGCGATTTTCTCGCCAGTTTTTGCCACGCCGGGGTTTTGAATATCCCGCCGCTGCCAATATCTTGGTTCCTGAGTCTCGGCAGCACAGGCATCGGCCTCTGAACCGACACGACCGTGTTATTGTTTCCTAAGAGATGGCCCTTTTCGACCACGCCACAGCTCACGACAAGAAGTTTGATGGAGATTCTGCAATCAGAAGACGGATCTACGATCCTTTGGAACACTTTCAGAAATAGATCCGTAGAACCGTGTCTTTGCTTGGAGCACCTGAAGACATCCTCTGCTTCCACGATAATGAAAGATTTGGTGTTCCAGCACCAGGTAGAGTAAGCAGAGCCACTCATCTTTCGAGAGTTGCGGATTCAGCTTTTCGGCTGTGATTGTATACAGGCGTTCTGCTAAAATTCCGGTGTCCATGCGAACTATTTGGTAGACCAGACTTTTGAGCACTTCGACCATCGAAGGGATATGTTTTTTCTGCTCTGAGGTCGACAAGTACCATATAACTTGAGAAAATTGGAGGTGCAGTACCGCGATGAGTAGTAGTGCGATATCCTTGACTCGTGAGTCCGCGCGCGGGCTGGCTTGCAGGCCAATGAGGGAGGACTTGGGGGTCGACATCTAATCTCCCACTTGCTGGATCAGGTGGGCGAGGTTGTTGTTCAGACTGAAACCCTTACACACTCGGCGCATCAAGGACTACTGCTTATACAACATGTCTTGGGGCAGTGGCCGCGGCTTGAGAAATTCATCACATTGTTGAAGTGCACATCGCGTATTTGAGGCATGACGATTCTCATGCCATTGTCGATTCGCTCAGTCACCGACTTGTTACCTATGATTAGGTTAGCCAACAAATCAAGCGAGTCGGATAGGCACTCTTTACATGATGCTACTTGCAAGAGCTGACCGACCTGAAGATCGAACTGATCGAGTTGACACTGCATTTAGTCAAGATTCCATACGAGAAGTTGAACGTCGATATGAATGTCCCTGACTTCGGATCTTTATGTTTGGTTGGCCAAACCGTCCGTGGTTTCAATGCATGCTTTGATCTGCTCCAGGATGTCCTTAGAGCCCAGTTCAAAGGGGTTGAAGATAGAGTATATAAAACGACCGCCATGGTGTCTTTCATCTCGCCAGGTCGATAGAGTGTCGCATTTGCTTTGATTCGCTCGAGTAGCCCCCCGATCTCGAAGAGAGATTTAGACAGGTCCGTTACTATGTTCTCGTGGTTCGGGATAACCTAGTTGCATCATAAGCGCGGCGACTCATCAAATGGGGGGTCCTTCTTTCTCACAGTGAAGACAATCATCATGGTGCCCCACGCCAGGGAAAGATATTTGGGATGATATTGCGAAATCACATCCAGTGCCGTCCCATAGTATCTGATCCTCGAAGAAAGCTTGCGAGGCCATTTCTTCGCCTCTTTCTTCTTGGGCGATGAATTCGAGTAATGGTTCTGGGCATCTTGTGCTAGTTGGCAGACCTCCTTTATTGAGGTACTTTGGTTGAGTCAGGCCATGGCCATTTTGTCATCGGCCAATGCCGTCCTGAGTTGACCAATCGCTTCATCGTGAACTAGCCTCAGGGACAGCTTCATTGGCTTTCATGTCAAGAGTCAAAGCCTCATTGTCGCATTCGAGACGGTATAGCGCGCTAGCCCGGAAAGTCTCGACGACGAGCTCGTGTTGCGGCCCCGGCTATGGCGGCCAGGCCCAAAAGAGCCGCAGAGGTTAGTGTGTTGTACATCCTAGAGACTTAGAGATCAAGGAGTCTGTGTAAAGATCGGATGACAAGAACCGCTGTCACGCATCCGGAATTTATATGTCTGCAGCGGGAGAAACGCCATGGCCTCAGATGATGAAGATTGTAAAGCCCACCCGAGTTCTCATCCCCATGTCGGTCATGGTCAAGCTGAACCAAGAGCCATCTCATCCACTCGGAGATTTCGCGTATTTCATCATGACGGCCCGAGAAACATTCTTGAGTTTCGTACAGGCCCTCCGCTAATTTGTCAGCAGCTGCCGCGGTGGGACGACGAGGAGTCAATTACCGTCCGGTGGGGTAAAATACTTAATGTCGAAACATTTGCGGATGTACACCTGTACAGTTGTCTTGTCAGTGGAATCTGCGCAGTTATGGTCGGATGAGCTGTCGCTCACATTCCGTTGCGCGTCCCGCATCCAGAGACGAATGAGAAGGTCCAGTAACTACCGAATGTTACAGAAACCATGCCAGGGAAGGAGGGGCGGTCCGCAAGCGGCAATAACCACGTCTTTGCCGCAGGATGGGGTTTGCTTGGTCTCTGCCCGAGAAAACACCTCTGCAGATGAGCATCGAAGGCATCGACTTCCAATCGCAAAAGCTCAGTTTAATTAATTTGGCTTGATGGAACTGGATTCACATTCAGTTCAAGCTTAGATCGTGTTCTAGTGAATTCAAGCACCTGTTCCGAGCCATTGCTTCAAGTCGCTCTCACAATAAAAGGTTGGGGTTTGAAGTTGGAATGACTCTCCCTCCTTCTTAGTCCCCTACTCCACAACCACAAAAACAACCTCAAGTGGCTCCTGCTGGGCAGTCGAGGTAGAAGACCAGAAACACCGAGACAACATATCGCTCCTACTCTCAATCCTCCGTGCGGCGAGCCGATACGACAATCACGATTTGTCTGTGGTCTCTGCGACTGTCTGACGACCTCGTGTGGTTGCCCCTCTTTTAACATATAAGTGAACCTCGTTGACAAATCGATGTCTTGGCCTGCATGAGGTGATCCTCTCCAAGGGCTGTGTCCAGCGAACCACAAGCCGAGTATTCAAGATGAGTCAATGACTCGATTCGAATCGCATATCCATCGTCGCGTGGCTATCCCCCCGGATCCACTTACCATGACACCTTAAAGGCAAGGACAACGGATTTGCGCTGATGCTTTGCTGCTCTCAAGATATTCTACTTCACCGCAGGGCAGACTTGAGGTTCGGATCGTAGCCTCAGGCCATGTCAGGGTCATGATCCGGCGGCAATATGAGCTACCAAATTTTTTAATGATACGCAACTTGACAATGCTTATACCACAAGCATGCTGTTGACAGGTGCACGCATTCGTCTCCAAAAAAACACAAGATTATCAAGCGGACAGTGTCTATCGGGTATGCTTGTCCGAAGCACAGCATCGAAGATACCTGCCAGATGAGGTTATCAAGGAATCCAACTTCAAGACGCCGAAGTCTATCTCGGCGCTTGAGCAAGAAATCGGGTCGCAGCATCAAAAGTTCTATTTCCAAAGACGTGACCCAGGATGATTCAGTAGTTAGGAAACGACGACTGGTTGCTCTGAGCTCCAGATCTATTGATCGATCAAAGCGATCACGAGCAGGGCGTGCGGCGAGCGTCTCCTTTCCCTGGACAGCCAACCACACGGTCTTGGCCATCACTCTTCTAACCGATTCATCAGCTTACTAAACGTCGGTCATGTCGAGGCTGCAGTTTGTAGACCCAGTCAATCACTGGTCACTTGACCCCGACCCCTTGGAACGACCCCATGTCAAAGAAGCAGAACCAACTGGAATCCACAGGAGGCAACCCTCCAACAAACTCGTAGCCCACTAACAATTATGAAAGGATGTTTTGAAATCGCGAGTGGCCCGCTTTCATATATGCTTAGTCCCAGGATGTGTTGACAATTGCTTCAGTTCAATTCATCCCGAGGTGAAGTTTCGGGAGTTTCAACTCAATGACCAAATCTTCAAGCAAGAAATTGCGGTTCCGCGACTTCGAGCATATCCCGAGGGTTCTTCGAAAAGCGCCGCCTTCCATCTGGACCGGTTCCGAGAACTGGGTCGTCTATTTCGGCTTCTCTTGACTTGCAAGCTCGGCATGTCCAAAAGTGAAGATGGCATAGCTTAATCTCTACAGATCGATGGACACGATTTCTGTTATAAATTAGGCTGGTGTCACTGCACTCATAACATCATTCCGTATTTGTATATCTGTATATTGTGGTCGTTGTTTCAACGTACTGATATGCAAGAACTTCTTTGTGCTTTGATTGTACGCGAATCTAACGAATCTATGCTAGTGTTACTGACAGTTGAACCTGAAGCGAGTACTTTATATAAACTTGAATAACATCTTACACATATATAATCGACGTTTGATACAGCTATTTCTCATTTTACTCCCCTTGGCAGTAAATCATTCCCATAGCTACTTTTCCTTTCTTTTAGTCTTAGCAGCACAACTTCGTATGTATTTATCTTGGAGCCCCAGGAAGCTGAGCCTCCTTACTTGATGGGCAAACATAAAAAGAATGCAGTTTTCGCTTAAGCGCTTGTGCACGTCTTTTCCGTAACAAATAGAGGGATCTCATTGTAAGCGAACGCAACAGGTTCAATGGTGTTTCGAGCTAGGAATTTACAACGACTCGAGATTTGCTGTTGGTTATTGTATACTTAGCTTTCTGAGTTTCCGGCTTATATACAAAAGTCAATACCTTGAAAAGGCAAGCTGTCGTGTCTAATTGGTCAGCAATGATTGAGCTCAACCCTTCCGTCTAACGAGACATCGGTCCGAGCCGAATAACGCTAGATGTCTGCCTGTTTTTTTAGACCTGGCTCGTGCTGGGTCTGGCTGTGTTTTTTTCTTTTACTTTTATCACCTCGGTGGCGAGGAAGCCTTTCTGATACCTAGATATCTGCTGTTTATGGTGGTCAGGTCGGGAACTAAATAAACGGCACAGCGAAGGATGCAAAGTCTGGAATATCTCAATCACTCTACCTGGGTAAGCTTTGGGTCTGTTGACCGCTTGTCAGACTGGACTGCTTGTACGAAGAGACTCGTATTAACCCCAGTCATATCTTTGTGTAACCACTTACATCCCCGGTGTGCCGTGCTAAGGCTATTGTTACACTGCACCGGGCTGCGTGCATTGGAGCTGATTAGACGCAGGGTATGAATAAGAACCAGACCCGAATTTGTTTCGCAGTACATAGTACAGCAAACCTGACAGTTTGCTTCACACTATATCAGGTCCCATGCTCGATTTCTTCCTTGGTGTCTTTGCTATTTGACGGTTCGTCAGCAACTAACACTGCTGCGCCCCTTCCTGACAAGCCGAACAGGTCCATATTACCCGGAGACAGAAACCTCGTATTCCAGCAAACACAGCCAGGATATCTCAAAGGAGTAGTAAGATTACGTTTTGTGTATAAAATGGGCCTATATCATTCGACTTTTCTTTGATGTGCCTCTAGGTCAACTCAAGTCAAAAACCCCCGAAGTCCAAGTTATCTACATGCTCTGCAAAATACCAACCCTCGAACCAAGCAAAGATGTTGTACCAAAATATTTTCAAGTCCTTAGTATTCTTCGGTGCCCTCCAAGCAGCACATGCGCTGCCCGCTGCAGTCGATGATGGTGTAAGTTAAGCATTCACTCGACAGGACCTTTGCTTAACGCTGATGTGCAATAGCCTTCTCCATATACTCCCACCCGTCAAGCGGAAGCATCCTCAGTGAGCTCGACTACGGCATCTGCGACGCCTGCTTGTGTCTCAACACCACCCGACTGGTGTGCCGCACACAAAGATGCCACGTTGTGGTGTATAACCGGCAAATGGTGGTGTGAATACCCGGATCCTGTTTACGGGAGCCCCAGTTTCGGGCCTATCGAGAATGCTTGCTCGTGTTGATAATAAGGTACGCTGGTGAAATTTAAGGAGTCGAAGGGGGTTGTGGACTTGCAAGCAACAGCAACGAGAAATGTCGGGCAGAGAAAATTGCGCTATTTCAATTCTTGTGTTTTGGTTTGATAGATTTTCTTTTTATGGAGGAAAATATTGCGGTTTGGTTTGGGGTTCGAACGAGCTAGGCAGAGAGGCAGGAGGCGTGAAATAACGTCTATTTGACGACTTTAGTTACCTTAGGTCGCCAATATTGACACATCGCCTCCGAGGCCTTATGTTTATATGTTCTTTTCACCCACGATAATGCCGAATACTATCGCCAGAGAAGACCCCGGTGTTCATGTGGCCACTCCACTAAATATTACGGAAAGCTACCTGGACGGTCCAACCCTCGAGACAACCCAGCCATTCCAATCTGGTTGCCAAGGATTGACGTCAACCAGCCAACCCAACCCACCAATTCTCCAGATTTTAGTTGCCAAGCTGTATCAATTTGGAGACTTGGTTGGCGATAATCTAATTTCCGGCTAGTTATGGCAACCACCTTGGCAACCAATCAACCCAATCCAACGGAAGGGGATGGTGAGGTTCGTTAGTTTGCCTCAGGGCTGCCTAGGCGTCTGGCAAGCGGCCTGCAACCGCAATTAAAGTAATGAAATCCCTCTCGAAGGGTTACAGGTCGCGCTAAACTGCCTAGAGCAAGTGCAGGAGAATAGGGATGTACTCGCAAAAGTGCGCTTTTCCTGTGGCATCATAAACTGCACCTCTGCAGCAGAGAGATTATCGAAGCAGTGGCTAACCAAGCCGGTCCTGGAACACGTGCTCATACTTCATCCGAGTACAACAGAGCTCTCCTAGTTTGCTACCGTTGCAAACTTTACTATTTCGGTATTAACTTGGGAGTGTTACCAGGGCTTCGACAAACGATGAAGGGAGGCGCGATGATCAGGGAGGCTTGTTGTCACATCGTGTCGCTGTGCTTAGCATGACCAGAGAGGCTAGGCTTTTGAGTAAGACGAGTTTACTGCATTGCCTCAATCTTGAGGTTATTTTTACTTTGCGTTATGTGTTTTACATTTCTTAGTCCTAGCTCTGAGATACTTCAAGTCCCTTTCATTATGTTGCCTTTTCTTGAACAACCGAGCTATGAGTTGATCTTAATCGAACTTTGCGTCAACTACAGGAATAAAGGGGCTCATCATCCCTTGCGTTACACATACAAGGCATAATCTACAAACTTACTTCGGTACCTCTTTACGCAAATTGGAGGTTTAGGGTTCAGCTGTGATGCACCAACGTGTGAATTCATCCGATTATTTCATTAGTCCAACAACTTGAATCGCAAAATGCCGGCTGGTCATGTATAATGAATGCTTATAACTATATGATTGCTCCATTCGTCAGTAGAGGTACTATCGTATGTCATGTCCTCATATTTGCTGCATTTAGTTACAAATGACCATTCATATTCTTATACATGAACTTAACGATGTGGGTGGGGTTCAATGGGGTCTTCCAGTTATATAGTTGGCGAGCATTCTGTTATGAATTTGGCAACTTCCTGAATCAAGCTATCCGGACCTCTTCACTGGGTCTCCCCCTCTTGCACTCGTCGCTTTCTTCCACTTCTTCCATACACTGTGCTATCCCATCTCTCTAATGCTTTCAGAAATCCAGGAGTTTTCTTCTTTCCATGCCTCGGCATCTCGTCCTCCTCGGAGAGCTCAGCGGCACGAATCATCTCAATTGCCTCGACTCAAGCCCCCTCACCGTGCGGTGCTGCCCAGGAATATCACTGGAAAGCTGTGATCCGTGTCGGGTGGCGCCCTTGCCATATTCTCTGACGACCACAAGGGAGAAGAAGGAATACTAATTAGGTCGTACTTCATTCCGGAGTGCCACGTTGTAGAGGTTTGTTCATCTCTTCCCTCTTGGTGTCCATACCGGCATCGGATCGTCTCAAGAAGTAGCTCGGCGGGATTTGAAGCTGCGGAATTTTTAGGTGGACGCTCGGAGCTGTCCTGGGTGAGATCCATGTACCTCCACTTACCAAAGCTTTGCTTGTTTCCGATACATCTTCTCCTTTAGCTTCTAGTTATTCTTCTATTTCTTACTGATATTCTCGTTGACACCCACATTTAGGTGGCGCTCGGAGCCCGCTTTTACATGTTCTTCAATGCCCGACACTCTGCTTGGTCGCAATGGAAGCGTCCTCTCGGCACCCTTCCATCCCGGGTCAAGGCAACCCAACAGCTGATTGAAGTCGACATCATCCTGAGAGAACTGGAAGGTCTTCTTGCGCAATTGTGGGTCTCCGTACCTGCGCATCTCGACTAGGCTTACGCAAGACTCCAGTCTACGCGGCCAGAAGACGTTGAAGACGTTTCGAAACAGCCTAATTCAGAATGAAAATATCTTCTCTGGCAGTTTCCATCTCCGCGAGTGGGCCGCAGCTGTTGCTGCTTTAGCGGAAATAATCGGAGAGCATGGTATGTGAGTTTGGTGCCGCCGAGATGGCATATTCTGTCTCCTGGCTAAAGCTGCTACAACCTAAAAGAACTACCGCGCTATATTTATCCAGTCTTAAAAGAAAAGAAGTCCTGTCTCTTACAGGAGAGTTTATAGTAGTTTCCTAGATAGTACTCTAAAACAAGGCTTGTGATAAATTATAGATATCTGGCTTACTGTTTACTAGATTAACAGTGCGCTAGAATATTAGGAAGGTAGAACGAGTTTATCATAGATTCGAATGCGTAGGACTGTGAGTCCAACTTTACGACGTCCCACATATCGTGTACATAATTGAGGCTTTCCTCAGAGATATTGCAAAAGGTCACTTTCATTCACAGTGAGGTAAAACTCAACAGGTAGTCCAGCTGTCTTTGATAACCAATGCATGTTTGTCGTATTACTAATCGGGATCTGAGTAAGAAAATACCACTACAATAAATTCATCAGGAAGCTTCGATACGAAAATGGCTATAGTAGTAACCTGACACAATAATAAACGCGATAGCCTCTCCTAGTAGAATACAAGGAAAATATGGACCTTCAAGGCCATTACACACAAAATTGCCAGCTTGCGAGGACATATAGCCACCTACCGTACGTTATTGATGCGAGTGCATATGGGGTGTGAATTGTTGTATTCGGAAATGATCGCCAGGTCAGCTATTCTGGCCTGGCAGAGCTCTTTTATAGCTCTTATCTATCTTATCTCTAGCTATAGGGCAATCCCCCATGGGGTCACGTATCAGTTATAGGCCAATATGACCACTACCTATCGTACCACACAATTTCTGTCTACAGGGTAGGCATCGTTCATTATACCTATATAAGGCCCTTTTGGCTACATTTCATTCCTTTGGGGGTCTCCAGAGATCATCATTAATTCAATGCAATACAATTTGCACAATTAGTCCAATAAGTATTTGGTATAAAACAGACCCATACTTGGATTTTTTGTTCCCGTTGAAGGAGCAAAAGGAGGGCACATATGCCTAACCTGTATGTATTGTAGCTAACTCTGGTCCTCTCTTCGAGGGTCTATGTATGGAAACAAAAGGGTTTTTATATAGTCAATGAATGGTAGACTTGCTGATTAATTCAGACAAGTTGTAGAAGCATATAGATAAGTAGGGAATGTTCTATCCTCGCCACATTTCTCGTAATAGAGGTATGTGGGGATGGTCGCCGTTCTAGGTGGCGATAGTGGCAAGTATAGGACCCACATGGCCCACAGGGCCCATATTGTCCAACTCACCCCCTCAACAAGGCGGTAGAACTGGTTTGTTGGAAACCGAAGTAAGTACATGTCCTAACTGTTTGGTAGTATAGGATTTGAATAGTGATATGTTCAATCTAACTGGGAATTGTCGTCTGAAACCTCCTGTGCTTGGATAAGCTCTTGTATATTTTTGAGATTGCATATCTGCACGAATAGGTCGTGTTTTTGCGGAGGTAGTGCTTTTGTAAGACCGTCGGCTGCCATGATAGCCGTTGGGGTCCAGGATACGTTAAGCCTTTTGGTCGTATATGCCTCGCGAAGCCAGTGGTTGTGTATATCGACGTGTTTAAGCTTTGTGGATAGGCGTGCTAGTTCTTCTGTAACTAGGCGAATGGTCTGAGTATTGTCGCATTCTATTACTAACTTCTCGTGAAGGTCGAGACCTATAGCTGCAAATAGTCGCTCCATAGCAAGGGCTTCTTTGGCGGTTTGTGATAAGGCTAATAACTCGGATTCTGTGGTATTGGTTGTAACTGTATCCTGTTTGCTTGCCCGCCAAGCAATGGGTCCTCCAAAGAGCTTCATTATAAAGGCTTGAGAGCTTTTGCGATCGTGGGGATCGTCTGCAAATGCTGCATCGCTGGATACTATGAAGCTTCGAGGGACGTTAGTTGTGTCGTCTCCTCCTAGCTCGAGGGCGTAGTATCTGGTAGATAGCAAATATGTAAGGCAGTCGTCGATAGCCTGGTGGTGCTCTGGAGAAGGGTTGCTATTGAACTGAGCGAGCTTTGAAGCAGCGAATGCGCAGTCCGTTCGAGTGGTTATAGCCGCATATAGTACGCTGCCTACCTTAGCTTGGTAGTCTCGTCGAGAGATAGGACTAGCCTGTCTAGTGTATCTAGAGAGGTCTCTATAAGGCGACAAAGGTACTTTGGGGATACGTTTCCGATCAAGGGAAACATCGTACTGGGTACATATTTTCTCGATATACGAGGTTTGAGAAAGCCAGATCTTTCGTTCGGTCCGATCCCTTATGATCTGAATGCCTAGGAACCAGCGAAGTTCTCCTAGGTCCTTTAGTCGGAAGCGGTTCATTAGCTGTTGAATGAAGTGGTTGGTTTGAGCTTCGTCCTGCTTGCGATATAGTAGGCAGATGTCGTCTACGTAGAAGAAGGCTAGAATCTTGCCGTTCGTAAGGATGCAGGGCTCTTCGGGGACCTGTTTAAGGCCTAACTCGGTCATGCCTGATGCTAGGTCGCGTTGCCATAGGAGAGGTGAACGACGGAGACCGTATAGGGCTCTTTTGAGCCGTAGACAGTAGCCTCGTTGCTTGAAACCGTCTGGGAAGTAGACGTAGACGACTTCATCGATTTTACTATGAGTAAAGGCGTTTACGGCATCCAATTGCCGCGTCTCGAGGTCAAATTTTGCAGCAATAGCCATTAGCATCCGGAAGGATCGTCCAGCTAGGGTCGATGCGTATGCGTTTAGGTCTGATCGTGGCTGGAGATCTCCTCTAACAACAAGGCGTGCTTTGTATCGATCGAGGTATCCGTGTTTATCGAATTTGTAGGTAAATACCCACATTAGGGGGATTATGAAATGGCTGGTAGCTTCTGATAGCGGTACCTTATCCCACGAGTCTTGGCTAATGGCGTTATATTCCGCTAAAGCAGCCTCTTTCCAGTTCGTCCAGAGAGCGTGTAACTGTGCTTCGGCCCAGTTCTTCGGAGGTGGAGGAAGGTTTCTCCGATGTTGCCTTTTGTGCTGGATTGCAGTAGTAAAGGCTGCGTTCAGTGGTGTATACTGGGGGCTAGAAGTGTGATATTTGCGGAGAGCTTTGGGGATAGCCTGAAAGACGTCCGCTGTATTGGCTTGATGGCGGTTTCGACGGCTTCTTGTAGTTGTATTCGGCAAAAGATTCGGATTTAGCTCTGATCGTATCTCGTTAAGCATACGGGAGCCTCGTCCAGTGGCTCGTGGCTGCTGGGCTAGCGGTATTATTGGAGAATCTGGCGATGGGTCTGGTGATGGGTCTGGTGTTGGCAGTTGTTCTGGTAGCAATCCTTTGTCGGCTATAAGCTCTGGAGGTACTGCCACGGTAATAGAGTCTTCGATTCGCTCTGATGGTTCTCGGTGGTCCACCCCCTCAGCGTTAGAGATGTCGTTAACTGCTTCGTCAACGCTGGACTCAGTTGTTCCATTGTATCCGAGCACGATTTGCAGGGCTGTATCATCATTACTAGCCTCAACTTCGATATGCTGGATCTCATCGTCGATTTCCCTAATCCGGAGAGGTGTGTAATGTTCCGATGGATCGTATACTCCTTGTTCATCGAAGGTTACATCTCGTATGGATATAACTTTGTTTCTGGTCGGGATCCAGACCTTATAGACAGTCTGGTTCTTGTACCCAACATGGTATCCGATATATGTCCGAGGCTCCATCTTCTTTAACTTATTCCTTCCGGCTCGATAGTCTTCGGTAAGGGGATAAGCCTTGCATCCCCATGCAACGAGGTGAGAGACTAGAGGGCGGTGGTCTTGAATCGGGAGATTATCTCGTTTGGCAAGCCATTCTGAGAGAACTTCGATAGGAGTTTTCCACTTTAGTCGTTTAAGTGGTGTCCGATTTGTTAGATATGTAGCTGTTTCAACAGCTTCTGGCCACAGGCTTGGCGGTAGCCGTGAGCTAACTATCATGGCACGCGCTTTGGTATTGATTATCCTCCCAGCTCGTTCGGCGACGCCTACCGGCTCCTTGGTATATGGTGGTGCTTGGTTATGCTGTATGCCGGTACGCAAGATCCATTCCTGAAAATGTTTGCCGAACGCTTTCTCGCCATCTGACGTAATTGTTTTCACGTCAATGTCATACCGTCTCTTAATGTAGGATACAAGGCTTGTAAGGGCAGGAAAGGCGTGCTTTTTCCGTCGAAGGGTATATGTAATCCGTACTCCGGTAACTAGGTCAGTGCCGATTAGAGCCCTAGTTCGTCCGTCGTAGGCTGTCTCGTATTCGAAGAGATCAATATCCATATGTTCCAGGGGTTTGAATCCTCGGTTTTTGGGATGTCGTGTAATGCGGCGTGTCCCTTTTGCGAGAGAGCAGTCTTCGCACTGGATCGTAGTTGGCGCCTTAATCTTTATGCCTGTAACTGCGTACACAAGCTTCTCTAGGCTTCTGGGGCCAAGATGGGCCATCCGTCTATGCCAGAGTGTAGCGTCACCGTCAAGGGGTTTTTGAGGTCGACGTGAATCGTTCCCATGGAGCTCCTGCTTCTGCTCAAACGGATTTGTGGGCCTTAGGTCGATACCCGGCATCCCTGGAGTATCTACTGTAGGTATAGATGCAGGCTCTAGTGGTATTGACACCCTCTCATCTTCGGAGAATTCAGATACCTGTTCGGAGTCGGATTCTGAAGGTTCAGTGGAAATTTCCACATCTGCTTCGTCGGTAGCAAAGGCGCTGCTATAGGTCGCGCGTTGGGAGGCTATAAATGGTTCCAGATCATCGTTGGCAGCGTTGTCGTTTGTTAAGGGAATGTATTCGAGAATCGGCTGGTTATACTTTTCTGTAAGGTAACAGAGGGGTTTCCGATGTCCTGCCCGAATGTAATACAAAGCTTCATGTTCCATATCGTAATAGATGCCGGCTTTCTTGAACAACCTAGCAGAGGCGAGGTTTGTATGCATGGCGGGGACGTAGGCGACGTTCTCGAGGGTAAATACCATAGACTTTCCTCCTGGTCGTCGTATTTGGATTTCGACGTCACCCCATAAGAGGATATCTAGAAGAATACCTCCACTGATGATTTTGTCTGTAGGGGACGCGCTTCTGATTTTCTTGAATCGGGAATGCTGGTTGCATATATGGATGCTGCTTCCAGTGTCGTAAAGGGTTGATCGTTTCAATGGATAGTCTACCTGGAGGCCTGTAGTAAAAGCAGAGACCTCGTGGATCGTATTGACAGTATTTAACTGCTTGGTGGGTGCGCTGGCGTTGTTGCCAGCGCCGTACCCTCAGGCCTTGCCTGGTATGGTATCGTTGCTCTCGTTATTGCTACTGCTGTTGGCTCTTTTGGCCGCTCGTAGCTGGATTTTCTCGATCAACTTTCTAACCTTCTCATCCTTCAGTTTTTCCTCTATCTCTCGCTGCTTGCCCGGGTTCGGGGACCATCCAGTGGGGCGAAGGCTCTCGATAAGGTAATAACAGGCGCTATACCGGTGGTGACTACCACATAGGCATGTACGTGACTTGTCGTTTGTAGAGGCTGCTGGTGGCTCTTTTCCGTCTAGGGTAGGAGTAGCTGCGTGAGCGCCTCTTGAGATGGTATGGTATGTGTTTCCGAAGGTTTTATTCCAACGGAGGTGGTTTGCAAAGGCATTGTAGATAGACTCGACTTCCATTTGCTTCGCTGGTGGGTTCTGGAGCTCCTTGTCGATGTCGTGCTTCCAGTTGCTTGCGAAGTCGCTTGCTACGGGGTATACCGCAGTAACGAAGGCGTAGTGAGCGTGGTACATTGATATGGAGGGTAGGCCAAGCTCCCTTGCTTCGAGGTAGGTCGTCCACCACTCAGAGAGCCAGCTCTGGATGTTCTTCCCTTGGGATAGAGGTTGGCATAGCTTCTGAAAGCGGCCATCGACCTCCATTTTGTACTGTTGGCTTCCTGGCTTAAAGTACTCCTTAATGGCTAACATCTTATCGCGAAGGGTTGGCTTGCTACGGAATAGGGCGTGGTGTCGATCCGCAACGTTGTTAAAGAGCCAAGCGTCGAACTTCTGGGCTTGGGCATCCTGAAGTTGATATTCAACAAGCTTCTCCTTGCGTATTTCGATTAGAAATCTATATTTGTTGAATTCCACGGCGTCGAGGTCGGAAATATCGGTTGCGCCGGCCTTGACCTTACTAACCGACGGGACCAGTGGCTTGGTTAGCAAGGGCACGACCTCGTATTCAGGGAGTTTCGGATCGATGTTGTTCCAAAGTAGAGGGGCTTCTGCTTTGGCTCTGAAATAGAAGGCCTCGTACTGGTAAGGTTCGTCCAGTTTCCCGGAAAGAGTGAGAGAAGCCATGTTGCTATGTAAAGATAATCGACGAGAATGTCTTGAAGGTTTTCCAGTGGCTTAAACGCACACCGGGCTCATAACACTTGGATTTTATGTTCCCGTTGAAGGAGCAAAAGGAGGGCACATATGCCTAACCTGTATGTATTGTAGCTAACTCTGGTCCTCTCTTCGAGGGTCTATGTATGGAAACAAAAGGGTTTTTATATAGTCAATGAATGGTAGACTTGCTGATTAATTCAGACAAGTTGTAGAAGCATATAGATAAGTAGGGAATGTTCTATCCTCGCCACATTTCTCGTAATAGAGGTATGTGGGGATGGTCGCCGTTCTAGGTGGCGATAGTGGCAAGTATAGGACCCACATGGCCCACAGGGCCCATATTGTCCAACTCCCATACTAAGGTCTAATTTATTACTTAGTACAACTTGAAATATTTTTCTGTATAGTAGCGGCCTGGGCAAAAAGCCGGTAGCTCATGGTGGCGAGGTTATCACCATTTAGGGCCTTGCCAGGGTTCAACGATGCTGCTGATGTTGAAGCCAGTGTTACCCGCCTCACCAGCGATCAAAGCGGCGCAGGTGAGAGCGGTGATCCCAAAAGCCTTAAGCGCGAACTCGCCGACGAAGGGCACGATAAACTCTTTCTTTTCGGCCTCCTTTTCTATCTCTCGAAGGTCCTTAGGAGATTATACAGCCGCGACGGACTGCTAGGCGAAAACGATTAGTTATACACATACCTATTATATACATAGGATATTAGTAATTAATCTTCATAACGCGAAGCATAGACTACTCTAAAGTAGATTGATATAAGCCCTCTTTTTAAGAGGGACCCTTCCTTCGAGAAAAGTATCAATTTCTAACTGCTTATCCGGTAAAATAGGCCATATTCGCTTATTTCGCTTGTCCTGGGCTGTTCGGATCGCTGATAAGTTAACGAATACTTTATTCGGGTCTGGCTCGACGGGCTGGCGTATATCTGGAGCGTATTTATCGAGTTCTTTATACAGTTGCTCGTTTTCGATACGTAATTTGGTATTCTCGGCGGCCTGGAGTGTAAGGGCCTTGCCCGCCTTACCTACTGTGACGGCCGGTGTCACGATGCCACGAAACCCACTAGCTGTGGACCCGTAGGAGCACTGGCCATCTGAAGGCGGGATTGAAGATCCTCAGATGTGAGCCAGCCTGTTTTAGTTTCTCTTTCTTTCCTTGTCGAGAATCGTTAAGTCAATACAGTGCATTAGAGTGTTTTGACTCTTCAATTGTGCTCACCGTGACACCTACTAGGGTACGAATCTTACAATACCCCGCCCTCGGCTTTCTCTATCGACTATAGTTGGCTAGATAGTTGCTGCGCTTTCTGAGGAGTAAAAGCAACTAAAGGTGGTGATATATGAGGCGGAGGATCTGGTGTATGAGGCTCCGGAGGATCACAAGATACGTCGACTAGTCCTTCGGAGCCTAGGGGCCATATACCAGTCTTCCGCCAGCCAGATTTAATATTTTCCGTAGTAAAGGCTCTCTCCGAGGCACGTAGATATGCTTCTAGCATACGTTGCTTGTAAATTGGGGCTGTAGCCTTGTAGGAAGCGTAAGCCCTTAACTCTTGGCGGTGGTAGGTTTTCAAAGGTGAGAACGGCCCGACATCGCACGGCTGGAGATCGTCACTGCAGTGTGAGGGTAAATACAGCACGGCGACTCTATTCGAGTAGGCTTTCCACATAAATTCGGCATGAATATGTGTCTGGTGGCCGTCGAGGATAAGGAGTCGCCATTCGGTACCCCTAGGCTTCGTCTCGGGGAGAAAAACCTGATCTAACCACCTATTTGCGATAACTTTATTACTCCAGCCCTTACTCGTCGCGGTGTATTCCCACGCAGGGATATTTTGGTCTGGGAACCACTGTGCCTGGACTCTCTTGCCGGAAAATACACAGACAGGTGTACCCCGTTGGGTATGCGAAATGTACTCTAACCAGGAGCACCACGACGAAGCGTCCGACTTTGATACGCGTACCCGGCATGAATTAGACGTCCAAATAACCGTACCATGCCCAGATTCCCCCTCTTGGACACCTGTCTCATCCATATTATACTCGTTGTCGGGTTTGATACGATACTTCGTACGTAAGCGTTCGAGGAGGGTGTAGAAGTCTCGGATCTTGTTCGAATCGGACGCTCTAACTCGGCTAGCATCTACGACGCGCCCAATTTTGGTACGTATCTGTGGATGGCGGCTAACGAAGTGATCCACCCAGTGTTGGCCGAGTGTATTATTATCCCCTTGAGCAAGGAGGATTTCGGCAGCGAAGTCGGCCACATAACGCTTGCTAGGAGCCCGTCCACACACTTCTTCGTGTAGGATCCAGTTCACGATAACCTCCTCTTGCTTTGGAGTCAACTTTTGTTGCCTGGAGGCGGCGTCGCGATGCGAATTACCGTGACGAATACGGTAGGACAGTGTAGTCCCCTTGATACCGTACCGATGAGCTGCTACGGCCTGGGAAGAGCCCTGATAGACAAGCTCTTTAGCGCGTTCGATTCGCTGCTCAAAATTGTCCAGACTATTCTCCACTGGATTAGCTATTTTGTACGTAGACAGGGAGCAATTGCGAGGTAAATTGAGAGACGTCGTGTTGTTGAGGCGTAGAAATTCCCTGCAAAATGGGGGTGCATGCAAAAAGGTGGTCAATGCGGTTAGTCGGTCTTAAAGTCGGCGAAATCCCCAGGGTCGAGACTACCGGGAACCATGGTCCATTTAGCTGCGTCAGCTGATTCGCATTACTCGCCTCGTTGGCGTTGTCATCGATGGAGATCAAAGGAAGGTCTGGCATATTGTTGCATTTTTCCGCCAAGGTCACCTGGAGATAAGTCTTCAGGTATCAACTTGTACCTGAAACGTCCACGCATGGGTTGTTGGCCGCCACAGAAACCGTGATGGGCGGGTCGACTTTGGTAATAGACACAGCTATGTTGACACGTCAGTTCTTAACCTCAGAAGAGATTTACTCTGGTTTGGAGGGAACACTTCGTTCGGAGATGATCTGCTGGTACACTGAGGTAGTGGCCTCTATCCCAGTGTCGAGGGGGTCTTGGGACACTGAAATTTTGTGGAATGGCAGCGCAGTAATGGGGCAGTGATGCAAAGATTCTCACTACTGCCTTGAATACGCATGGAGGCACCAAGTTGGAGAAGATGATAACGGTGATGTGACAGAATCCAGGCTTCATAGAAAGTAACACGGCCAGAAAATTATATTCTTGATAAACTTGGACTTGCGCTTCTCGCTAGTGTTTACACTTGTCAGAGTGGCGAATAAAGAAGGGGCGTGGAGACCTGGTTGTATAGAAGTTTACATGAAACGTGACATGATCAAGGTGGTGTGGACAGTTTTGGACAAGGAACCTGGAAAGTAGAGATACGTTGGTAGTACTCGTTTTGTTTCCACAGCTTAGGCGTATTGTTCTCTCGAAGACGGGTTATAATTACTACTAAGGGGGCAGTTAAGTTCCGTTGGTTACCCAGCTATGTGGACTATGACCAAGTTGATTGGACAGAGCGCTTTCCCCTGTGCCGAACAGAGTCGTTATTCCTGTCTGCTACTAGCATAAAGCGTATTCCCATGCTCAGGCGAATTCGACAGCTCAATCGTATTCGTATGAGCTCCAACCTCATTACTAGGCACCTCATCCTCGCCCAGCATCGCCTTATCCGAGTCCCCGTCATGCAGACGCTCCCAATCTCTCTGATTGTGGTGCACAGTGGCGAAGCTCAATCCCTTGTCAGTCGAGTTACGGAACCGGTCACGAGATTTATTCTGCCCCCTTGCAATGGGGGCGCTGCCGAATGTGACGAGCGACTTGGGACGGCTCGAGGGGGTCTGGTCCGTGCTTTCTGTCGGTTTATTCTTGCGCAGGATGAAGCTGCGGACGGCAGGGATGGAGCTCGCGACACAGCCGATGCCAGTTTCGATGTTGGAAAAGAGCACGATGTGGCCGACCCAGACTAGAGACAAGAAAGTGCGACGTCAGTTTCAGGGGTTGAGCATTTGGGAGCGTAAATATCAGGGGCATAACAAACTGACACATGAGATTGTCCTCAGGGTTATTGTAGTGATTGATATAGGGTGCGCGAATCATGGTCATAATAGACGCCCTAGTACAAGCAAATAATGGTCAGTTGCTCGAAACCTGCAATGTTGAAGCTTGACACTCACGTTGAAGCAAAGGACAAGAGGGCGAACACGGCCAGCTTGTGCCGCAAATTCATCTGTGTTTTCCACAATATGAGGCCTGGCAATATGGCGCAGGCCAAGTCCGTCACAATTGTCGTTCCCGTTGCGGTCTGACTGAGTCCAATCATGGTCTCCATGGACGCACAGGTAGCTTCTCCGGACAGAACCAAGGACGCCTTCCAGTTCCCCTCTATTGGCCTGCAGAAAACCAAGACACCGATGAACGTGACTAAAAACGAGGTCCAGGTGATACCGAGCAGGACATAGACGGCAACTCGGTACAAAGTTTGCGTATCGGCAATGCGTGCCATGGTGACGCAGATGGAGCTCTTGATAGTGGCAAGGCCGATGACGTAGACTAGAATCCATATCGTAAAGTATTTTTTACTCTCCTCAGCGAAGAAGGCGTTCTGTTTGGAGTCGGGTTGGCCGACGCCCATAAAGGCGGCGTCGCAGGCCAGACCCACATCGACAACGTAGACGAGCTGCGACAGGTGTTCAGTTAAAGTACTCCAGGTCAAGCTCTCATAAAGGGGGAGAGTGGTTGAGTGTCGTCTTACTGTTCCAGCCAGTACCAAGCTATCATCCAGGCCAAATAACTTGTCTGCGAGTCGCACGTATGTCCTTATTCCTACGGCGGTCACCGATAGGACCAGGCATATTAAAGAGGATACAACGATTGCGAGCGAGAGTCCTGTCAAAGGAATGTAACTCGCGTCGGTGCCATTATCTGCCATCTTGTCCGCGTATGGGCACGACCTGGCGTGCGTATGGTTGGCTATAGCAAATGCAGAACCAATATCGAAAAACTACAGAGACGGTTGCTGGCAGTGCATCGTATGATATAGAGCTTTTGACTGGGATCCTGCATGTATACACGATGCCAAACACGAGCCTTGGTCCACGGATACTATCTTGACAGGTCATCTTTCTTTGATATTCTTCACCCCAGGTTGTGAACCCTGCGGACAAAACTTGTAGGCTAGGATGACCAACGGGCCACCCTTTGAGAGTTCTCTGCCGGCCAGTCTGCAATCGAGGCGAAAGCACCCCTGGATCTACGTAGCATCCGCGTAACAGATGCCGGCCCAGACCGCGCCTTGCCGCTGCATGCAATATGCATGGGACTAATCCTCATGGAATTTCCACGTGGGTCGGTTGCAGTTTACCATTGCTTACCAGCACTAGATCAATAGATTGCCGTTCAACCTAGCCATACTAGCGGGATGCAATGGTTGAGAGCCATGGACTCGGGCGGTATCAACTCGAGGTTTGGATAACTTTTGCAATAGTAACACCAAAGGGTTGTTCCTAGAGTAGAATTGCTCGACGAACTCTGCAAGGGTCGGATCTTCCGCGGATGAGACGGAGACACTCATTCAAACATAAGAGTTCTATTGGTTGTCACAGTGGATATAAGGGAATAAATGGATACACAGTAAAGTCCCACAGCTGGGCCCCCCTCCGCCCACACCAACAGGCGGAAGAGTAACCGACTGGCAAGCGACTTTGTAGTAAAGATACCCGGACTGCCTAGCGCTGAAGATTCTATCAGAAATTTCACTTGGGTTCCAATTCCCCGGTCGTCCGCCGTTTTGATGGGGACTTCCACGACGGGCCTGCTCATGTGGAACACGGTTTGAACCAGTGACGACCAAGGCTCGCGAGAAAATCATGGAGTAGCAGAACTTCTGCGAGAGCAGATTTGGTATCCGGCAGGTCCTGCATCTTGTTAGGTCCATGGATAGCAACTATCACCGAAGCTCACATCAAGACAAGAACCAGAACAGCATGGGATGATGTTGCAGTATGTATGGAATAGGAATGCGGTACACTGAGATTAGCGAAAATAGTTTGAACATTGGGATCTGCAATAACAGACGAGCAAGTCATGTTCTGAAGTGACATGTTTGCCCTAGTTCTTGGCGAAAGACGCAAGAAAGACTGGTTATATCTCTGCTGGCCATTTGCATCAAACAGCACCGGATGAAAAGCCGTTTGGCCGTGTTCCGGGCCGTCCCGGACTCTACTTTTTGATAAGACTCACAGACTTCTTTTCAGCCTTAGCCGGGGCGGGTGGATAAGTGTGACCCGAGAACAGTGGGAAGAATCGAGGCTTTGTTGGTGATTAGTTTGATGTGAATGGAGACCAATGCCCTCGAAGACCCTTTTATCATCCGATATCAGTTTAGCCGCTGTGAACGAATAGTGGAGAATGATCAGCCCCGAAGCGTTGACTCGTAAGACATGCATGCGGGCAAAACTACTCAAGTACCCAAGGTTAATGAGCGTTTGACGATGGCCCTATCCCAGTTGCTGAAGAGTTCAAAGGAGGGAAAAGAGAAGGAAACCAAACCACGAGTAAAAAAAATCAATACAAATCTTCGAACACAAGAGGGGACATTTGGAACGTCTGAACTCCCAAGTCCCTGTCCCCGGGTCGTCCGTTGTCAAACCAGCGATGCGGTTCTCTTCCGCTTCCGGTTCAGATTTGACTCGTCTTGGGTAGTATTGTGGGTCGCCCCGTTTTCTGTCCTTGACAGGACCGTTATGACGATCGTCCTTGAGTACACCTCTACCAGCCCTCTGCATGTTAGTGTCGCCCTTCCACCACGCTTAATGAAGTATGGGCGGGACGAGGGCGGCATTATCATTTCATGCAGAGAGCTGGTAGAGGTGTACTATAGTAAAGAATTCAAGTCGATAGCAGCATTACAGCGTTGAATAAACCTTCTGGGTATGCGGCTTGACAGCTGCAAGATGCTACTATCACAAGATTGTTCATCCAATAGAACAAGTCAAAGGTAGCTGGTACTACGACGTGTAGCTCCGATTATACGGTAATGAAAATCAGGCGTAGTTACCACCCTAACCCACTACCCGTTAGTATCCTCCGCTGCAGAATCATACCCCCCAATCGTGCATCCAATAGAACTCATATACCTCGTACTTTGCATTAAATGATACCATGATGCTACAGCGGCCAATCACCCTCAGGGCAACCAATCCTACGAGTATATGCCAAGCAGATCTAGGGAAGCACCCCTTCATCTTAACAAGTTCTTGAGAGCCTAGTGGGAGTCAGAGGAAACGACATGCCCTATGGAACACAGAACAAGACACTGTCGTTGCATATTGTCAGAGGTGGTACCTGCGCAGCCACCACCAGTACTTAGTTCCAGACCAACAACACCAGCCTAGCTTTCTTTCCTCACCATAATACACTTCATTTCTATTGTGTGTCCCTCAACACATATTGATCAGATTATTGAGAGTCTGTTTCAAAGACCGGATGAATGAAGACTTGGCGGCAATGCCAATCTAAGTAGAGGGAGATTCGGTTCCACCTTGACTGGAGAGCATCCACTTCCACGCAGTACCTGTGCGTAATACAGAAAATGATTATCAGGCGATACGTCCCCCGCAGTTATGAATTCCGCTCCCGCCAATGGCTGCTGATTTTGCACCTCGGTCTATTGGCCGCATCTTGTCATGCCCGCAATGCTTGAGCAACGTATAACGGAGGCAATGGAGCTGGCCAACAGCCTGTGCGTTTCTTTGTTTTCCCGCTCTCCTCGTCAGTTTGAAGTCGGGGCCTGATCTTTTTTCAACTTGAGAGACCCGGCCAATCAAGTCTGGCCTCGTCAAATCGAAATCATGACGATCCAGAACTCTTTCGTGGAGATGGTGCCCTCCTCCCGCGAGGCCGTGGGCGCCGTCTTGACGGCCCGGAACGCGCTCTTGCTCGTCGGCGTCTGGGTGGCGTATCAGTTGCTCCGGGCGGCGTGGAACATCTCGCCTCTCCACCCCTTGAGCCGCATCCCAGGGCCGAAGCTGGCGGCGGCGACGTACTTGCCTGAATTCTACTATGACTGCATCAAGTTTGGTTGTTATACCAAACAGATCCAGAAGATGCATGAAGTGTATGGTAAGAAGACTACCGTACCCCAGGCCACGAGCAGATCGGAACTGATTGTGATGTCTAGGCCCCATCGTTCGCATCAGTCCTCATGAGGTGCACTGCATCGATGCCAAGTTCATCGATGAGATCTTCGCCGTCGGCGGCCGGAAGCGGGATAAGCCGCCTCATCAGGTCAGCGGCTCGACGTAAGTGCCCCCTGATGCTACTCCGGTAACAACGAAGGCTAAACCAGACCAACTAGCATAGAGCTTTCGGGCTTCGCAACCTCTGACCACGACGCGCACCGCGTCCGCCGCGTGCCGCTCGCCAAGTTCTTCTCCAGGGCTCAGATTGCGCGGCTAGAGCCTGAAATCCAGAATCTGGTCCAGCGGATGTGCAACAAGTTGCTTGCCGAGTCTGGCAGGATGCAGCCCATCGACATCACCATGGCATACAGTTGCTTCACCTCGGACGCCATCTCCGACTACTGCTTCGGAAGTAGTTTCGGTTTCCTTGCGCAGAAGTCGTGGGAGCCCAACTTCCGTGCACCGCTGTACTCGTCTCTGCAGACCACCTTCTTGTTTCGCTTCTTCCCGCATCTCAAGCACTTAACTCTCGCGGCCGACTTGTGAGTTCCGATGGTCGTACGGATCCTTCGAGAGGAGCGCCACTAATAACCCTTAGCTTTATCAACTATTTGCCTGAGGATGTGGCACTGCTCCTAACGACGATTAACACCACGGTACCCAACCAGATCAAGAAGACCAAGGCCGACATCGATGCCGGAATCCTGGAAGAACGTGAAACCGTCTTTGGCTCCTTGCTCAACTCCGACCTACCTCCAGAGGAAAAGTCGCTCAAGCGGCTTGCAGACGAAGCCATGGCGGTGCTCGGCGCCGGTACCGAAACCACCAGCTGGGCACTTTCAGTAATGACCTTCCACCTGTTGACCCAGCCCAAGTTGCTCGCGCGCCTGACACAGGAGCTGCGCGAAGTCATTGATGACCCGACGAGTTTGCCGGCTTGGCCGACGCTCGAGAAGCTGCCTTACCTGGGCGCCGTCATCCAGGAGGGCCTGCGCCTGTCGTACGGCGTTTCAGCCCGCAGCGCTCGCATCCCTACCGAGGAGAACCTGTTGTACCGCGGCGAGTGGACGCCCAAGGGTCGTTCGGCGCCTGTCGACGTCGCTTATGTAATTCCTCGAGGTTATGCCATCGGCATGTCGGCCGTCCTCGTGCACCACGACGAGCAGATCTTCCCGCACTCACACTCTTTTATTCCAGAGCGATGGCTTGACGAGAACATGGAACGAAATAGGGAGCTGGAGAAAACCATGCTCACCTTTTCGAAAGGCGGTAGGATGTGCCTAGGCATGAAGTAAGTGATGGGACAGAACCCCCTGCAAAGTCTTAATAGAGCTTCCTCTCTGACTCAGATCGATAGCTTGGCTCTCTGCGAAATCCACCTCGCGCTAGCGGCGCTCACGCTACGGGTCTTCCCGCATATGCGCTTGTTCGAGACCGACCTGGAGGATGTGGCATATGATCACGATATGTTCATACCCTTGACGAAGGATGGAAGTAAGGGCGTGAGGGTTACAATTGTGTAGCTGGAGAGCGTTGGCGGTTCTGGGAACGCATCAGTTCGCTGTCGTGTCGTTCAGCAGCATAGACCCCGAAGCCCGCGAGGTGTGCTAAAAGACCACTTCAATAATTTAACACTGAGCCGCTCGTCCCTGAATAGTTGTATTATTAATCAATCAATTGCTGGTTTTCGCCATCAAGACCATCATCTGAAACCTTAGCCGACGCCCCCATGTCGCATGGAGATGAATTCAATACCGTACCTCCTCAAGACGCGGCCATTGAGTCCGACCCACGACGTGTTGAATTGCACAGAGAAACTAAACTGAACCACTAGACTGCTTCAGCGCTTCGGGTAGAGATCGCCTCTGCATATAATGCTTGGCGCTGACAGTATTATTGCCCCGTTTGGTCGTGATTGAATCCTCGACGTCCCACAAGCCAGCGCTGCGCCCTGACGACAAGCGTATGGATGAATCCGGTGGTTCTCGCCAACCGCCCACCCCTGAGTATGTCATGGATTTTAATTGGTGAAGGATTCCGGAAAAGACTTGCAGGATTCTCAGCCCTACCAGTCATCCAATGGCTGCTTAGCTAGAAAGTGGAAGTAACCTTTACACGGGTCATGCAGCTGTTAACATTGCAACAGGCCCCTGTAGGTGATACCCGAATACACAGAAAATCTTGGGGTCCGTGACAGTGGAACGACACAATGAACGCTGTTTGATATGCCCAAGGTCCTAATATTTCCTCCCATTACCTCCGCTTTTTCCGATGCTCGATCGGCCTGGTGTAGCATCTGATTCTCAAGTTGCTTTACTATTTCTGCCACAGTCGCTTCAGAACTGCGGATAGACACAGTAGGTCCTAAGCTGGTCCGATGCCTTCACCCTATTCATCAGAAGCCAGGAATTGGCAGTCCCCGAGCCCTCGGGTATCTCAACCAGGATTGGAAGTTGCGAACGCTGGATCAGATCTCCCGGAGGTCGTTCCACAAGATGAAAAGTTCATACAAGTCCTGACCGCTCGGCCATCCTCCTCATTACCATCAACAACATACCGAAGCGCACATAACCCGTACGGCGATCACGATGCTACACGAAGCGACGTGGAGCGGCCTCTTCAGAATGGAGCAGCAGGTGAAGCTGGCCTTGAGAAGAGTGTAGCTTCGACGAAGCGCGAGACAATATGCGGTTTTAAGAGGAGAACTTTCTTCTACTTGCTCGCCGCCATTTTCTTCGTTGCTATTGCAACTCTGGGGGGCGTCTTGGGAGGAGTTCTGACCTCTTCTCGGAACAACAACTCGGACAGTGCCAGGTACGTATAATGCGCAGCCAAGCTATTTGCCTCCACGTCGACATAAGCGCTGACAGGTATTCGATGAAAGCTCTCCTCAGTCGGCAACAACAAGCCCAAGCCCAACCCGAACGACTACCATAACGAGCTCAGGACCAACAACACCAACGACAACCACAAGGTCGTCGGCTAGTGCAAATCCAACGTTTGTCACGACAAGCGGCCCAGGAGGTGTCCATATTGAGTGCCCGGCAGCTGATGGTGAGAGGTACACGCACGCCGACACGGGTAAGGTGTTTCGGCGGGAATGTAACCGGAATTACGTCGGTGGGGACGTTCACAACTTGACTGCGACAGACTTCGAGGAATGCATAGATGCGTGCGCCGAGTACGCGGGCTGTCTCGGGGCCAATTGGATGTACAGAGGTGAACAGGGGACGGCCAATAATTACTGCTGGATTAAGACTACCTTGAACTCAGGGATTGATGATTCCGGTTGCGAGAGCGCCGTGCTAATGCAGGATTGAGTGGGCATTGCTTCAAGAGTGCTGTGTGATGACTAATCAAGGGGCGTTAATGGCATTTATTTGGTGGGAAATGAAGCATTTCCATGCGCTTAGTAGGATATGCCCTTCGTCTATTAAATATCAGTATCTATCGAGAGGTGAGAGGTTGATGGTTGAACCAGTGGGTAAGAAGTGACACTTCGCTGACCTCTTTTCATCCACTTGAATGAATCTCAGGGCTTTGCAACTGTCACGTAAGTGCTCGGAGTAACGAATGCTCGAGTGTATCGTGGCGGCCATGTCTGACAAACCAAGAAGCTTGGTTCCTATGGGGTCTTATCGTTGGCAACGACCAACCGTTTGTCGCCGACGGCGATCGAAATGCTCTCGAGCCTGTGTTCGCGTGATTTACACATCTGGTTATTTGATGCACAGGCTTGGATGATGATATCACTTGATTTCAACTACCGTTCTCGTGTAAATATATGGTTTTTCGCTGTTTCACTTCGATGGTTGTCAGCTTTTGTCAGCTTTTCATGCGCAACACCGCTTCAACAGGATGATTCCCATGTGTCACGATTGAGATGGCTTCCGGTGTTAATGATGGCATTTCTAAGGTCGCATGGCAAGTTGATTCACCTACTAAAGTACTAAAGTTAATGGGATAACGTAGTCCACAAGCGAACGGGTCACGCCCATAGCAAAAAATAGAACTAAACTTCCTAACTTTACCACGCAATTAATTCTCGATGGATTCTGCTCAAAAAGAATCTCAATTACTCCTTGCAACTCAGGCTATCAGAAATGACTCAACACTTAGTATCCGACGTGCTGCAACAATCTACAAAGTCTCGAATACTACTCTCCAGGCGCGTCTTCAAAAACGTCAATCACGTCGCAATATCGAAGCCAACGGTCGGAATTTAACAAAACTAGAAGAAAATACGATTATTCAAAGGATAATTAAGCTAGATTCGCAAGCATTTCCTCCCCGGCTAAGTACTGTTGAAGATATGGCAAACCGACTGCTACGCGACTCGCATATCACAAAGGAGGACTTTCTTCCGGCATTTTGCGACGCGTTCAAGAAGAGCCTGACCGAAAGCAATATTCGTGCAGGCTTTCAAGGGGCTGGGCTTGTGCCTTTAAGCCCAGATATTGTTATTGAGAAGCTGGATGTGAAATTACAGACTCCAACGTCCTCCCGGCCCCCTACGCGGGAAACCCTTCCTTAGGCTTCTCGGACGCCAAACAACCCAACCGAGGCTACTTCGCAATCCGAATTTATTAAATTTCGAATTGCCAGGCATCAAAATAGCTCCCCAACGTCAATTTACGATGCTATCGATCAGTTTTCGAAAGGAGCGCGGAGTATTATGCATAAGATGGCTTTACTCCAAGCTGAGGTCGCGGAACTTCGAGAGGCAAATGCTCTAATTAGCAAGCGGCGCAGGGCCAAAAAACACGAGTACGGCTTGGAGGATCACTTAATTCACAAGACGTACAAAATCTTCAAGATCAAAAGGACGTTGCGCAGCCAGTACAGCAGGAAATGCGTGGAAATAGCGCTGGATCAAATCGTGGCCAGCCACGGCAACGGCGCTGTGGCGTATGCGGGAAGACCGGGCATAATGCGCGAACCTGTCAGGTAGAGATAGAATCATCTGGGCAAGAGTATTCTGAGTAGTTTTAATTGATTTACGGCGTTGTGGTTGCGAAATCGTGTTGAATTCCATGTTTTGCTAGTTGGCGTGACCCGTTCGCTTGTGGACCTACGTTATCTCTCAATTTATGTAGATAAGATAAGATAGGGCTGCAAGGGTGCTTGCTAGCTAGCTAACTTCCTAATACATACATTTTACCCCTATATACACTCGCATCATCGTTATAGTTATAGAGTAGCTATCAAGTACCCTACTAGCCTATATATTAGCTTTTGAAATATCCTGAAATTACTTGTTACACGCAATAGTGGTCGAATATTTGTGAGGTTGTAAAAGCATGACATTCTATCTAATGCTATCGAGCACGAAAGTTGGACTTAGTCCCCAAAGGGCTAAGTCACGTGGTAACCTTGGTGGTCTTGGCAAAGCCCACCAAGGTTGCCTAACATTCAATAAGGCTCTATTATAAACGACATTTAAAAATAATACTCTTTCTCTAACCGAATCTGATATGATTATTGGTAAAAGCGGGCTCTAATACCTTAATATATAAATTAGCTCTATAGTGTAGTGGGGCCAGGCCGGACCGCCTGACTCCGTTTCAATAGCTAACGTTAAAGCTTAGGTATTACGAACTAATATTTCTAACGCTACTAGGCTACTGCTACGCTAAGAGCCTACATATAAGAGAATATATATAGAATGTTCGAAATATTGTAATATTACTATTGTCACGACCTGGGTTGCATCGCATTGGTATAGACCTCGATTAGGTGCTATCGACGAAGATTCTACTCTAAGGAGCGAAGGAAAGAAGATGACAACTTAGGTTTGAGGGAACGCGACTAAGTCATCCACGCTTGGCGGGGCTCCTACAAGGGTTATGATTGGCTTCCCATCTCACACTGCCACGGCAGGTGTTCCAGCTGTAAGTCACCTGGTTGTAGTGAGTCTGCGAGGGTTGACCGTCACAACTATGAAATACTTACGTAAAAGGATTCCTAGGATTTATAGTAGGAGTACTTACGCCGTACGCGATCGATAATCGCACATGCCTAACCAATTACGGTTACGGAACCGATCGATCTATCTCTTACCTAAAGGCTAGGGATCGCCAGTAGCCTTAAGTATCTCCTAGGCGACGCCTATTAAGAATTGCTTAGAGGGAGCCTTTCTAGAGAGTTCCTTGTAAAGAATCCAGTTGACAGGCAAGCTCTCGTGGAAATTTGCTAGTCTCTACTGTTATTCGTGGGCTTCGGCACTTGTTACGCCTCCACCCCGGCGTCGGGCATCGTTAAAAAGTTGGCGGCCAGTCGCGTAGGCAGCAGCGTTCTGGGAAAGAACATTTCCATTAGCTTTTTGGCCTCACGAACAGACGAATTGATAGTAGTCTCTTGAGCAAGATTTCTTCCCATGATAATAGCTAATTGTTAAGATAACCAGGTAGAAAGTTGCCTTGGTCTTGAAATCCCGATGTTGCATTTCTAGGTCAATGCGGTTAGTTGGCCATGTTCTGACTCTCTTGTACGAAGCATGACAAATATCCGGAGTTCCCCATGTCCAATGTGTGCCTACAGATCGCGCTGGACGTGTGGTCTGTTGGGAGGTGTGATTGGGGTTGATGCTCAGTAATTTGCCTGAGGTCGACTCCCGCCAAAAGGGGTTTGAACGTTACGGGAGTGGCCAGAAATCCACAATATGCTCTCAGCAACAGGGGAGGACCTACAGACCTCGGCCCTACTTTGCGAAGCATCGACGCGCTTACGAACTTCCAGGAACACATTGAGCCTCAATTCGACCTAGATCAGCTCATGTAGGTACGGGCCGACGAGCGCAACGACCTACTTTACCGAACCAAGAACTATCATTCCAAGCTAGATTCTCGATATCAGTTCACCGTGACAAATGAGCCACGTCGTGCCACGTCGTGTTCAGATGAAACCACAAACCCGTTTATTCTGGTGGAACGGAAGAGCGGATCGTATTGAAGGCGAACATGAAGCTATATTACGGTAGGGTACAACGTAGTATGGGGTCCGTGCTAAGGTGGAATCAAAGCAAACTTGGAAAGAAACACCGCAATGTAGAACCTGAGGCGGGAAGCAATCTAGATAATCAATCTGTATCTTCTCTTCATCTAGATTTATAACTTCTCTGACGTTCGACACATCAACAAATAGACACTTACCATTGCCGATCCCGAATCATAGAATCCACGCCAGCATAGCGGAGCCTCTCTTCGTTCCCAACATCTGAGACACACAGTTGACTACCTCACCAACAACTCTCTCAGAGCGCAATGGTATCTTCATACCAGTACCACGAATTATACCTGGATGCCGTCCGAAGGCACCCTGTAGCCTTCCTGGCGACGTTCCCTTCCATGGGAGTCGTCTCGCATCTTGTCCTGACCAGCACCCCCGTCAAGCAGCGATTAGCACCAATTGGAGTGTCAGAGCTCGTCCGAACAAACAAAAAATGCTGGGCGGTCACAACGCTTTTGAGCCTCGCCATCACCTACCACGCACGAAACTCTTCTCGAGCCGCCGACATGAAAGCAATTTTCTGAGTGCCGTGGCACATATACAGCACTTCGGGATCGAGATCGATTGATCGACTCCTTCCCGTTCTCTCCCAACGTTTGTTGAACAATTTGCGCGAACTATGGTGGAGATGGGCTGGGACGGTTACGTAAGATGACGCAGCGGCTCCAACCCTTCCGAAATCCTTTTTCTTTACAACTTCAGAGTCATGCATTTGGAGCAACAGCCTGGCGCAATTCGGATTTCATACACGATGTGAAGATCAATTACTTCACGGCATCTCTAGCCACAGGCGGCTCAGCCGGCCTTCGATGCGTCCCATTGATCTCAACCACAGGCACTGCGATTGAATCGTCCGCCTCACTAGGTTCACCAGCATCATATGTTATCTTTCAGCAATTTGAAGAAGGCAGTTGAAGTACCTAGGTAAGCCACCAGCACAAGCCCTCACGGCAAGCTCAATCATGAAGCAGGAAGCTGACTATCGGAGCCTCAGACGCACTGACGAAATCCCCATTTTTATACCAAGAACACTGACTGACCACGCGGCATTGACGCAGAGAGCGACGCACACGGATGAGTTTCGTCGTCCTATCCTGGGTTCGTTGTGGTGGTCCTTAGATAATAGGAGCTGAAAGGGCATTACCAACGGAGCTTCTGGCCAAAAGGTTTCGGGTTGGCATGGACCCCACACAGCACCTTCTGATTATGTGGGTGGAAGTTCGGCTACTACTGGTATCCATACCTAAAATGGACAAGTTGGTAGCTTCGTTGGGCCTATAAAGCACTTTAGGCTAGGACATGTGAAATTTATTAAGTCTAAAGGTATTAAGCAGTCGATTTATTTATAATTATCTTCTTATCTATGGGTTATAATAGTAGTAGGGATAAAACTCGTCTTTACCCGCCACTATCGTCGCTATCGTTATATCTATCTACCTAACTAGTAATAATACATTCTTTAGCCGGCTTACTACAGAAGGCTTCGATATGGAAGTCAATCGGAGAAACTAGTGCTCCGCGGCTCCGACGCCGGGTTCTAGCTATCTATGTAAGGGGCGGAGGCCCGGGAAGAAGATAGAGAGAGTAGAGATCAATGCATCATCGTGGGCACCCCTACCTGAGACCGCCAGTGACCACCCGGTGCTACGTAGGAGGGACGCCCGTTACTCCCCATCACTCTGTACTATTGCCTTCGGCCTAGCCGTATCCTGACAACTAGAATCAAGCCAAATCGGTAGCAAGAAGTTAGGGCTTGCTAAGACGTCACGGGCCACCGGAAGGCCCTGTATGATCGAGGGCTAAGACTCCATTCATACGATGGCAGGGGCCCCTGTCAATCTGAAAACCTTTGGCTCGAAGCTCCGTACTGGCCGTTATCCTGAAAGTCCGGAGGACGCCGAATTCGCAATGTGGCCGATAAACGACGGCGGCACACGTGGGCGATGTTGGCATATATACATAATCTACATCAATTGAACTCGCTCTCCAATCTCCGCGTATATTAGTTTTTCTCATCTGTTCTTGATCGTCTCACCGCCATGGCGCCCATATCAGCCGTGTGGACGAGCAAGTCGCCCAAGCCTCTGCCGCAATTCTCCCAGGCAGTCAAATTCAATGGCATGGTGTACTGCTCCGGCAACATCGGGTTGGATCCCGCGACCTCGAAGCTCGTCGATGGTGGCGTCAAAGAGCAAACGGTATGACACTCTTTGCCATCAAGTCGTGGTTCCAAATACCCATATGCTGACACCGGAGCCCCAAGCGTCAAGCTCTCAAAAACCTGTCCGCCGTTCTCGCCGAGGCGGGCAGCGGAATCAGCAATGTCATCAAAGTCAACGTCTTTCTAACCACGATGGACAACTTCGCAGCGATGAACGAGGCGTATGATGAGTTCTTCAATACGGAGACCAAGCCGGTGAGTGCTGCGAATGAGCCGTTGCGAGGTGAAGACGGAATTTGACCTCAATGTGACAGTGCCGTACTTGCGTGGCAGTTTACCAGTTGCCATTCGGCGCCTTGGTTGAGATTGAGTGTACGGGGTTCTTGAATCCTACTGCCAAGATTTGAGGTTGCCTGCGAATTATGGATTCATATCTGCTTCGGTGATATTGTCGTAGGGTTCCTTCGATCCAATTCAATTCATTACATTCCTTAGGGCGCTCACCTGGTTCAACAAAACCATTATGCGAGTCCGAACTACTTCGGCAGTCATGATAAGCCTTTAAAGTCGTAATGGTAACCATTACAAGGCCGCAAAGTTGTCCCCGAAGTATTTGAACGCGTATAATGATATGTTGATCCAAGTGGACGCCCCAAGGTTTTGCGTTATTGCACGATCGCTCTGCATGCGTATTCGTGATAAGTACTTATGTGGGATGCAATGCTCTGAGCTCAAGTGCAAATTCTGATGTCAGAAAACCGGATGGGATCTATCTTCAACAAATGCGAATACTGTTGTCTGTGGGGAAAGGATCATTGTCCTGCAATAGATTATAGACGGTATTATTGATGTCTCGAAGCCAAGCTCCTACCCCAGATTTGGCATGTCCGTACTCCTGAAAAGCTCGGGTCAATGAGCTGCGCTGACGTCGTTGATTTGCAATCGTTTCGCAAAAATATCCCGACAGCTTACCCTGTCTTCACAAATGCATCGTGCAGTCTGTCCTTCGATTCTCCACCATCCACTACATTGAAGCAGTTTTCAGCTCACCAGAATTGTCATGAGCTTCTATGCTGGACTGCGCTCATTGCGCACTCCATCCTCGTCCATAATAAGATCTCACAGACAGGCGCTGGCACCACCTCCGGGTCACCTCTACCCCGTCGCATCATCATCGCAATTAATACGACGAGCCCAGTCAGCAACTTCTCGCCGCCATGCCTCGAATTCTGCCGCCGCTGCTGTATCCCCACAACGAACCTCCCCTCCTCACCAACGACCCGCGTCCAAAGCCTCCAAGCCCTCGGAAGCCGAAACCGTAAAAGTCCCCCTCGACGCTACGGCACCAACCCCCGTCCCCGTTTCCTCAACCATCACCCTCTCGCAAACCCTCAATGCCCCGGCCTCGACACGACCCCCTCCCCTCCACTTACCAACCCGTGACCCTCAAACTTCTTTCTTCAGCTTCCACTACAATCGCGGCAAGGCCTACATAAACTTCTATAAAACCGGGCTCAAAGCCATCTTCATCAACCGCAAGCTGCTGACCCAAACGGCGCAAACTCTACAACCCCCGCCTGGTCTTAAGGGAACTGGCGGCGCCCTTGACGCAACGACGACCCTACAACCCACGCGCGCAGCGATGTTGCTGAAGGAGCGCGTGAGACACGATATCGGCCGCGTTCCCATCTTTGGCTTGATGGTTTTCATCTGCGGCGAATTCACACCGCTCCTCGTGCTCGTCTTCCCAAAGTTGACGCCTTACACGTGCCGGATCCCGGCACAAGTAGAAAAAGTGCGGTCCAATGCACGACAGCGGAGGGAGGCGTCGCTACACGCGTTGCGGTACGTGGATTTGACTGATGCCATGGCGCTGGATAAGGTGGCGCCGGGGCATATTGCGCGCTCGCTCGGGTTGGGCGGAACGATGTGGGATAAGATCGGAATGGATGTGCCGTTTGCGCCGACGAGGGCGGCGAGGGCGGTGAGGAAGATTGTGGAGGATGATTTTATGATTCGGCGTGGGGGAGGAGTGAATGGTCTTGAAGGGGAGGAGGCGGTACTCGCTGCTGAGGCGAGGGGGATAGATGTCCAGGGGAAGAGCTTGAAGGAGGTGAGGCATATGTTGGGGTCTTGGATTGCTAAGACAACTAAGGGAGATGAGAGGGCCGGCGAGGAGATGGTGAGGAAGATACTATGCGGGTTGGAGAAGGATATGTAAGTTGGGGATGGTGACAAGACATCAAATAAGGTTGTATGAGTACGATATGAGAGAGGAACTCTTGGCAGTGCATTAAGAGGACTGCAGTGGACAGGGGTCCACCATTACTATCACCGGCTCGATGGATGGACGGGACGTGTATTACCACTCATAGAGATGAGGTCCTGAGCCTGCATAGGGCAGCTACAGACGTTTAGGCATAATAAGACGCCACTATGAAACAATTTTGCACATACGGAGCAGTATAACACACATCAGTAACATGTGCACAAATAAACAACAGGACGAAGTAGGTATGCTTAGCTCCGGGAGCTCTACATTGTGGATGAAACTCCTCTACCATGCAGCGCTGGATTTCGGGACCAGCCATCTGGGATCACCGTAGATTTTGAACACTATTAAGAGAGCAAGGACTGAAGAAGGTCCCTTGTCTAGTCCCATCTAATTGTACATTATACTACCAGGACCCCAGAATAAACCTTGTATGCTGCGGGCTTGAGACAAAGTCGCCACATGGTCCAACTGGAACTGTGTTATATAGCATTGGATAAATCGCATTTCATGAACGGCTACTGCTCATTTTTCTGCCCCTTGGACTCCTATTCAACTCACGGTGCATCATGGAGTACTGGAACCCGTTCAAGACTGGTGACGAATATTTCCGAGACTCTTCCCTATCCTGTGTAGCATGCGGTAAAAGTCAAATCGGCTCAATAGAAACTAACGTCGTGCCGGGACACTGAGCAGAACGGGCAATAGCGGAAAGGAGAGAACGGGTGGGTATCACAAAAACGGGATCTCACGAGTGTAAAAATCGCACCATTGCGGCGCCGGCTGAAGTCCGTTGTCCAGCATCCCAGTACCACTTCCTGGACCAGATGATATTGACTACAAGTTCTAGTTATATACAACCGCACGTGGTCCAATAGTCACGGCAAATACTCAGATGGACAAATAGTGTATCCTTGTTCCTAAAGCCGGCTGATGCAGAAGATTCGCATGCCGAAATCATGCGCCGGATAGCTCCTCATCCCATCATGAAAACGAGTAGCCTCCTACCAACTATGCCGCCTCGCTATCTACAATGGTGGCGAACCCAGTGTATGTTCAGAAAAGCGAGAACCAAGAAATAGTGGTGTAGTGGGAGATAAGGCAGTGGTGCCTCAAGCGGAAGGTATAGTGCTGGTGTGCAGAAAAGGTATGGCCGAGGTTTAGTAGGGCGTCCCAAACATTATAACTAGCGGAACATCATGATTCCCAGAATGAAGATACGGAGGTGCTGCAGCAGCTTTCATGGCTCAGCATCACTTGTATCTAGCAAGTTGGGCCATGATGTTCTGCACGTGTTGGGCATCTGCTGGGTTACTAGAGCCATCAGCGGGGGGAGGTTGCGGTCCGCCGTTTTGAGCGAAATATGGCGCATAACTAGAATATTGCGGTCCAGCACTAGGTGCGGCGCCACTATTGGCTGCCAAATTAGCCAGTATAGCGTTCACATCGGGGTTTACATTTGGCGGGGCTGATGGAGGTGCCTGCCAGACTGACCGAGCTTGCTGAACGGCTGAGTTGTCTATAGAACCAAGATTACCCACACCTGGCATCCCGTTATGCGGAGCAGGTTGACTGGGGTATGTTTGATGCGACTGTATGGGAGGCTGATAGGAGGGTGGAGGAAACTGGCCATGTCCATACGTTGGCGGTGGCTGAAATTGAGCTTGACTTTTCGCGCGGGTTACGAGCTCTGCGGCAATGCTGGGATCTAGATCTTGATATTGGTCGAATCTCGCGTTATGCTGTCCAGCAGATCGGTCGAAAACTTGAAGGGGAATCTTTCCCGCTTGCTGCGTTCTATAATCAAGCTCTGACACGGCATGGACGCCTTCAACAATCTGTCGTTGAATGACCAACTCGCGAGGGAACCGGGGGTTGAGGAACATGACATCGACCTTGTGGCCACGGTCGACAAACTGGCGCTGGACCCAGTCCACGAAATCTCGGGCAACCTCTTGTAGGAGAAGAAGTTGCACGTCTGGCACTGCGCCAGGGTACCGGCGTGGGATGTCAAGATCTGCCTCAGACATCGGTGGACCGCGGTAGTAGGGCTCAGGACTGCGGCGTCTGTATTCCCCACTATATTGAGGTGGAGATCGAGAGCGACCACCCCCTCTATGCCGGTCATAGGGTTGCTGCCAATGGCCTCCACGATCTCGTCCGTATGAGCCCTGTCGTTGGTGATGGCCACGTGGCGAAGGCGAACGTGCTCGGTAATCATCCCTGCGGCGGCCATCATAGCGCTCGCGGTCGTTGTGCTGCACAGCATCCCTTCCTCGGTTGCCGCGGTTTCGATTGCCGTCATTTTCCTTCTTCTGGGGGCGAGAGAACTCTAGGTCTGCGACTGAGTTAGTTTCCTGCGGCGACGTGTAAACAGGGATCACGTACGAATCTTGCGACCCTTAACCTCCATGCCTTGTGCATTGTCCATCGCGGCTTGGCCTTCTAAAACGTCGTGGTATTGGACAAAGCCATAGGCAGCCTTGAGGGAAATCTGTGCAAGCCGGCCGAATTTGGAGAAGATGTCAAACACCTCTCTTTTAGACACCCGCTCGCTAGACAAGTTACCTGAGTTTTATTAGTCGGGGCCAACAAACAAGGGCAAGTGAGACATACCAATGAACAGCCGTGATCCTTCGGGGAACCTATCCCACTTGGCTTCCGAGACATACTTGCGCTCCTCCTGGATGAAAGTATCAAATCGTTGCTGCGTGTCAAAGGATTGCTGACTGCTGTCGGCGACAGGAACATGATTAGGGTAATTGAATTGAGGCATCTGATTCACCATCATAGGGTTGGCATTCAAAGCTGGGGGATGCGGCGGAAGGTTGCTAGGTAGCTCAGAGGCCACAGTTCCAGCAGCGGCATAAGGAAACGGCGCAGTAGGACCAGGTGGTACGACGGAAAGACTGGATGGCATATTGGGAAGAGAGGCTCCAGGCTGGTATTTTCGGAGATCTTCATATCCTGGTGCCGACTGTTGCGACGTGGGAGGTCGGGGTGGCAGAGTGGATGATTGGGTAGTGGTGGGCAGATTGGTGTTTACCCCATTTTCAGATGCTACAGCAATATGCGCTTGGCTAGAGTCTGATGCAGCTGCGCTGGCTGTGATCTTGTCAACCAGAGCTTGGATATCAATGGCATCTGTAGGCCCATCAGTAGGACGAACCGCTTCCGAGATACCTTCGGTCGAGACAGCCTGGTGGCTCTCTGCGGTGGGCGTAGTCTGATCCTGGGGCTTTGGGGCGTCTGGCTCCTTGAGAACTGGCTCTGTGAGAGACTGCGCGGCATTTGATGAGGGAGCATTGTCAGAAACGTCGACGGCAGAATGTGTCTTCAATGTGTTAGACGTATCATTGCTATTGCTTGTCTCGTTATCTTGCTGGTCATCGCCAACCACTGCCGCAGCCGCAGGCGAATCGAAGTTCTTCACGTAATCATCCCCGTCGGCTTCGCTTTCTACCTGACTTCCCTGCGTGTCATTGTTCTGGTTGTCGCCTTTGGATTCATTAAAGATGTCGTCGTCGTTGTTTTGGAAACCTTCGAACTCAGCCTCAGGTGTCGAAATGGCAGCGGCAGACCCTTGCTGCTCACTGTTACCCTCGGGCAACTCGACGGCTGTTGAGACACTGATGCCGTTAAGGTTTGGAGGTGACAGTGACATGGTGGTAATGGTATCGGCTTGGTCCTGGAGAGCGGTGACTACTGGAGAGGACAAGCTGACAGGTTTTGTGGGCTTGGGCGATTCAGGTGTGAGGTCGGCAGAAGCCACCACTTCAGGTTGGTCCGTCATCAAAAGTCAATTCCAGGCAAGGCTGAAAGTGGATGATGTCGGAGGTAGCAATCAGATGTTCCGCGTTATGGTGTGGTAGTGTGGCGTTTGGCAGGATGGAGAATAATTTAGGTGGAAATGTAGGATGGGTGTCAGAAGGGAACAGTTTGCCTGATGGACAATCAAAGCAAACGTGGTTGTCTACTCAGAGCAGATGAATATCGTGATGGATCTCCACTGCGAGATGATGGGTATCGGCGCAGTTGCCCACTTCGTGACAACCTTGGGTACGATGGCTTGTCTGGCGATATTCACTGTTGCCGCGGTTCCCTGCAGTATTCAACTTGAGAAGCTGGGCGACGCTGGCACAGCTTGTCAATGTAGGCAAAGCTAGTCGAAATGGCGAAGGATACCTCTTGCGTGATGAACACGAGGAGCTCTTGGTGTCGGCACACTTGTCAGCCTTGGACTTAGGACAGCTGGGATTGCTGTGGGTTGGCGTGGCAGCTGGATGGGAATTGGGACTCCAATTTAGTCGAATGGGCGTCGTGATCAATGACTGAAATGCAGAATGAGGGCAACTGGCTCAAGGCAATCAAAATGTTGGGTCGTCCGGGAATGTAGGGCGTAAGGCTGGATTTGCCTTTTGCGTTGAGCCAACAAGCGGGGTCAGCGCAATTTGCGTTTTCTCAAGTGTTGTGATCTGGAAGGCTTGGAAGACGTGGAAGAATTGGAAGACGTATTTGAGATCTAGATCGCGAGATGGATAAATTGGCGTGGCGGAGGACAGACAAGTTGGGCAACAATGACTTGGCGATTCCTGCGTGGTCGAGGCTGTGATATCTTTCTTCAAGGCCTGGAGAGCAATTTTTATCTGTGGATGGAGGGGTTCCAGGCACATGCAAAACTGGAGGGTGAAGCAATGGCCCAGGCGCAGTGTGGTAATACAGCTTGATGGAGTGCTCCTGCTTCACTGAGAGTAATGCATGTCCAGGGAGCAATACAACAATGGCATCGTCACGCTAGGTTGGGCGCCTTGTCTGTTTTGTGACACTAGGCTATGTGGCGTCAAGCGATGAAGTATCTTTCGGAAGGGAAATTTTCTAGAATCAATCGGTTGTGCTCGGATGGGAGAGCGCTGGTGGTTGTAGTTAAGGTGACCATAGACCCCCTAGTTCAGCCGACCAACCCCCACTTTAATCAAATATTTATGGGGCGCTCCTGATAAAAACCGACTATGGTCGGCTTCTTTCACCGACCATACTTTTCTTTTTAAATCCGCAGAGATTTTTCGCAGCAACTCCAGCCTAAATATAACGAAATCATTCTATAATTAGTTCTAAATCGATTCTTAATCGATTATACTGCATTATCTTTACTATAGCTACTACAGATATCTTCCCTATTATCCAAAATGCCCGCTCTATATTTAGAGGTATGCAAATTAGTAGGCCGAGCTCAGGAAGAGGTTGCTATTTACGATCGCGCCTATAGAGCCACCCAGTTGCACGATACGGAGGTCAGGGCAAGTAAATCAATGCGGAACTACTTTCAAATCGATTCTAAAGCGAAATTATATTAGCCTAGACCTCCGCGTATTACCTCGCTTACTCTCGTCTCGGCGGAGGCAGTAAGCTAAGGCCACCATACTATAAATGATAGTAGTTTATATTATTATTATTATTATTAAATACGCCGTAGGCTCGAAGCCCCCGGTACCTCTACTAGTACTCCCGTATGTCAAACCGTGCCCTAATGGTTGGACTAAATACATACGCTGCGTCGTCGGTTCGCCCTATTGGCGACTGCGTTGCGTCCACTACCATACTACGTTGGTTCTCAACCTACCAACAAAGTCCCCCCTGAGAAGATCGATGCTATCTGGGCCTTGAAGCTGTCCGACCCGTCCCTAGCAGCCACCTTACAATAGTCCCACTAACCACTGGTTCTCCTGTTGCCGTTGCGAGGTCTCTGCGAGAGTATAGTGGCCGTGGTGCGATGGCGGCCCGTAATCGTTCCCTCGGTCCTTCCAACAGCCCGAGTAGTTTATATAACGTGAATGTACACCGAGCTGGCCACCCTTACATAACCTCGCATATAAATTTTACGATAGTAAAACCACAACGCCGTAAATCAATTGAAACTACTCTGAATCTTCCTCTCCAGAAGATGGCAATGCGATCTTACAAGTTCGCGCATTATGTACAGTCCCGTTGCAAATACCACAGCGCCTCGGGCGCGTTTCAACACGCTTTGCGCGACCACCATTTCGGCGCTCTTCTTGCTGTATCTGCGTCGCCAACTCCCTAGAGTCCCCTAGGTCCTGTCCTTCTTGGAAAATAAGTGATTCTCCTTCCCGTAATTGCATTTTTTAGTCCTCCGGCGCCGGCTTAGCATCTTATTTGCCCCTCGAAGCTCAGCGCACTCGGCCCGTACGAGGGCGAGCTCGTGCATTATCATTTTTGCTCCCTTCGCAAACTGGTCGACAGCTGAGATAATATTCGTCGGAGAGCTATTCTGATGCTCGGAGATGCGCTTTTTCAAAAAAGTAGACTGTGCATGAGCCTCTATCGGGTTCTGTGGCGTCTTTGATACCCACGGTCGGGTTGCGATTTCTGGGGAGCCAACAGGCGTCGGGGTCCGTAATCGTACGTCCAGCTTTGAAATCACACTTTCTGGATTGGATGGAACAAGTCCTGCCCTTCGAAAGTCAGCTTGAACGTTTTTTTCGCCGAAAACTGCAAAGAAGGCGTCTTTGAAGATAGGAAAGATAGGAAAGAAGTCCTCCTTCGCGATATGTGTTAGTGACCGGCGTATCAATTTCTCTACCATCTGGCCGTACACCCGCTTTAATGGACCGAAACAGGCCACGTCAAGTGGCTGGAGGATGTGAGATGAGTGCGGAGGCATACACAAAGTTACAATTTTGTGTTCTTTGCAATATAGCTCGAAATCGCCGGAAACGTGGCTCTCGTGACCGTCCAACACTAACAATCGATATATCCCGGACTTTCCATCTTTCGTACAATTATCGAAGTGTTTAATAAATTCCATACCGATCTCGTTAGTCGTCCATCCTTTTGGACTAGGTCTAATTCTCCAATCTTTCGGAATGTTGTCGTCTTCGTACCAAGAAGAGAGGTGGTATCGGCCCACAACAACGATGAACGGCGGCAGCGCCTAACCGGTAGACTGGACCGCTTGGATTACGGTAACCCATTCCCGGTTACCTTGCTGTATTGATTTCGGCCTGGCACGTCGTTCGGAGCTCGTAACTACTATATTGGTTGAGATCTTGCCCATCATAAACTCAGTCTCGTCGAAGTTGTAGATGTCCGACTCTTGGATACCGTATTTCGCGATAACATTCGCAACAAGCCGAAACCAATCTGCAATAAGCTTTGGATCTTCGCATTGGGCCCTTTGGTAATCGTAAGGACGGTTCCAACGAGTTTTCAACTCTTTGCGACGTGCGACGAACCTCGAAGCCCAGCGCGTTCCAATGGGCCCTGCGTTACGTGTCGCGCGGATAGAATTTGCCATTGCTTCCACATCAGCAATCCGGGGCGGAAACGCTCGTGCATCTAAGTCCAGTATATGCTTGATAATGACCTCCTCTTCTAATTCTGTCATCGTTCGTGAACTGGGCAAAATATCGCGTCGGAAAGGTACGCCGTTTTTACGCGTTTGGAGGGTGTTTCGGGGGACTTGGTACGTTTTTACCGCTTGTCCGAGACTAAGTTTTTGGTCATTTTGGAGAGCTTGAAGGGCTAGCATTAAGTCTGCTTCGTTGTATGACTTTGCCATAATTGGTTGTTGAGAAAATCAAACATTAAGTTGGCCGGTCGCGTTGGCGCATGAAAGTGGCCAGCTCGGTGTACATTCACGTTAATGAGAATAGAGGGATTATCTACCCCACTATGGTCACCTGGACCCAGTATTTTAACATCACGTGAGGTCATGATCGGCTCAACTGGGGGGGGTCTATGGTCACCTTAACTGTAGTCTCGAGAGCTGTCCGTCCGCAGCGTCAGTCCATGACGAATGTGCCGCAAACAAGGAGGCTCCACAGATCCTTCAACGACATGCTAGCCGCCGAGGCTTTGCCGACAGCAGGAATCAGGGATGGCGGTCTGTTTCAGTGCAACCCTCTGCATAACTTAGGTATCTGTTGATTGCCATAAAGTTGTAAACCAATGGCAGATCAAATAGAAGTTCTGCTTTAATATCGCCTTGTTCCTTAGACACATCTTTTAGAAGTCCTCGGGCCCCCAAGCTGTTATTACTTGCGTTACATATACAGTATATGAACAATCGAGCATATCTTACTTAAGTAGTTATGCAACTGAGATGCAAGAGCGATTCTACCCTAGCTAGGACCCTGGTCTCCTCAGGGCAGCAGCAACCTCGGTGATTTGTTCTATTGCAAGTAAATTGCCAAGTACAAAACGTCTGGGGAAGAATGAATGAGGTAGGAACAAAGCCCCTATGGCAACATTATTCCACTTAAGTAGGGCGAGCCCGCGACTTGATAAATGCTCCCGACAATTAACCGACGAGGCTCTGTAATGCCTAGGTTAGAGATTCACAGCACTTCAGATCACTCGCGGCAACAGTATGAAGCCGGGCTTTCGGCCACGACCATGTTCACGAATATTACAGCCACACTATTAGTGACTGAATGAGCTGCTGATATGTCCATAATTTCAAGAGCATCTTGTCGGCCATATATTCCACTCAATTCGACAACTGGCAACTGCCATCTTTCACCGGTCTTGCACCTCTCCGCCTTGAGCATTATAGACCTCCTCTGAAGTCTGATTTGTAGTTTTGCTTCCAGCTCCCGTTTCGCATCTTCCAGCTCTGAGCCTCCGACTTAGAAGTCCCCAATTCTGTCCTAGAGTCAAAGGCCAGTTGTTGCCTACATGCCTTGGTTCTGACATCAGCTTGGCAAGCTCTCAATGCCAGTTCAATCAAGACATCCTATCATTTCGCGAAGAATCACTGCCTCGAACTTGAATATACTCGTGTGTTCATGACGGTACTTTGGTTATTACGCATTTAAGGCAGGCTCGATTAATGGGCGGCCTCAGAGCGAAGGACAGAGGAACCATTGGAAGAGCTCCTCACTCAACCCGGCTTATTGCATTGCATTCTTTCGCTACTTCTCTAAACCATGATTCGCAAAATTACCAGCAATCTCTCTTCATCTCAAGGAGCCTTTGTACTGGGGCGAACACTGACGTTTGATCGCTTCATTCGACATCAAGCCTTCGACGCTTCATTTGACCAAGATGAGTTAGCCGAAGCCAGAAAGTGGCAATCATCGTTCCGGGGAAGCAACTTGCCAAAGGGACAGACCAGCTACTCCCGTTCCAGTGGGCCTGGCGGACAGCATGTCAATAAGTATGGCCCATCCTCTTAGTCTCAACCTCCTGCTAGAGCTAGACACTAACTTTGTTTGTAGGACTGAGAGCAAGGCTACAACCGTGTGGCCTGTGGAAGAGCTTGCTAAGGGTCTTCCAAAAGTGTTACAGTCCGGCTTGCGGTCATCAAAATATTATACCAGCGGGAATGACTCAATAACCATCCAAGCTCAGACCCAGAGAAGCAGGTCGGCAAACACAAACGAAAACTTTCAGAAGCTGGCAGAGGAGCTACAGCAGATCTACCGCAAGCTTGTGCCTGGCGCCACTAGCGACAAGAAGATGATGAAGTACGAAGCTTTGTAAGTATTTCCAACACCATTGGGAGGTTACAGGCAAAAGCTTACCAAATCCCAGGGAGAAGGCATTCCATGAAAGCAGAATAAGGTCAAAGAAGCAGCATAGTGCGAAGAAGGCATCACGGAAAGGATCCTCTGGAGACTATTAAATCCGAACAAGGCAGTCACTGTGGTCTCGGATGCATCGATTGTAACCGCTTGAATAATATCCACGTTAGGTAGTGCCTTGCGCAGCTATGACACATTCAGCTAGTGATAATATAACTGACATGATATCTTACACACAATGCTGTCGTCTCAGGATCAAGTTTAATATCTAGGCGAGTGCAACTGGTGCATGTGGGGCTGCAACCGTCTCGTGACCAGGGATACTGTTTGGACGCGCATGACAAATGCGTCTGGGACTTCAGCTGCCTTGTTACCAACTCTGGTACTTACGCGAGCACAACCAGTGCTTCCAGAGTTGCAGTCATCTTGTAATGAACGGTGGTACCCAGGCGACCCCAACTAGTGTATGAAGGACCAGAACCGCCTATTGTGCGAGGGCAGTAGGTGCAACAAGCTTCTGGCTTGCGCTCACACACCCACGCGTCAAGCATACAGTTAACAAGCACGCCCGGGAATATCGAAAAACTAGTTCGGATAAAGACCATGTTTGGTTGATTCTTCGATGGTGTCTATCCCAGGCTTGCACAGCTCTTCCTGCAGCTTTACAGTGACAACTGCTTAGAGGTGCCTCATTGATGTAATTGTTGGTCTATGCAATTGTATTCACCCGTTGCCTAGAGCCAACCAGGGAATACATGTGGCGATGGCGGGGCCCAATAAGATTCAGTTTAGGGGTAGGCCACACCCTGAGAGTGAATTATTGCTCAGTACAGCCGCCAAAGTGACAAGTTAACAGGGGTTACTGAGGTTTGCTACAAAGCTTAGAGAAGCAACCAACTTTCGCATTCAGGACTTCCAGTTCCTGGCATCCATAACTAGCCAGAGATCCGATTCTGGGAAAGGACTACAGTGCCAATCCGAAAGTCAAAGTCCTCACAATACCTAAAAACATGGACGGAGCCAGAATCATGCAAAACCATGGCATCGCGTGGAACTTGCCGAATGCCCACTTGTTGGCAGATGGTAGCTCCGTCATGCTATGTGTCGTCACGGCCATGATTGTCGTAACCCTCATGCGTTTAGTACGATGGTAGGTACCGGTTTGAACAGCCTTGGAATATTAAGAATTAACGCATGGCTACTCTAGAATCAGTGTCACGGAAATCGAGGTGGGAAATATAAAACGAACAGAAAAGGGGGTTTTAAGAAACACACCCCTTCAACAACTATTCGAGGTAAGTCGCTATGAAGCGTGTTACTTGGATTCATAGGCTAGGCGGTCCAGACAAAGTGGCCTCTGCCAAGGGAACCGGGTATAGTTCCGAAAAGATAAAGATGGCATGTAAGGCTTCATATTAAGATGTAAATAGTAGATAATTGCCAAAGCCTGAACCACAAAAAGTAGGGCCGTAATTGTTCATACATTTCCTTACGATACACGCAAGTGTAATCTAACATGATACTCGGGGTATCTATAAATATCGAGTTGAAACGACTTTCTGTCCCACAGAATGGGTGCCGCGAATCCGTAGACGACTTGCCCCTCTTTTGTAAATCAGCCAATCATCCTAATGAAAGCTTTGGCGATGTCCGCGGGGTCAACAGGCTGATCGCGGACTTTCAGGAAATCCTTAATTTTCATCAGAATAGAAACAGATAGGTTTGCCTTTTTTCTTTGTTTTCAGGATCCCCTGTTGGCTCCAAGGTTTCTTGTGCTCAAGGGTGCCTTTGCTCCACACTCGACACGAACAATATCCATCAGTTCTGCGCGTTCCGTGACTTGTTGGCGACGGATTGCGACTTCTCTCGACCTGCTGTTCTGGCCCTCTTGATTGCACCACCGCTCGGATAAGAGGCTGACTAGCCTCCCTCACCGTCCTACGTCAGATTCCGGGCGATCCTCCTCTCACCCATTTGGGTACATATTGATTGAGAAATACCGCTGCAATTCGCCGACTCGCCATCGTTCGCTATTACCGTTATCATCAGACGACGCAGCTCTAGCATTATTAGCTGTACACCAATATCGCGTCGTAGAATAACGAACTGAGCACTCACTCGATCGCACCCCCGTTTGAACTTCGACCTGCACCGACTAACGCAGCGCACTTCGCTGGCGACTTCCCCAAATCGCGGTACCGATCAGCCACAGACATAACGCCGCACAACTGCAAACTTCTCTTCGCCTCGAGTCGGTGAGCCTCGACCTCCGACATTGATCGCGATGAATACCACGCCAGAGCTCCAGAACAATGGGTCGCCGGGTCGTCCAAGTCCCCAGATCCAGCCATGTCGATACAAGGTGGGAAAGACGCTGGGGGCTGGTTCATACTCGGTGGTCAAGGAATGTGTACACATTGACACTGGACGCTACTACGCTGCCAAGGTCATCAATAAACGACTAATGGCTGGGCGAGAACATATGGTACGCTGTCACTTTTGGTGCCTGGGCGGAGGATATCGTCTACAGAGTTTCACCAACGCATTTGCTCACGACGCAATCCTCAAGCCACCTGGTCTTCCATGGCGAGAAGTCGCATATCACGCTAACACAATGTCTTACTATAGGTCCGCAACGAGATCGCGGTACTTAAGAAGGTCTCCATGGGCCACCAGAACATCCTGACGCTGGTCGACTACTTCGAGACAATGAACAACCTGTACCTGGTAACTGACCTGGCGCTTGGTGGCGAGCTGTTCGATCGCATTTGCCGTAAAGGATCTTACTACGAATCGGATGCGGCAGACCTGATCCGCGCCACCCTCTCGGCCGTCGCCTATCTACACGATCATGGCATTGTACACCGCGATCTCAAGCCAGAGAACCTGCTCTTCCGCACACCTGAGGACAACGCCGACTTGCTAATTGCCGATTTCGGGCTTAGTCGCATTATGGACGAGGAGCAATTTCACGTGCTGACGACAACTTGCGGAACTCCAGGCTACATGGCGCCCGAGATCTTCAAGAAGACGGGACACGGCAAGCCCGTCGACGTATGGGCTATGGGTGTCATCACTTACTTCCTCCTGTGTGGCTACACGCCGTTCGACCGCGACTCGGACTTCGAGGAGATGCAGGCCATTCTCAACGCCGACTACAGCTTTCAGCCCACCGAGTACTGGCGCGGCGTCAGCAGCAATGCCAAGGACTTCATTAGCAAATGTCTGACAGTCGATCCCAACAAGCGTATGACGGCCCACGAGGCTCTTTCGCATGCCTTTGTTGCAGACTACACCCAAAGCGCTGACGGCGACAAGGGCCAGAACCTATTGCCGACAGTCAAGAAAAACTTCAATGCGCGCCGTACATTGCATGCTGCTATTGACACCGTGAGGGCCATTAACAAACTCCGCGAGGGTCAAATGCAAGCACAGATCATGGACGGAGCCAGGAGCAATGAGCCCAGCCGTGGAGCACCATCCAACCAAGTCAAGGGCGACAGCGGTGTTGACATGAGACCTCATGACTTGGGCTACGGCAGCAAAGGTGACGGCGATGTGGAGATGGACGGCGTAGGCCCCACGACCGGAGTGCCCGCTAGTCTACGGCCAGGCACGCTTGCGAACAAGGTGGTTGAGACTTCCAGGGGCCTGTGGAGTGCAGGGCAGAGCAGGCGATAGGGGAGCCGGCCGGACGAAATGCGGCTACGCGAACTCGAGCAGAGAGTACGCGAGCTCGAGGAAGGGCTTTGGAATGCCGAAGAGAAAATGCAGGATATCGAAAATAAACGGATTGGGGACTTCCTGCGGCAGCTTTTTCGCGTCGCGAACCTGGATGGATCGGATAACTGAGGTTACCCAGCTCGACACCAATCTCGTGTGTCTTGGGGACGAGGCAACTTAGTTTCGAGCAGCACCGATGATCATGCATATGAGGGACACCATTCACATTGGAAAGGAGACAAACAGCGGATACTGCAGCGGATGTATTGCTTGTTCGATCAAGTCAGAGGTCTGCGGATCTTGACTACGAAATGGGACCCCACTGGGATGGCGAATTCAGGCGCCATAAAATGATTCTAGATTTTTATGGCATTGGAGTTAATACGCAACTCACAGCGGCCGTTGCTATGAAGCTGGCCTAGTAGCAGCAAGGTTAATGCCGGAAATAGCACTTCATGGCAATGATGTTGTTGAGTGTGATTCATCATGGTTCGCGGGTCACCTCTTTCAACAACCTACATATGAAGAACGTATATAGAAGCCTAGGCGATGATTGACCCTTGTATTGAAGTTATTTATCTTCAAAGGCTGGGTGTCGGAACGTGTGAAAGAGAGTGCTTTCATGCGGGCGTCACTTCTACGCGGATACAAATAAGCATCTCAACCTAACTGCTGATTGTTTTATGTGCGAGTGCGGTGAAGTTGCAATTGAAATATAGAATAGAAATCCGCGGTTCAAAGAGCGTCTGCTCATATTTTTGTGCTCGTTACCCTTGATTGCTATTTCCTTTCATGACAGACCTATAGTTACACCCGATCATAGGTTCTTGTACGCCTGTGATGGCTATATAGCTGTGGAGGTCTAGACCAAGGACTTCTTTCTTTCTTGTGAGACCGGTTCCTTGATTCATGGTAAAGGAGATTAAGTATAAGGACACAGTATCAAGTAGCGGCCAGAAAACGTAGATAACCATACAGCATACACGTGAGGCTACGGTTATATATGCAGACTCGCCTATAAGTGGATTCCTCGATCATTACCTTATCATAGGGGTGTAGATGAGAGTCCTCCGCAGATTTTCCTTCGTGTAGTCCTCTCTCCGAAGTGTAAAAATGAAAGAGCCCCTATTCTCGATTTGTGACAACTGGTGTTTGACTCATCATTCCCATCCATCTGGAAGTGTCTAAATTACCAATTTGCAGGCAGTGTCCTTCGGTGTAATATGGGGTTTCCTAGATGCATACCATCGTTTATACATACTTGCATGTTTGAGAAGACTGCAAGAAAACGGCAGTATGCAATACGGTGAATATCGGTGCGAAAGTTGCCTCATCCGGCAAGGCCGAGTAACTTCCAGCTGAGGCATGTCAAAGAGACTAGGTTGGAGCCCCATAGAGCCATTGTTTCGAAACACCACACTTTGTGGCCTTGATTTTCCTCCGACATACCCTAAGAAAACGTCAACCGATACAATGTAACTTGTATTTGAAACCATTTTCAAGTATGAGCAATGGAGAATGACATGGTCACCAGTGAGCTGGCTCGCTCGCTTGTTTCCTCTCGGCCTACTCTGCTTCTTCTTCTCATGCCGATGCGACTTGTGGAGGCTTCAAGTCCGCCGTTTACGAAACAGTGCTACTCCAAGTGCTACACAGGCCAGCTTTGGATGCAGGGGCGTCGGGCCTCCATTTCATAATCGAAAGAATCTGTATCAGGCGGTTTCAGCGGCGTTGCCGTCGGTTCCTCTAGCCGACCAATTGATGCGTGAGGTAGCGAAAGGTTGAGATGAGTTGAAGTGTGGCGGTACCGAAACCAGGGGGGAACTCCTCTTCCAGGCAACAAACGTGGAATGATCGGTCCATATAAAGCAGATTGGCTTTATATCGCATCGACTGGTTTAGATGATGGGGACATAGGCCTTTTCGGGGAGGCTGTCTGCGGGCATGTGTGAGCTGTTCCAAGAACTTGATACCGAACTACAGAGAACCAATCAGCTCAATCCTACCTACTCAACTTGACACAGGCAAGTACCTAGACAAACGTCCCTCCGTGTCGCATGTACAGAAAGCACCGTGGCTTAATCTGCCATCTTCAGATGATATCCGTTACACTAGTAGACGATCCGTCAGACGTTGTGCCAAATGTCCAGCCAGTCACGTCACCCGCAGCATCGCACCACCTGGAGTAGTAGGGTAGAGAGCAGCAAGTAATCCGCAACTGGGCCAATCACGATTCCGCCGTGGAGTCTCAGCATAACATGTACCTAGCACAAATGCGATACATAGCATCTACATGTGTGAGGTGGCGGGGGCCTCACACCATCAGCTGATCCCAGATCTGAGCACTAAAGTTTCGTTAAAGCTTGTATATTCCAATAAGATTTTGGGAGCCTGTTACAGTCGAGGCCGATAACGTTTATGTGAAAGGTGACTACCGCCATGATGTTGACATGGCAGAGTGTCTGTGGATGGCAGAACGGGTGCCCCGAGACGTGCAGGCTGGCGGAGTCACTAAAGCATGCCTTTCAAACTGGAAGCACCGAGCTACTATGCTAACACCCCGCTGAATTCCAGACTGGAATCGTCAGGCGGTTGGAATCATCCACGTAAAAATGTAACATGCAGGAGCTGACGGAGAGTCAGCGGATGATAAATACGGAGCGAACGGCTCGTCGGATAGTCCGGAGTCCATGGCAAGAGCGGGAAGGATTCGGGAGAGTGGATGGTTCGTTGGTCATTATCAGGTTATAAGACAATCCTTCCAGGCCGGTATGGCCGGTCAGCCCAGCACTACTTGTAAACCTTTCCAAGCCAAGTGAATGTTTGTAAAATGGGTCGAGTAGTGTGACCTGTTACGAGGGTTTCGATCAATAGTCATCGTGGCTTTGAGAGTAGCTTTGAGCGACGGATGATCTGTTCGTGCACCGCAGACTTCAAAGATGGATTCGGGATCCGTTAACCCATCTCGTAGCGTGTTCAAGCCTTATTATTGACAATGGAAGTGGCTGCGCAAACACTATTCGAATACGGGCCGAGAGGAAAGAGGAAAACCAGGTTGCTTGACAATTACCGAATCAGTAGCCGGGATGAGTCGTTGAATGAAATTTTCAAGCCGTTTCCCTCCTGAACAACCCGAACCCATTGAACTCAAAGCAGAGGGGGAGGAGGGTTCTAGTACTAGTAATGCACTTTACTAGGCTATCGCACTCCACTGTTGCCGAGCTGCATGGCTGGGATGACCGCACAAAGTTGCTCGCGGTCGACTGTAGCAGATACGGCCTGGAAGTACTTGTGTAAGCGTCCTCTCGTTGTGTTTTAGGATCTACCAGGTATGAGGTGCATCACCTTTGATTTGGAAAAACTGTTATGTATTTGGTTTTCATTAAAGGGGAGATTGATGGCGTCAACGGCAGGGTGCGGAGTGGCTGACCGACGGCGCCAACTGACGATTTGACTCCCAACGGGCAGCAACGGGGCCCGACGCAACGACATTAGACCCCGAGACCGATCGATGGGATGGTTGGATGCGGGGAACCGATTTCACTTTGCTGGGCAACGCAACAAGACATCATACGAAGCTTGACTCATAACCCGTGCGGGCTGTGAACAACGACATGGGCAAGCTACCAGTCCAAAACGATGCTGTTCGTTCGGTCATAATGCTGTGGTTTTATCGCTCGTGTGGTCAGGAAACTTACGGGAGCCACGGAGAACGGAGATAGCGGTCATACGTTTGAACAAAGGACAAGAGGCTGCAAGCGCTTGCGGTCCTTCGTCGAGGGAATCCAGACGCAATCGGCGCATCAGGGTCCTCTTGGTAAGATTGACTCATTGGTTTGCGATTGAAGGATGAGATGCGATGCGATGCAACAACAAGCCAAGCTGCAGCCAGTTGCATGTACCTCTACTTTGCGGAGTATTGGAAAACCCCGAGGGAGCTTGCCAGGTGGCTGGCAAGGAAGAGGTCTCCGAGCTAAGCCAAGCATGGTCCAGTGGATGATGGATCGAATTTATTTAACTTCGATATGCTTGCGATCTAGCAATGTCTGTGCGAAAGATCGTATTGATATTTCATGCGGGAACGAAGCCTAACCTTCTCTCGAGCCCACGATACAAGCCCTGCATACGCGTGAAATATAGCAGTATCGCGGCTACCGAGGAGTGCGTGAACGACTCTGTCGACTCTGTTGACATCCGAATCGGATGAGCCGGAGACATCGGTGTTAAATAATTGGCTAGTGTCGCGTGCGCCCGACGCCTGCAGGTCACACCGACTGCAGTCGGGGTCCATATCGCTGGGTTGCATCGCGACTTTCCACCCGGCAAATCGTCTGGAAGCTGCATCGTTCGATACGACCGAACCCATAGTATCGAGAACCCAGACTATCGATCACCTCGCGGCGATATTCAACCGCGAGAGCGGAATTTCTGCGAGACGCGCCTCGTCGAAATTGACTGACTGACGATGTTTGCGGTCGGTAAAATATTCATAACCGGGGATATTGATGCGCAACATCCGGTATTTCCGTCGATGTCGTTATTCATCACTGTCGCAACGGCCATAGTGTCTGGTACAGCCACCCCCACAAAGAATCTGGGTGGTTGAAATTACACTTGTTACAGCTACTATGTGCCGCATTTGTTCATTAGTCGCGTGCTCCATACCATTCGATTATATCCCCATTGTTGCCCATACGTTGGGGGTCTCGCTGCTCGCGCACCGATCATTTCGCCTCGTAGCTGTGGTCATGATCACATTAGTCAAGACCGAAATCACTTCGCGCACTTGGCAGCGACATATTGTAAGGTTGAACACTATTAGGCCGGTATGGGGCAAATTGTGGCGTAAGGCCTGATAAGGTTGAAAGGTGCCGTATTCCGTTGGGCGGAGCGTTGAGAGATGCACGTGTCCATTCAAATTGTCCGCCGCCCGCGGACGCCAACGTCGGAGACAAAACATGGCACGGGACATGAAACCAAAAGGCCTTGCGTAATCCTGACCTTCTGATGAAAAAGCCATTCCAGAGGGGTGTACTGGCGACAAACACTTAAAGTTGAACCGTTGAAGCTCAAGAGCCTCGGCGATGTCGGGACCGTGTTGTTTCGCGAATACGCGGGCTCCGAAAAAGTGCGAGACAAACTGTTAGGTCTGTCCCACTTGCTGGGGAACCTTAAAGTATCGGTACTTTGGTCGGGCGCGTTGGAGTACCTTGAATCGACTGTGCCCATCCGCAGGGAAAGGGCACACAAGGTCGTGCCCACCAACACTTGTCATGCTTGTCATAGTATCTGACCGCCCGTCGCTCTTGTGATTTGGCGCTACAGTCCCTGTCGTCTGGACGCATGTTGTCATGGATAAAGCATCTCTTGCTCCACTTGGTGTAATAGGTCGCAGAACCAACGATTACCAATTAACATCGAGGGGGCGTTTAACATGGAAATTTTGACTGTCATCCCTGCTCCCGTCTTATCCGCTGTGGTGCTTGTTTTCGCATATGAAGTCACTCGTCCCCGTGGAAGCCATAGAGCTCTCCGGATCTTTGGTTTCACTGCTGTGATTTGCACCCAGTAGCGACGGTTAACAAATACCAAACTCTGGAAATGATCTTATAACAAACTCAGACCACACACGCAGTCGACCGGTACTCGTACGTCATCGACCCCTCCCTCTCCCCTCGAGGAGACAGTCGCGCCCGTCGTCCCGTGAGCCAACTCCAAAGCTCCCAGAGCAGCTTACGACAGCGCCGCTTGGTGCTTCGCCGCCGCGATGCAGGATTTCAGCACCCTGCTTCAGACGAGACCGAAACTACACCTCAAATGGCCAGAAACACTTCATCTTTCGTCGTTGAACCCGATCTCGCAGCGAAGCAAAAGTGGCCGGCGGCGTAGTAATTCGAAGCGAAAGTCGTCCAACTCACCGGACAAAATCGCATCTCTCCAGACTTCATTTTCGACAGCAGAATCTTTGAGGTCTCTGAGGAGGCATAAATGGAGTCTGTTCGACTTGCAATACGTCGTTCTGGCGGCCTTTACGCTTGGCTGCTTGTGGGTCATCGAAGCGAGAGCACCTCTACTCAAGACTGCCGCAGCCTCTGGATACGTGCTGTTGTTGCTTATGCCAGCGACGAGGCAGTTTTTTCTCCCGTCTTGGCCGATTTGGGTGTACCTGCTATATTTCTTTTCCAGCCGGTAAGCTTGCGTCCTGCCTGCGCCGTCGGGACATGCGGAAACTGACCGTAAAAACAGGTACATTCCGACTGAAGTTCGTCCGCATATTTGGGTCAAGGTGCTTCCGGCTCTCGAGAACGTGCTGTATGGGGCGAATCTGTCCAATATCCTTTCCGCGCATACTCACCCGATACTCGATCTCTTCGCATGGTTACCATATGGCATTGGGCATTTCCTCAACCCGGCCGTTTGCTCCAATCTAATGTTCATTTTTGCCGCACCACGAACTCTGCCAGTGTTCGCCAAGTCTTTTGGGTGGTTGAATATCATCGGCGTGACGATGGCGTTGGTCTTCCCGTGCACACCGCCGTGGTACGAGAACCTGTACGGTCTGGAGCCTGCACACTATGGAATGCCAGGTAACCCGGCGGGATTAGCGCGAGTGGACGCGCTGTTCGGGGTCGACATGTATACGACCAGCTTCTCGACGGCGCCAGTTCCTTTCGGTGCTTTCCCCAGCATGCACGCGGCATCGGCTGTTCTCCACGCTCTATTCATGAGCCACTGCTTCCCACGCTTCCGGCCCTTCTTCATCTTCTACGTTGGATGGCTGTGGTGGGCAACCATGTACCTGGGCCATCACTACGCGGTGGACCTCGTCGGTGGGAGTCTGATTTCTGCCATCATCTTCTTCGTTGCCAGAACAAGATGGCTGCCTCATCAGCAGCCGGACAAGTCGAGCCGATGGGAATATGACTATGTCGAGATTGGTGAGATGAGGAAAGCCGTGGATGAGGAATATGGATACGGACTCGGTTTGCTTGAGACGCAAGGAGCCGATGATAGCGATGTGTGGTCCCTTGGTAGCAGTTCGGGCTGGGACGGTTCGACCATTGCTAGCGGCAGTTCAAGCCCGATACCTACCACCGGTGACCGGTACAGCAGCGAAGCAAAATCTGCAGGGGAAACCGAGTTGACGGACGTGGTGGTACGGTAGACTTCTGGTCTCAAGGCCCTCGGGGTTTAATAAACGCATCGGGACGGGAGCGAAGCATAAAGCACGGCGTTTTGGTTCATTGGCCCGGCGCATCACGTCGCCGGAGGCCGGCATCGGCATCGGCACCGGCAGACACAGTCGTTTTCGGCAGGCTGTATGGATGGACATCCCAACTCTGGGCATTGGTCGAGAGACGAGGCATCTACGAATTATATCAGGATCTTAGAGAGCCATCGGGATGGATAACCCCCTCAGGGGGTACGAATGACATGGACGACATAAACGTAAAAAGTAATATATTATCTTGGAAAGTGCTTCAATGACCCCTTCAGAAGCAAACCAAATGCGGAAGTGATGCGAGAGTTGAGCTTGGCGAGCTCCGAATTCCGCAGTCGGGTAAGATGTGCGCGACCGAATTGAACCCAACTTTTTCACCGGGAAGGCTTGATTGGAGACGATCAATGTCTGGCAAAAGAGTTACTACAGACAGAGAGCAGATTCTAAACAGACGACGTTTCGGGGTTGCTTTGGTCAAGCCAGTCTAGCCGGAGCTACATTATTTACCAGCGCCAAGCTAATTCTCGACTGATTTGCTGGCAAATGAGGCGCCACCAATATTGATTCGTCGTTATTCCGCTGCTGCGTCTGAGCCCCACCACGCAAATCTTCTGCAGGAACTACCAACCAAAATGAGCGTAGTTCTGTGTCGGTGCACAAGTACGGCCGTGGTCAACTTCTGGTCTACGTCAAAATGGTGATGCGAAAGTTGACGTTATATGGCCCGCTGACCTGAAGTTCAATAATGCGCGAGTCTAACCAGTCCAGATGTCATCAGAATTAGTCGTCTCTTTATTCGGTTGGTTCCGTCGACCGGCTCACTCAGAAGCCCGCGAATCAAACGAAACTAGCATCTCGCTCAGATCATGCCATTATGAAAAGGGAAGCCATCATGTCTGTAGCGTACGCGCTTGGAAATGTGCTATAAAATCGCATGTCGTTCTCCGAGTATCTCATAGGCAACATGGAGGTGAATACATCAGCTCGTTACAGTACCAGACCTGGCTACCAGCGCTTCTACTCGAATAACAACTTGCCCATAACATAATTCCATGACGCGTATTAGCAGGTACAACTGGAGTGATGGGGGTTTACTATCCAATTGCGCTTTAACAAGATCATAATGGTTCTGAAAGCCCAATGATTTATCAATTTAAATTATAAGCTTCCAAATATATTTGTAATGCTTGCCGGAACCTGTATCTGGCCTGTTGAAGTCGTCGACTGTCGGTTTGGTCGCATTTTCAGAGGTAGACACAAGGTAGGCCCGGAAACTCATCAAGCGATTACATCTCTTTGTCAGAGCGCCAACAGAAATCGCGACTTTCTTCCCAAGAGAAGGCTTCATTTACACGGTAACAGTCTCCACACATGTCTCTATTGTGCGATTTGCTTGCGCCTTAACGAAAATCGAGGCTGTGATCAGTCATGAACAAGCCAGTCGGCTTTCGCGGCTCGAAGCCCGAATCCCGTAGGATTCAAGCCCCTGGACGTGCGGAATTCCGGACCCCGCAGTCGAATCCCTAGAGAGACAATGTTCACACTTACACGACTGATAAACTCGGCTTCAACCAACAAATTCCGGGTGTTTTGTTGTCTTCAAAATCAAATTCCTCTCCTTGTATTTTCACTCAATTTCGACACATTTCCACTATGTAGAGCTGCTCCTCTTTCGACTTCGGCGGACTTCGGTTTTCCCACCCCTACCACCAGTAAACTCATGGAGACCCCTACGCACGTGGCCGAGGAGATGACAGCCCCCTATGGACATGCTTGTATGGGTTGCTCGAAAGCTAAATGCAAATGCATAAGACGTAGGGATGCTGCTTGCATGCGGTTGGTATCATCCCTCTGTCATTGATGATGTTGTGTTACTCAGTTGCGATTGCAGCTGCTCCCGGCGAGGACAAGAATGTCGCCCTTCGTCGTCGGTCCGGAAGCGCAACTTGCGAAAACCGCCGCTCGCATCTAGGCCATCTCAGCTCGAGGAGAAGTTGGAAGATCTCGTGACCTTGCTTCGGTCCCAGCAGACTCTTACGAGGCAACCGTCCGGCCCTCCTGCGGAGTCAGCTGCGCAACCCCATGACTTGGGTGTGCCAAGTAGCATAGGATATACCAATTACCCATCAGACCACCACTATGTTTCTTCATATCAGGTGGAAAAATGCTTTGAACCTCCCATAGCCAATACCCGCTGCCATGTTCCATCTGTTCAGACGCCATCAACCATGGTTGTAAGCTCAACCTCGCATCCATCCCCGAACTCGATTTCGACGTCCGGTTCGCAGGAAACTGAGCTTACACCAGCCGAAGCCGAAGAAGTCCTCAACACTTTCCACCACCAGTATTTGCGATTCTTGCCGTTTATCTACATCCCACCAGAGATGACAGCACAGCGATTGCAAGACGAAAGGCTCTTTTTATGGCTGAACATCAGAGCTGTATGTTGCAGGTCACTCACGCAGGTGAACAGACTGGGCCACAACATACGGGAGATCTTAGCACGTAGGGTCTTTGTCGACCTGGAGCGGACTTGCTGCTGGGCGTTTTGGTATACCTCGGGTGGTGAGTTGACTGCCACTTCGCATTGCTAATCTCGGTCTTGTTTGTTGACTGACAACGTAGGTCGACTTATCAAACACGGGGGAAATCGTTCCTGTGTAGCTATATCAATGTAGCTAACTCGTTAGTATCTGATATTCGGCTTGATCGTCTCCGAGAAGCAACTGGGAGTTCCTGCCTCCAATCGCCGCAGTTGCATCACAAGCCGCCCCCGAAGACTCAGAACCATGAAGAGAGAAGAGCGATCCTTGCGTGTTTCATCATAAGCTCGGCGTAAGTGCCACGTCAACCAAAATGTACGTTGGAGAGGGTCTAACCAAGTGTGCAACATTTCCAGCTTCTTAAGAGTTGACGTGGTTCGGTGCGGCCCGCAATTGGACGAGTGTGTACAGTCGCTGGCTGAACAGCCCGAATATGCCGGCGACGAATTCTTGGTGGCCATCGCGAGGATAAAGCTCATCGTCCAGGAAGTATCTCGAATATCGTCGTGTCAGTACGTACACGAATCCTCTGGGCCACCCTTGCTGTATATGACAGCACTGCGGGCAAGATTGGAGCAGTTGAAAAATAGTCTCGGACCAGCTCTCGTTCAAGACAGTAGGTTTTCCGCTTGTTGGAGTGAGCTCAGGCAAGCTTCGACGTTAACGCATTAACAGAAGCGATCATGTCGCACTTTCATCATGCCGAATCCTGCATCAACGAGGTCGCCGCCTTTCACCCTCTCCCCATCACCATGCCTGTTAGCCTTCATGCAACGAATCCACCTCCTTTCCCCGTTCCCTCTACTAATAACATAAGGTCCCAGCCAATCTCTCAATACCTCTCCAAACCGATTGACATGCCTCGCCTCGAGGTCCTTCAGGCTTGTCTCGATGCAGTGCAGCTCAGCATAGCCAACTTCTTATCCTTCGGGTTGCACGAGTACGTCACCATGCCTTTCGCCATATTCACTCACTGGAATCATGCGATACACGTGCTTTATCGGCTGTCACTTCTCGAGGCTCCTGACTGGGACCGGGCAGCTGTGCGACAGGCTCTCGACGTGACGGCCGTACTGAACGAGGTGGCCTATAGAATGGCCCAGGTCCCTTGTGCCATACATATAGTGGTTGGTGAGAGGGATAGGGATTTGTTTTCCAGGGGCGCGACCGCACTGCGAGCTACGGCTACACGTTGGGGTGCTGCGTTGGGTCATGTTCCCGGAGAGAACGATGCGATTGGGAATCCCGGAGGAGAAAACTCGTTAGATAGTCTTGGCGAGGAAGTTACACAAGAGGAGCCGACCATTGTGGATTTCGGGGATGATGCATGGTTGACTGATTTGTTTGGTATGTGGAAGGACAATCAGATGTAGGGTGAGCAAAGGTACTTGGCATGAGAGAAGCCACCGGGACCCCTAGGATACTTATGTGCCTCGTGTTTTCCATCCCGCCCTACTCTAGCTGTTCAATGTTCCTGCATTGGGGCTGGGCTTCAAGAATTCACTTCGCACCAAATGAAGCAGCATCTGTGCATTCGCACTTTTCAAACCGGATGTCTTCAGATGCCTTAAAAGGGCACGAGGCGGTGCGTCACTGTCTTTATGAACAGTCGCAGCTGCGATCTTTACTCGTCACTGCTACACTTTCTAACGATTTCCAGTAGAATACCTCGAAAACAAGAACAACCATATGTTATATTGTACATGTGTACGAAGGCCGCCCGGAAGGTCTTGCAAATTCGACTTCTTCAAGCTGCTACTCTCAAGCAACTACCGGTTTCTAACGCCCAACGGGACAGCAAATTACAGGCCGAACCATGCCTTTCATCGGCATGACTATCTTGCGTGACAATGCGAGTGTATACGTCAATAGGCTTGTGAACCCGCACTTGTCCCCCCACCTCTCTTCAATGGTCGGATCCCACCGAGACCAGAACATCCATATTCGAGTTTGCCTTGACGCAATATTATCATAAACCACCCTCCCAAAATAATTGCCTCCAAGACTTATCATCGGAAACGTACCTAACGACCACAATCACCACGTACCAGACGCTCCGCTCACCCCACATAGCTCGAACGAGGGTGGCTATCGAACTCCTACGAAGCTGGGAGCAAGTGTCTTAAGAGACATATGTGCTTCCCGCCCGAACAAAAACTCACGTCTGCTACCACCATCATCAGTCCAATAATACCCTCAGCATCAAACTGAGTAAAAACGTCCAATGAATACCTCCACGGCTCTTACCCAACCAGAAGACTCTAGACTTATACGTTAAGCAGTTGACTCTACAATACGTCTCACTTATACTTAAGCTAGCATTGTTTCGTCTAGCCTCTAACATCTTATCCTGATCATTCGATGGAATGATTGGATTTTCCATGCGTCCGACAACGCCGATCTGAGCATCAACCCCGAAGTGCTGGGATCGGCGCACCTAGATGTGACACCGAAATGATGGGCTGGGGACGTTCTTTCGTTTTGCTTCCTCGTTTGAAGACGTTGAACAAGCTAAGGGTATTGCGGACTGGGCGCAAAAGTGAAGGTTTCCCATCTGGGACGCTTGTATGGTCATCACGGAGAAGCTGGGCTGTGAAGCGACCTGGGAACCAACGATATTAGGGAACTGCATCGCTCATGAATCCTTGCCAACGCTTCTCCTAGAATACTGGGTAGGCCATGTTCCGACAATAGCGAGAATGGTAGCTTGGACGGTCGCATGGATGACCAAGCTGGGGAATGGAGGGCAGAGCGACAAATGAGATATTGTCGGCAACTTCCTTCTGCTCGGCTGTCGACTTGGAAGTTGCCATTGATGCCTTATAGACACAGCCAAACACTCCGAGGGAATATTGATACGCTTGCGGCGTTATGATGGGTTGTCCACGAAGAATATCGTGCCAAAAAGCTCTTTAGATGGAGAGACTCGGCTGACTATCACTACTTGTGCCAACTGTGATGCTTGCTGATGGGGCCTTGGGGGTATTTACGATCCAAGAATCTTGGAATTTTGTGTGAAAACCCACTCCAGATTGTCTGCTCTCATTTTGTCTCTCCCAGGGTCGGCCGACTTCGATGTCTGTCACCTGGGTAAACCACACATGATTCGATGGTAGCCCTTGCCGTTTCTATGCCGAGCTTAAAAGGAATTGAATCAAAGTGTTAGTATCATATGTTTACAGCCATGATTATACTCATCCAATAAGTGAAACAAACTGCGTACCCCTGATTACCGTGGAACCAGCAGTATAATATGGAGGCATGATTTGAGAGGGGAGGTCTCGGCATTTCTATGAAGTTAATGCATTCGCTGTCCCATATCTAGTATGCCGGTGCTACTGTCTACCATGCATCAAGTAATATGCCCCTGTGTTATTTTCTCCCTCCATCAAACCACCCTTCACAACTTAGCCTTCCTGCTTTCCTGCGAACCCGGTGGAGAAGCCGTCGCAACATCCTCAAAGCACTGGATAACCACCCTATACAGCCTTCCCGATCTGATAGCCTCATAGACAGCCGTGTTAAACGTCCCCACCGACTCCTCTTTCTGCCTCGCCGCATGCGCGCCCCCAACCACCGCCTCGGTCAAGAACGGCACGCACAACTCCTTCCTCACAAACTCGTAGACGCGCTTGCTCGCGCTGCCCAGATTAGCCGCCGTGCCTTCGACCGACTGTTTCCCTTCAGGACTCAGTGCTCTCGTGCGTAAATCCAGCGCCTGACACACCGCCAGGATGTGAAAAGCTATCAGCTGCGACAGTACCGCCACGGAATCCATGGTATATCTCGAAGATACTAAGGCGAGCGAATTGATGCTCTGGTTCCCCATCTCGGCTGCTAGGACATGGGTCCCGACAGGATTCGCCAGGAATCCCAACTCGGACGCCAGCGCTGCCATTCCCACGTCGACGCCCTTGAATAAGTACGAGCACGAAGGGTCGTCAGCTACAAGGTTGGGCGGTAAATCGCGATTCGTGACCGGGTTGATGAGTTCCGTCACCTGACTAAACAACATCCTCCCCAAACTCTGCAACCCCTGACGCAATTTCTCCACCGCAGATGTAATCGCCTTAGCCTGAAAGTTTCCCCCATGAAAAATACGGCCACGAGACGCATCAATCAGGGGATTATCCGTCACCGAATTGAGCTCGCACAAAATCTGCGCATGCGCCAACATGAAATCCTCGAGCACGGGGCCGATCCATTGACTCGCGGTCCGAATAGAATATCGGTCCTGTCTCAGCTCGCCAGCGGCAGCGCGGACATTATCATTGCGCGTGACAAGCTGCGAGCCAGCCAGGAAGGCGAAGATGTTCCGCGCGGAATCGACCTGGCCCGGGTGTGGGCGTACCTGGGCGATGAAGGGGTCGAAGCTCTCGTCGGTGCCGAGGAGAGCTTCTACGCTCATGGCTGTTAGTACTTGTGCCAGGGCGGCTAGATTGATCGACTCGTGGAGGGCGATAGCGGCGACGCCCGCCGAGACAGCTGTGCCGTTGACGATGGCGAGGCCTTCTTTGGCGCGGACGTCGGTGGGTTTTATACCGGCCTGGGCGAGAGCCACGTCGGCGCGGACCACTCTACGTGCGCCGGGAATGCGGCGGTCGCCGGCGAACGCGGTCGCGTTGGGTTTACCCTGCATGACGGCGCCGACGTAGCTTAGTGGGCTGAGGTCGCCCGAGGCGGAGATGCTGCCGTGGAGGGGGATGCGTGGGACGATGTCTTTGTTGAGGAGTTGCACGAGGTTTTCAGCGACGCAGATGCGGATGCCTGAGTCGCCACCTGCAAGGGAGTTGAGGCGGACTAGCACTGTAGGGATTTTGGTTAGCGATGCTGTTCTAATGAATGATGATGGGTAATGCGAGGCTGCCGCCTATGTAAGAAGTAAGGAGATACGAAAGGGATGGGAATGAGATAACCTCCGCGTCATAACAGGCCCCCCCTAGACTACAGTGAAAAATGCAGTATGGTCCGCACTTTCCACTATCATCATTAGGGCTCACTCGTCGCCAGTAGAAAGCCAGCACAGGTCATCTCATTCCACACCCCAAAAGGGGGACCACACAAGAAGCGACTTACTCGAAGCTCTTGCCCACGACTCCGGCATCCAAGTAGCTGCCACTTCATCATTGAGCGCCAACGTGTTCAGATCCGCAACAGAATTCTGGTCTTTTCCAGCCCTCGTACCCGCCAGGATCCCAAACATGAGGTGCGAGTAAATGCTCTGCTGCAGATCGATCACATCCTTGGTGCGCGTGTCTGCACTACCGCCAAACCCTGTGTTCACACCGTAGACTGCAACAATGTCAGCATATGCCACTTTTGAAGAAAAGAAAAATTCGAGTCATCACTCAGATGCCAGCCAGTCCTAAGTCATATCTCAAGAGCAAAAGGCTCCCCAAGACGGCTAGCTAGCTAGCTCTCCGAGACATCTTCTGCTCCTGAGAAAGACCAGAGGGGGGCGTAAAGAACTGTCGAATTGCATACTGACGCTGCCCTCGGCCAGCCGCTGGGTGACAATGTTGCTGCACTTAGCAATGAGGTCCAGTGCTTCGTTCGTCAAGCGCACCCGCGACGACAAGGGTCTTCGCGAGACGGCCACAACCTGCGCAACGGTTAGGTTGCGGCTGGTCACTGGGATCACCGCCTGTTCTTGTTGTGATGATGGTGCACAGAGCAATTCGAGCTCTTGCCAGTTGGTGAGCACCAAGCTCGTGAATGAAGACATCTTGGGCCGATTCTTTCTTTTATGATGCCAATAAATGTTATCAAGTGTAAGAGCGAATAGTATGAGTATCACTCGAGTAATGACGAGTCAGTAAGTAGGTAGGTACTTAAAAAAATCTAAAGGACTACTAAATGGAAAGAATGGTGGTGGCGACTTAATAAGTATTTGCTCTCGCCAAGAATTCACCTACTTCAACCACTGAGTGAGTTGGTGGCAGCAACCGGGGGACAATCAATTATGATAGATGCAGGAAACCCGGCATTGCCATCGTCTGATAAGAGGAAACAACCTGCTAAGTGACAATTACTTCTGCAGCTTATCCCACGTTCATGCCGTCAGCCATATGGCGGTGAATTGATCAGGGCTTGTTTGCGTAGCAGCTGCTGCACGCACCACAGCATTGAATATTCTGCATTGTGTCAGCTGAGAACAACAGATTGTCACAAGGCACACAAATCGATTATTCCGAACTAGTAATCGAAATCAACTTTGTGGTTGAGTATGAGTTACCGCTGATAAATATCGTGAAGAGCCTCACCTTCAATGGCCTGTTCGAGTAACACCTGAAATGTCATCTATCTAATAGTTGATCAGAATTCAGCTGCACGAGGAACAAAAGCAAGAGGCAACGAAACGTATCACCTAGTCTGTATCAGTTCAGTTACATCTAATGGAGTATGGAGGAGTATGGAAGATTATGACTTCATCACTAGAAGAAATACACGAATCAATAGCTTAGTGCAAATCAGTGTTAGTTGTGGTATCAACCAAACAGACTATCAAGCAACCGGTATCTCCGGGTCATCTTCGACCAAGCTGGCGCCATACCGCAAATCCTTAAAACGCCATTTTTGGGAATCTATCCATTAAAGTGAGTTCTCAACTCAAAATGATATTTACGCGCTGAGATGCCTGCCCGTATAGACAATGGGGCAGCTAGCGCAGAGCATTATTCCTAGACATGGCACATCTGATGACACCATCCATGGATGTATCCGAGAATGGGTCCAAAGTTGTGTCCGAGAAACTCGGGGTGAAGGGAGTGAAGACCATGTAAACCAAGTGTACCCGACGTCAAATCCACTAAGGGTTAGGGTAGATGCACAGTGCTCGGTGATGATTTTCGAGAATCAGGGAATCAGGACCCCGATAATACTTGTCCAGTCCAATCAATGCTATTCTTTCCGCTTGCGAGAACTCGGCGAGCGTTACTTGCCCGGGATTCCAATTCGCGGGGGAGGAACAGGTGTAACCTTGGACGGGGGCTCATGCTTCTTTGCCTTCTTTGAAGTTGGTGTCGAATCCTTGGTGTTTGACCTATTGGTAATTTTCGATGCCTGTGAACTGGGGATTTGCGGGGTGGCAAAAGTGGTCTTGGCCATGTCAGCCGACAACTTGGAATCCAGCATCTTGGCTCGTTTAGCGGGCTGCCCTGCTGGCTTGGTCTCCTTAGCTGGTGGAGGCAAAGTTTCAGCCTCGTCAGAATCACTGCTGCTAGTGTCATCGTCGTCACTGCCGCTCTCATCCACAGGCTGCTTCCGCTTTAGGTTGTCGTTGGCAACGGGCTTTGGCTGGAAGGGCAATGCCGCTGTGGTGGTCATCTCCTCATCTGAATCGCTTTCGGAGGAAGACTCGGCAGCAGGCTTGGTCCGCAAAGACGCTATAGCCGAGGCCTTGACTGCCGGCCTAGTGAATGGGACCGGCTTCGGATTGGGGACGCCAATAGGAGTAAAGCGGGCCCTGAGTCCCTCGGGCTGCTCTCGGATGGGCTTGGGTCGGCGCACATAGTCATCTGTTGCAGTTGCGCTGACCGTGCTCTCGCCCCCGAACTTAGCTTCGCGACGAATGTGGACAGTCGAGTCGACACCGTGGGAGACTGCTAAGTATGTTAGCTACGCAAGCAAGGTGGTGGAGGCAAACTTACGAGTAGACCACTTGTCACCTTTCTTGTTGGCCATGAGGATTTGGACTTGGTTGTTTGTAGCATAAGGTTCCAGGTCCAGGCCATACGAGTCGCCCTGATGTTTGATGATGGTACCACCGGCCGCAGCTTTCGCCATATCGATCTCCATGTCTCTGAGAACAGTGATTGGTAGTGATGCTGGTGCAGTAAAGTACCAAACCTGCTTTCCCTCCAGATTGGCCTTGCTGAAGAAGTCGGCAACCTCCTTGCCAGGATTGTCTGACGAGGCTTTGCGAATCATGAACTCGGAATTCTCGAGCCATGCGGGTTGGGCACTGTGCCAAGTGATGTTAGTGGGAGGCAACCAGGAGTTGACTGAATGGCAAAAACTTACACTTGACCAGCTTGTTTAGCACCAGAGGCTCCATTGATACTAGCAATAGCCTTGGGGTCCACCTCATTCTCATCATCACTGTCTTCTGAGCTAGAGTCGCTGTCTTCAGTACTCTTTGCTGCCTGTGCTGCAGGCTTGGTTGTCGTGGGTTTCGCCGGAGTTTGAGTCTTTGCGACAGACTGGGCCTTTGCACCTGACTCCTCTTCGTTGTCACTATCGCTCTCACTATCGCTCCCACTGCCGCTCTCACTGCCGCTCTCGCTGCTAGTGGAGCCACTGTCCGAAGTATTCGTACTACTTTTCTTTGCATCTGTTTTCGGGGCTGGTTTCTTCTCAGACTCCGAGTCTGAACCGGAGCTTGTGGTATCTGACTCGGAGTCGGATTCCGAGTCGGCCTTGGGGGGTTTCTTAGCAGTCTGTACCTCGGTCGCAGTCGCTGGGACCGCCTTTATTCCGTTCACTTTGGGCTTCAGCGCAGTTGCCTTCTTGGCCTCGAGCTTCTTCCGAGCGGCTTCAATACCGTCATCGCTGTCGCTGCCATCGCTTCCACTGCTACTACTTGAGTCCTCGACGAACTCACTGCTCTTTGAACTGGCTGGCAGCTCACGCGCTCGAATGGACGAGGATTTGATAGCAGGGGTGCTCTTTTTTTCGTTGATGTTCTTCTTCATCGCCGCAAGCGAGCCAATGGAGCTTTTTGGTGCCATCGCAGGTGCCAGGTTGCCGGGTTGTGGGAGGATGAGGTGCGCTTTAACCAAAGTGAATACGGGTCGGCGAGACTCACGATACTTGGACACGCCTAAAAAAAAATAAAAGTTTGGTCCACCATGACGGCGCGTCTCAATTAACGCGGGGCAGGGTATGGGCCGTTGTGGGGGCCGCTGAGCCCGGAGAAACTCGGAGCCCGTGCCACAGCAGCGCATTCACAACAGCAGGCTCAGGCAAGTCATTTTTAGGCATAACACCAGGGCCTGCAGGTTTTGAAAAAGAGCTTCTGTTGGTGCAAGTACTTGTACACATGCGGTAACTCAGCCTCATCAAGAAGGAGGCGCGATTTTGGCTCAATTATATATGAGAATCTAGTGCAGTGAACCTTTTTTTATATTCACGCGATGGCTTCAAACAAGAGACGGAAATTGGACACTGCAGAGCCTCCTCAAGGTATGCCTTAACCCGTTTGAGCACTGAAACTTCGTTAAGCTCACATGCATGCAGTTATGAGTGCTTTTGCTCGACTTAAGAAGAGAGCCCAGACGTCGGCAGCGAACCAAGAAGAGGATCGCCAACCAAGCACACCGGGTTTTCATGAAGAAAATGCCACTGTCATTCCCACTAACGATGACAAACCCGAAAAGGCAGTTAGGGTCAGGAGGAAGAAGACGAAAACGTTGGAAAAGGCAGACCAGGACAAGTCTGTCAGATCAAAGGACCAAGAGACGAATTTGTCGAATGTTGCAAACGTAGACGAACCAACAGAGCCTGCAGGAAAAGTGAACGACATCAACTTGCACGCACCAGATAAACCAGCAGTGCAAACACCTTTCGCCCCATTGTCAACTTTCAAACGAACCAAGTCAAATCTCCAGAAAAAATCTGGAGGCAAATTGCAGTTGAAGTTATCGAGTGGAGAGGTTGGTGCCCCTGAATTCTTTTACAGAAACAATGCTAATGAACGTAGCGCCTCGTTATATTAGGTAGTTATGGGTTACGCGTTATCATTGGCGATGTCACGATATGTGGTGCTGTGTTGAGGCCATCGGAAAAGATTCACTGGATTCATGCACCACATTGCCATGCATTGCCTGTAATACGATGTCCAGATGAGGCAGTGTTGGAGCTTGAGAACCATCCTGATGTTGATGACTTGAGGAAGCTTGGTAATCTCTCGCCTCACTTCCAGCGACTTTGGAATGAGGAATCCAGTCCAGAAGCTCAGAGGAAGCGGGAAAAGTCCACGAGCACTTTCGAGATTGTAGGTATGCTGTTTTTGCCTCTTTGCAATAGACATACTGATTCTCTCCATAGCTATTCACGTCTGATGATCGACCTAAGAGGGCCATCTTCAACGCTCTGATCTCGCCTCCAGAATGGAATCGTGAGATTGAACGGCTAGTAGTTGCATCTCGCTCGAAAGCCATTTCCGTCATGGTCACAGGACCAAAATCATCAGGAAAATCAACCTTTGGCAAAATTTTGACCAACCAACTTGTGACAGACAGTACTAAGAATCGGCATTCTGTTGGCGTTGCTGTCCTGGATCTAGACCCTGGGCAGCCCGAACACTGTGTTCCTGGTCAGATTACTCTTGTCCATGTCACGGAACCTCTCCTGGGTCCATCTTTTTGTCGACCAATTCCAAGCTCTAGCACCCGAATGATACGATCACATACACTTGCCTCCGTCTCGCCAGCCTCAGATCCACAACTCTATTGTGCAGCGGCGATCGATCTCCTGACGCATTATCGCAACCGACTAAGTGCCTGCCCTCTTGTCGTTAATATGCCGGGATGGATACAAGGGACTGGCTTGGATCTCATCACGACCTTGATAGGGGGACTACGACCAACGGAGGTGATGTTCATGTCGCAAACCGGACCAGTTGAAGTCATCGAGGGCCTTGAGGAAGCGTGTCGGGCTAGTTCCCTGGTTCGGCTCCCATCACAGAGCTGCCAGTACACAACGCGGACGGCAGCCGACTTGCGTACTATGCAGTTGATGTCATATTTCCATGCGGAGGCAAACACGAATCGTGGCCAGGTTCAATGGAATTCAGATCCTCTCACCACAATTCCCCCCTGGATGGTGAACTATTCGGGGCTTCACCCGGGAATACTTGGAGTATTGTGTTATGGCTACCAAGCTCCTCCTGAGTTGCTTGCGGAAGCTATAAACGGTACAATTGTGGCCGTAGTTGAAGTCGAGAGAGCTCTCGCTTTCCGAGGGGCGAGGTACGATGAGATGGAAGGTACATTTGATTCCGCCGAAGCCGACGAGAGTGCGTCTGATATGCAGATGGATCTTGACGACAGTCATGACTTGTCAAAGCTGGCAACGGCCACCCCAGAGGGTATACCATTGATCAGCAAGGAGACGGCATTGAATCCCAGGCATTCGCACACGATCGGGTTAGCACTCGTCAGGGGCATTGACACCGAAAAGGGAATACTTCAGCTGTTGACTCCTATAGCGCCGGGGAAGCTCGAGGAGATCAACGAAAAGGGAGGTAATATAGTACTTGTAAGTGGCAAGTTCGATCCTGCCAGCTGGGCATATACGGAAGACTTGTATTACAAGTCCAGAGATGAGGACACAGGCGAGACAGCAGAATTGGAGCAAGGAGCCAGCGACATTGACTCGAGGGACGGTGAAGGCGCTGCCTTCTCGGTGGCGGATATCGATACAGGAAATACCGACGCGGTTACGACATCCATACCCTGGATTGAAGTCCTGCATGCTGGCCAGAAACGTGGTGTCGGGTCCAGGATTTGGAAAGTGCGGAGGGACCTTGGCCGGTCGGCTGGTAATGGTGATTAGCAGGCATATAGGCACAGAACAAGCAAATTTGGCTGAGTTAATGCTGTGCCCGATTCAGGTATAACTTCCAGGACAGCAGTGACTTCATTTTACTCTCCTGTGGATCTCAACGGTCAGGATATACTGCCATTGAGCCCTACAAGTGTGGCGCGCTGGTCAAGCAGGACTGGGACAATCAGTTCATGCTGGAAGGTTTTTTGAAGCTGTCCGTGTTTAGCATTAAACAAATCCCATACCCGCCGAATCGAATTTCTACAGGGCAAAGTCTAGATTTCCCATTTAACTTTGAGCGTTTGGACTTCAAAGACGTCGATTTGTTTTAACTGCACCTTATTAAGCTAGCACGAAAGCAAGACTGAGTCGCATGCACGGCCATGAAACGAGATGCAGATTCGGGATGGGTGTAAGGGGCGAAGATCAACCTTAAAATCCAGACATGACTAGTTCATCGGTTCAGAATGCCATGTAACATGACAGTATCTGATTCTGACCCATATCGGTCGAGCACACATCGGACGCCACCAGAATGGAACGCAATGGTATGGCATTTGGCGTTCTCTTTGATCGTGCCCGTACGAGCTTCGATGACCAGGACTCGCTGACAAAGGCATTGCTAATTCCATCTCCCGTATCAAGGCCAAGCGGAACAGCCCACCGAACCAGTGTTTTCCTGGAACAGCCTAGGATTACTTTGGTGGCATAGGGCCCTTAGACGCGGCGGACCGAAACGTCGCTGCGGGATGTGACACGCAGGGACGAAGCTTGCACAAGTTGCCTCATGCGGCCTTTACTACGGCACGAATCCCAGCACATTACATCAATGAGTATGCCGCCGATGAGACGAAGATATGATGTCAAGATATCAAGTGTCCGTTACTCGGGCATGACCTAAATGCCCTTTGCCCTCTATCCTCTATATTATTAATGTCTCATTGTTCTTCCTTTACACGCGTTTTTGCGAGAGTTCATGTACGTAACCGCTAGGCAGACGTTCAAAAGTCATCCATCTACGACGAAGCAGACACTCAATAGACTACCGCGGCCTTCTACCCTAAGCCATAGAAACCATCAACAATGGCCCTCCCCGAAGACTCAGATCTATCCATCACCCCCTTCTCCTCCGTCAACTTCACCCTGCAAAATCCCTGCGACTTCACAACATGGTTCTACATCGCCAAAGCCGTCGCAGGCCCCCAACTCTGGCCCTCCATCAACCCTCTCCTGCCTGGTCCCTCCATCAAGCCCCTCCTCCAAGAACCGCCCCGCCCCTCAGATAAAGGTCTGGAAAATTTCACCGACAAAGAATTCCGGCTCTATCTATGGTATTATGAGCGCTGGCGCGAGCGACACAACGATTGGAAAGTTCAGCAAATGCAGCTGCACAACATGGATGTGTGGCTATTTCGATCGGTGGCGCCGCAATTCTGGGCCTACTTCAAGCGGGAGGAGAGTGTCCGGGAGAAGATGCTCGCCATCAGAAGCGCACTTGACCATGGGCCAAGGGGAAGGTGGTGGTATAAGGGTAAGCAGGCTAAGGTGCCTGTCACGCAGCAGGCGGATTTATTACCGACGAGTCCTGAGGCGGATCATCCGCCTTGGAAGAAGAGTGCTCGACCGGGGCAGGGGAGGCCGCGGTTGGGGAGTTGTTTTGGGGCGTTAGATGGGAGGGGCAGGGGGGAACAGGGGGTAGTGGGGATGATAAGGACGGTGAAGGAGGACGGTGTTGGAGATGAGACGAAATTGAAAGTGGAGGAGGGAGTTGACCATGCCTCTGGGGACGGGAAGGTGGTTGAGACGGGCGCTGAGAACGGGAGGGCGGTCAATTGGGTCGATTCGAACAAACCGGTGAACAGTACGGTTGCTACCGATCATCAGGAACATGTCGAAGTTTCCAGTGTCGAGGAAGTTGAGGATGATATGTTTGGGAACTACAAGCTAGTTGGCGCTTCAATGAATGATCATGGCGCGGCCTGTGGACTCGCTAAAGGTGTAACTGATGTTCACAACAGAGCTCACACATCGGGAGTTGACGATATGGGGGCGATGGGCATGGGTGAGGAATGTAATGACAAGGACGTCGAAAACCTTGACAACCATGGACCGGTGATGGGGCAGGTTAGCGATGATGTCACAGAAGACAGCCGCAACGGTGTCCCTGTCGCAGTCCCTGTGTGCTCATAGAGTTTCTCACCTCTGCTGTTATTATTTTCAAAGCGATGTAGGGAATTTGCTTGGTATTAGTATGTGGTCAAGTTGCTTTGATCGAGATTGAAACATGGGAATGCCATTTTGTCCCAGCTATCGTATGATATACGTATACTGCGAACTTGTGTCGCTCAAATTGGGTCTTTTGTACAAAGGAAAAACTAGACGTACTGAGAACACTACTTACTCATATTTTGACCATTAACCCATGCGACTTATCGTGAATATCAACAAATAATGGACGATTGCGGACACAACAGATGACAAGGGTGAGCGAAGGCCATTGAGCTTCGCAACGACAAATGGCAGGTCCATTCGGAGTACCTGAGTCGTGCCTTGGCTTGTCTACCGCAGATCATCGAGGACAACATGAAGCATGTGCAAAAAGCCCTGCCCAATATAGCCCACGGCGGCTTCTTTCCAGTATCAGGAAGTGTACCCGACTCATATGCCCCCCTCCGTCCAACAACCTTTGCAGAGGCCTAGGAGAGTACTAGAATATAGGTCCTCGCCGTAAAGCACTAACCGCCTCTACCAAAACAGGGTAAATTCGAGCTTTGATAGGATAATAGGTATTTAACCCACAAGGCTCAAACTTATACATTATGTAGTAACTGTGATAAATTAAAGCCTGAGGTATTAACGGATAGGAGGCATGTAGACATGCGTTGTAGTATTGAGAAACCACTCGAGCTAACTTGGGATGAGTGCCTACTGACCGCCGCAGGTACTTGACCGGTAAGTCTTAGTAAAAGTCTTAGCAACAATTCTAGTAAGGTCCCAGGAACTAAATTCTTGACCGATGGTCTCCCCCAACGATCGTCTATTCTGCGCCCGTTTACATTTGCGTGACGCAGTAAGCCACAGGCGATCTCCTTCTAGCTTGCGCCCCAAGTCCGCATTCGCTACTAGACAGGCGAGATCAGATGAATGAGTGGCTTGGATATTAGCTATCCTTTGTGGTCACTTCCGTCGTCTTGAAACAATAGTGGCCGAAGACAATGAGTAGCGGCACGGCGGCAGACCCTAAATTTCTTCTAGCCTCGAAGTTCTCAGTATCGTCTCCATGAACATGTCAGATTGGGCTTGTGTGTTGCCAGTCTTGAGATAGCTTGTGTTAGCCAACGAAACACCGAGCTGCGGGGACGGCCAATTTCTAAAGGCCGCAAGTTCCGAGTTTCGATACGTGATGTGTTCTAGAATTAAGAGTTGCCAGTTTTATTTTACATGGACATACTACGTTGATGGGCAAGTGGCGGTCGATCGTTGATAGATCAGGCTCGGCGTAGATTGCTTGCGTTCGTGTCAACTGGGATACACCTAGCCCTGTACATTCCCGATGACCTGGGCCGGCCTTGATTGAACCCTGATTCCTAGGGGGTGGTTGCAAACTGCTTGGGGTTGTACTTAGGGGATTGCGGGGGCCCCCCAGGTGAACAGAACCTTTATGCCGACGGGTCAGGCTGACAGGGCGCAGACGAAGACCCAAAACAAAAAAATAAAAGTTTCCCGTGCAAGTCTGTCGTTTGTGTTGTTATTGGGATTCTGATCTATCGTTTTCGGAAGACGCACCACTGTCGGAACTGGGACTTTCTAGAGCAGTGACCGGTCATCCTAACAAATTCCAGAAATAGGAAGGTGGTGTCAAGAAAATGGTCTGTCTCAAAGCTTCCAGCGCGGCCATAGGCGCCCTACTAGAACATTTCCGGATTGGTTCGCGTTGGTGGTCAGGACCAGCGTGGGAATAAGACAACACCGCAAGATGCTGGACGGCTGGTCGATCGGGATCTTGCCGGCCTCGCAGGGGGCCAATTCAAATCCTCTTTGTATGCTAAATGAGCTTGTTGGAGAACTGAATAATATTTTATCCTCGTTCCATGCCTTGGATGGTGTAGCATGGGGTTATGGGAGAAGTCTGAACTCAACACATGGACGAACAAATCCACACACGCAAATTGGAGCTATGTGTCGCATGATACACACAACACACGGAGGATTGGATAAGATATGGAAGCCTGCACGCCTACCAGATTAGCGTGGACAAAGTGTAAGATTTGGGCCGTTGGGGCCTCGCAAGTACGATCAACCTTGCAACACCAAGTAGCGATTCATACCATTGAAAACCCAGAGTGTCCAGAAAGGATGAATCTTTAGTAACAACCAAATTCCGATCGATGTGATGGGTACATGTAGGGAACAGTCCAGACACTCGCTCGTCTCCGGTCTCTGTGTTCAACAGCGCCGTCGTACCTGGCATCGCGTCCTTACTGTAGCTTCGGCGGCCTGAAACTACCCAAGGATGGATATTCGTGGTCTTGATAGATGAACCCCCTCCCCGCACTATACCAGGTAAGGGTTGGGTATTTGGACACATGGGATCTCGACCCTGCTAGATGCACATCTCAGGGATATGTATCCCGTTTACGCTCCCCGGGTGTTATGCGGCATTGTTGATCGCAGGGTAAGGTAGCGAGCGGGGTGGACCTGGATAGACGGTGTACGGATGACTGAAGAAATCTTTGTTACCATACCAGCAAGCCCCTGACCTAGGAAGGACACGACTTCCTCATGCACAGCTCAACTGGTTCCCCATTTGGTAACCAAAAGGTCCCCCTCATCAGCTTGAACAGGCCCAGTGATCGTCAATAATCCTGTACAAAGCGCCAGAACCCGACCCATGAGTTTTACTTCACATGTACTTTTTTAAGGTACTTCGTATGTACCTGAGCCATGCAGCTTTGAATTGATCTGGCTTGATCTTGAGGCCATGAAGGTGAGCTAGGTTACATACTCTGCATTAGTGGGTGAAACCGCCGTTTTTAGGCTTGACGAGTAATCAGATGTATCATGAAATTTGTGTCTTACTTAATTAATGCACCGTTAAATAGAGTCCCAAATTGAGATGCCGGACACATGATTGCTAGCGTTCCGTGTCGGATTCATTAAATCCGGCTCTTCGTATCACTACAGCCTCGCCAAGTGATTTCTAAGTCACAGATCCCACGCTCACTTCGACTCGAGGGCATTCAATTAGACTAGTTTTCCCATGTATCAAGTCGCCTCCGTGCACGAAGATAGCACCAAAAACATCGATACCATTTTCCTGGAAAGTACCTGAGGAGTACGCCGCCGGCAGGCATAATATTTACTACGATCTTGAATATGCTTGTGGGGAGACGTTCTACACTCGTGAGGAACTAGAGAAGCCCAGCGGCCCGAGGTTGCGACCGACAGTCGGACAAATAGCAACATGATCATTGCCGTAAGCTTTAAAGCTGTCAGCGGGCTGAATACCGAACCAGACGCAAACCGTGATGAGGTACGCCGTCAAAAAGATGAAGAGCGCGAGAATCAACAGCAGGAAGCGCTTCAACGTCGCCAGCAGGCCAAGCCAGGATCTTGTGCCCCAGCGACATACCTGCCAGAAGTGTTTCACTGTCTTCTTCACACACAATAAGGCGATGATTTATGTACTTGCAAACTGTTACTGACAGCCCTAGTCATAGTCAGAAGATTAACTACTACAGGCATTACGTCGCAAGCCCCGCAGCCGAAGTAACCGGATCACATTACAGCGTCCAACGCAGCCGCCACCAACATAGCTAGCTAAGCCAGTAACGCAGTGGTGAACAGCTTCGTTTTCCTCATCAGCGATATATAGACAGTCAAGTAGCCTCGCTGTGCAATCTATTTTGAGATTCTACCGGTACAACTTCAGATGAGTACAGTACTTAGACAAGTATAGCTTAGAACTGGTATGGAGTTGACTTAAGATGGCAGGACTGGTTCATCTTAACCAGGAAAGGTTCCTAGTCCAACAGACTGCATTGCTCCAAAAAGGAAAAGCCCCCATCAGGATGACTCAGCGTTGGGGGCCGGAACCGCCAGCTGCAACGAAGGCTAGTAGCAGAGCAAAGAAGCGTATTGTCGCTGTGAAATGATTTATGTATCCGATTGATTCTCTGTATTGAAACGACATATTACTAAGAAAGACACACACCCTTGATAAAAGCGATTCTGGATGTAAAATCGAGCGCGAAAAGTCTCCAAGGTGGGTAGGTTTGCTTTGTGGCCGTATGGTGGGATGAGACTCGCAGTGGATTTCATATCCCATCACCCCCTACATTTCCTATGTAAGCAGTATGAGCTATCAGAAAGCCACATCAACTTCATTTGGAGTCCTGGACTGGGTCTCGCTGTGTATTCCGACTTGTTCAATTACTTCGGGGTCATATCTGCATATGATATCACGTCGAGGGCTTTATTTGCCCATTACTATGAAGAGCATGATGCAACTTAGCGAGGCTGTGGTTAGTATGCCATCCTATTTCCAACGGCTGTTCTTGGTCTCAAGGCGGATATTATAAAGAGAAACAGGGACGTTTCCGTCGAGAGTGGATATATCTACGCCCAAGATCATGGCTGCCGCTTTGCTGAATGCTCAGCCAGGACGGGTGATGGAGTTCACCAGGCTTTCGGCATATTGGTTTAGCATGCCCATAGCATTAGAACGCCCTTTAATAGAATCTCGGCGTTTCTGAAAGCAAATAAAACGAGAGTCGCGAGAGCGTTCGTCGAATGTTGTGGCTGGGGATGGCCAAAGGCATGCTAAACTGCACAAGTCCCTGAAAGTCCCCTAACAAGGATGTCATGTGAATTTTCCCGGTACTGTGACGTTTTTAGAACTCGGTGTAGGTGTCTACAAGGACAGGAAAAACACAAACTTGTGTATTCTGTGAACAGAGGTTTCAGGATGGCAGCGAACGACACACACGTGTACAGTGCGTGGATAGCGAAGAACTACCGCAACCCCAATGCTTGCTCGAGGTCCAGACCGTTCAGAATGACCCTTAGGGCACTTGATGCCCTAAAACATGCTGAACGGGTTCCCTATTGTTTCGCGCCTCGACGGGACATTGCAAGAGCAGTATTTGAACGCCACTTCTGCCTTCATCAACGCTGGGTTCGACCCGCGTGATGTGGCACAGTGGTTTGGCGATCAGAGTATTAACGCGGCTCATAAGCGCTGGAGTTCGATTGGGTTAGTTATAAGGCAGGTCTGGTCTTTGCCTGGCTTCAGGGCTGACGAGTCTGAGTCTGATGGTGAGTCTAACGCGCACTCAGACAAAGTAGAGAGTGGGGCACGAGTTCATGGTGCTGATGGGGGAGAGGGAGACGGGCAAAATAATGACAGGGAAGACGATGACAGAGAAGATGAGGATAATGGGGAAATCAATAACGAGGAAAATGCTGAAGGGAGCGAAGGTGAAGAGTCTAAGGACGTAGACATGGCTCATGTTGATGATGGCGACGTGTAAATGACCGACGATAGGGTTGATTCGAATATCCCTAGATCCCATATAAATAAAACGAAATAGACGTTATGGAACTGTATTAGAGTTGGCCTCGATGGGAGCCTTCGAGCGCTGATCCACTTCGGCCACCTTTAGCGAATATATATAAACCCTTCCCGGCAGCTCTATTCCCCCACCACTCAACTCCCCCCTTTCCAATCTCCTATTCTCCTCAAAACTACCCGAATCACCACCGCCATCCCCCCACAAAAACAACAAACACATGCCAATCCAATTCCAGCTGGGACGTACTTGGGCCCATCCGTCGCCGGGTACATGTACGACCCATACGTTGACGACAAATTGCCAAACATGCCCGTCGCAGCCACCACCACGGCCCTCTTCGCCAGCGGCCGGGGAAATGACGACGTGATCCACGCCAGTATAATTTGGAAAGCGGGCTGTACACCCATAGGAATTAGGTACATTGCGAACATGCGCGGACCGATGCCGTTCGTCGTAACAACTAGAACATTCCCCGCGGCCCCGACGAGCATGCAGCCCAGGATATGCCACGCCCGGTCGCGCACGCGCGAGCTGTTGTACGATACACCCAGCACCGCTAGCAGCGTAGCAAACCAAACTGGTACAGTTAGGAGTAGAGTCTGGGTGTTGCCGTAGCCGAGGGACTGGACGATGGTGGGGAAGAAGTGCTTAAAAGGCTCGGCAGGAACAGCTTGTGTAAGGAAGATATCGGGAGAATGATAAGTCACGGGGAGGAGCTCACCAGCCATCTCCACCCTGCTATACCGTGCGCCATATGCAGATCAGAAAGAACACCGGCTGCGATCAAGCCGCCGAACATGTTGGCCAGCGCAACTCCGGCGTATAATATGGAAATTCGATGCGTGAGCTCGTTTGCGCGATACCAAGAACTCATGAGGAAAATTGCCCCTCTGGACGGGGTTATCAGAACTTTAGATCCTGATCGTCTCGATACGAGTTGTAGAGTAGACTCACGAGAAAAAGGGGGCTTCAGCAGCACCGAGGAACAGACGACAGACAATTTTGCCGGTAAAGCTCCGGGTTACTGACTGACACGCTGAGATCATGCCCCTAGGATTTCTGTCAATATGTTGCGATTCCACATGCACACCATACAAGGCTCTCACCAGATAGCCATCATGAGGCACAAATACAATGATGGTCGGACTTTAGTCAGGAGTAAGTTGGACGGCAACTGAAAGACGATGTATCCCTGTCGTATTTGCATTAGATTTAAGCTTCACAGAGTGCAGGGACAGAACACACGATGAAGAGGATCGAGGTAAGGGTGTTGTACTCGACGCCTTTCAGTCCCAAATTCTGCTCGAGCGTCCCCAGCCGTGCTTGTGCCAATGCTGTTCTATCGAGGAAGTTGGTCGTGTACATGAGGATGAGCCTAAGAGCATAATTAGTGAGGGTTTGGATATTTCGAGGTGAAAAATGGGCGTGGTTGTGAAAATGCGGGTGGTATGAATTACCATGGCAACAATCTCAAGTCAACTTTCCATAGCAACTTCTTCGTCTTGTAAGCATGCCACTCAGCATCCTTGGAGATGAAGTCCATTGCGATTATGTCATAGTCTGAGACAGCTTCATTTTTGGTGACTGTTTCGGAGTGCGTCACTGCATTCATCTTTTCGATTTTAGAGTCCTCCTTCTTGATGTCCATCTTGGCTAAGTTTATACAACAGTAGTTGCGAATATTCATCTTTTTCTTTATATTGGCCCTGCCAAGCATTGTACTTATGTCTGGGCAATTCCGGGGTCCGGGGTCCGGGGTAGACCCATTCTGTCATAGTACATCCCGGCATTCTCTCCGACGTGAGCATCCCCGCAGTCACAATCTCCACCTAGTTGCTGGGGTATACTGGAAAACTGTGCAGAGAAGAAGGAGCCCTTTCCAAGCTTTCTTCGCCTTTGACCGTGCTAGTTCAATTTTCCGATAGGCGGGATTCGAACTCGAGCTGAATTGGACGCCAGGCCCCAGGGGGCGCTGCCATCTATAACACTCATGCACTGACTTGTGCTTTTTGCCCTGATATCTCTCAGTTCGTCTCCCCGACTTACACTCTCAGGTATCCACTTCTTCATGAGCCGCTGCGATGCCAAAGATAATCCCAGGGCCCCTGAGCGAGAAGCATGGAGAGATTGACCAGGTCGAAAAAGTCCACGTTGGAACTCGCATCAACGAAGCGTACGACTTTGCCTCGAGGCCAGAGGAATGGCATCAGGAGTACACCAAGAAGCTCCTACGCAAGATTGATCTTCGGCTTCTCCACATGTTGAGCTTGATGTTCTTGATGAGCTATCTCGACAGAAGGTAGGCTTTGTAGGGAGTTCGTCCCACCATCCCTCAGAAGCTATGCTGATTCCCACGAAGCAACCTCGCCCAGGCGCGTCTTGCTGGACTTGAGGCAGACTTGGGCCTGGTTGGAACCCAATTTAACACGTGCACATCAATCTTGTTCGTGGGCTATCTCGTCATGGTAAGTATCGGCACCACACTTACTAGCACCTTTGGGCCACGTTCTTACACGTATACAGCAACTCCCGTCCAACCTCATTCTTACTCGGGTAAAACCATCAATCTACCTGCCGTGAGTACTCCCTTCTCTCCTAGTGGCCCTTCCCCCTTCGTTAACAATGAAACTCAGTGCTGGTATGTTCCTCTGGGGCGGTATCAGCGCGGCCCAAGCTGGCGTGAATAGCTACGGCGGTCTGTTCGCCTGCCGTTTCTTGCTTGGATTTGCAGAGGCACCCTACTTCCCCGGGTAAGTTTCAAATTGCAATTATGAGACGATTTCTCACTCTGAAGCCCCTTTTCAGAGCGGTCTTCTTGATGTCGACTTGGTATACACGAAGCGAGCTTTCCAAGCGCTATGCAGCTTTTTACGCCGGACCAGCCTTGGCCAATATGTTCGGTGGCCTGATCGCTGCGGGCGTGCTCAATTCCTTGGAAGGTCATGCGGGCCTTCGAGCTTGGCGCTGGCTGTACGTGATCGAAAGTGTCGTTACCGTTGGCCTGGCAGTGATTGCCTTGTAAGCATATACGGCTAAATGAGATTCCTATTCCTATAAGTCTAACACACACAACGCAGTTTCGTGCTGCCCGACTTCCCACAGAGTACCAAATGGTTATCCGACGAAGAGCGGGCATATGCCATGTGGAGAATTGCCAACGACATCGGAGAAGAAGAAGAAGACACCAAGGAGCCAACAATGATGCAAGCCGTCTGGCTTGCCGTTTCCGACTACCGCACATGGATGTTCGTTGCCATGCAGCATTGTGTCTTGTTGGCGCAGACTGTCACGTTTTTCTTCCCGAGTATTGTTCAAACTCTGGGATATGACAGTGTTACCAGTAAGTGTATTTCCCATACTATCTGAGCTTGAGCTGACAGCTCCCTCAGCGCTGCTCCTGACGTGCCCCGTCTGGGTGGCAACCTTCATCGCGACCATGCTGAACGCTTACTCGGCATCCCGATACAAGGAGCGCTGTCTCCACATCGTTATCCCGATGTGTGTCACCATCGTTGGCAACGTCATGGTTATAACTGTCACGGCGCGCGGTCCACGGTTCTTCGCTATGTTCCTCATGGCAATGGGTGCGCAGTGCTGCTTCATGGTTGTTCTTACTTGGATATCGAACACTTTCCCACGCCCGTTGAGTAAACGTGCTGCGATTATCGCCATTGTCAACCTAATCGGGAACGCATCGAACATCTACGGGAGCTACCTTTATCCGTCTACGGCTGCCCCTATGTACGTCAACGCAGGAGCCACAGTCGGTAAGTCAATACTCGTCCCCTTTTTGAAAACCCCAAAGTTCTCTAATATTTTGTTCTAGCTGTTCTGAGTTTTGTTTGCATTCTCCTGGCCATTGTCATGCGATTCGCTCTCAAGCACGAGAATAAAAAGATCGGTGCCATGGCTGTACATCCCGAACATGATTATCACCAAGATCCGGCAAATGCCGTGGATAGGTACAAAGGGGACCAGCAGAGGATGGTGCTTTACCAGAGACAGTTCAGATATATGTATTAGCAAGCACATTGTATACATATAATCTTTTGACCCCTTGTATCAAGTCAAACATGGACCATATCCTTGGTGGTCAAAGTCTGGTCTGATGTGTTTTAATCATGTAAAGAAACTCACAGTGCGACTGTTATTGTCAATTTGGCGGGAGCCTGGTCTGTAGGTTGACTCCGTATAACGGCCCATGAGTACGACGCTGTCTGCCCTGGAGAGACTAGGACCGAAACTATTTCAGCCTCACTACTATCCTGGGTTTCTCTCTGCGAGGACGGTTAGTATCGAACATGCTTGCATAAGGAGATCGAATTTTGATAACCTAACTGCGCATGTTTCTAGGTTCGGTTCATTTCCTTGGTTATACCTTGACCTTGGCTAGTTGGAAGTGGCCGAAGAGTAGGTGAACGAAACGGCGGGATTATAACCGAGTTGGAGTGGTGCCTCTGGCCTCGATGTGACAATAAACCTATTATCATTGGCTGACTGGTTGGATGAGTAATTTCTAGGACACCAGTATACAATCTGACGTTATTGCATCTCTATTTTCTCATAGCGATATGCAATGATGTGTTGAACTAAATTTCGCACCCCTGTAGTTTGGATTCCTCCTAGGACTTGAGTGATTTCTACTGGAGATCTAGGTCTTCTGAATCTTGGAAAATGCCTTTGATCGTTTGGCCTAGCAGTAGCAGTGAGTAAGTATAACCAATCTATACGATCGACCTATCAGGGAAGCTCACGAAAATGTAACATCCTCGATGCCTATATTGTCAAGTCAAAAATCCTTGATGCTGAAGGAATCGTCTGTTGGTGGTGCTGGGTGAGCAGCGCAACGGGCACCTCGTCGACCTCTTCGCAATGGGACGGGGTGAAATCTCGGTGGAGTTTTTGGCGGCAACCTTCGCACACGACCACCGACATGCTTCGGAGGCAGTATGAGTAGCTGTCTGGGTCTTTGCAATATGAGTCGGGGGCCGTCGTCAATGGGCTGGCACCACAAGCGGCTGCGAAGGTGGTGATCAGGATGGTGATTAACGAAATGAGCATATTGACTAACGAGGTACGATTTTGCGATTGGTTTAGTTGATCAAGATTGCCATATTGATGGCGGAAAAGATATTGGTGGGACGGTATTGACTGGAGAGCAGTGGAATGAAATGTCGGATGCGCAAACTCGTCTCCAAAGTCTGAGATGAAGGAGCGGGATAGCCTCGACCAGACGATCCTATAACACCTTTCGGGACTCGTACATGACATCTTAGAGCTAGGGGCTGAGCCTGAAATCCTTCATAATGCCCGAAATCTGCTACTGCTTAGCCTGATTCGAAAGGAGTTCGATGAGCTGTTTTACCAAGCCGAACAGTTCGACACTATTTGTAACCTCGAACACAAGAGGATCCATACAAAAACCAATGTTCAGGGTAAAGACGGGTTGACGTCGTACCACTTATCCCCGGGCATGATATACTCCAGACGTTGAGGGCGCGTCAGCGAAGTTTTCGAAGAGATTGGAGTAGAAAATACGTTTTCACTGCAGAGCATCACCCGCCGGCCAGCGACTCTGGTTCCCCTGTGCCGACGACGTAGTTCGACTTTTTGGTCAGCCAAAAGTTGTAAACTGGAGGAGCTCAAGCATGTAAAAATCAAGATGCATTTAAGTCGCTTCCTGAAAACCCTGCGTGCAGAGCATGAGAAGTGCTCTGTAACCCCAAGCTGATCAGAGGAAATAAAATAGACCGTTACACAAGAAAACGCCCCGAAGATTCTTGTTGGCCACGACACTGCGACCTGTGTACATTGTCTGGTCACGCTTGAATATTCAGACGCGGGTGGCCTGACGAGCTGTTGATCGCTTTTGCTGTGGTGCTAGTGGGCAGGGGACTTTGAAGCCTGAGTTGATTGGAAGAACATCCGGGCTCTTGGTGGGTGGTGTGTTGTACAGGACAGTCATGGGACGGATTTGAGGGCTGCGAAACGGCCGGCATGTGTCTTCATTTTGCCCGACTTGAAATTTTCTTTCTCTGATTATGGCGTCACCATGCTGTTGTCATAATTACGCGGAGGACGGCTTGGGACTGGGAGAATTGCGATCCACATAGGAATTGCCGTCGAAACAGGTCCCAACAAAATAGCGCCGATAAATTCAAAATTGTCTCAGCGTGTCCCGAGGCAGGGATGCTCTATCCCCTGATTCTTTCCGCTGTTGAGAGGGGGCAACATTATCATAGCAGATTTGGAGTGAAAACACACGAACACACCGAGGCCCGTTGGGATGTCTTGGATTAGCGACTGGGTCTGAAGTAAGAGTCTGTGCATTAGAGTTTGCAAGTGGGAGGATGGCCCCGTCACCACCATTGAGGATCCACGTGGCACTGCGGGAGTTAAATCTCAACGCTAAAACATCTGGAGGCTTGGATCCACATCTTATTAGTGGGTCGAAGAAAGCCTGACGTATCTATCTTTGAGTAGCAGCCGTCTTGTTGCACACACACACTCAAGAGCCTGCAATTGTCAAATGAAGAACTATCATGCCCGAATGGGTCGAGATGACACATAAATAGCCAGGCAGCATCGTATTCCCTGCAGTTATGTATGTACCTGAGTGCCGAATTGGTGCGTAGCAAGCTTCTGCCGGCCCCTCGGCTGGAACGAGCTAATCAGGTCGACTGGGCTAGATGAACATGCGCTCTATATTTCCGCCTCAAACACGATAGAAGGGCCATCCGACCTTGAGCTGTCATCCAATGAAAATAACGCTTGTCGACATAGCAAGGAGATGGTAGTGTGGGAAGTTGGGGCCTCAGCGGTGGAGGGGTACGAGGCAGGCAGGCAGGCAGGCAGGCACGCATTGCACTGTTTAGGGACCGCCGAGGTGGTGGGAAAACGGCTGTAGGTCCGAAAGCTTGTCACTGACATACAGATGTTGGTTGGTCATATGACTCGCTGCCTGCTGCACCCCATCTATTCTATTATCCCTTACTGCCTCCCGCTCTAGTATGGTGTACCTGTTTGGTCCTTCGCTATCAGACGATCCTGACAGTCGATCAACCTATCAACCTCGAATTACCGCTTCCGTCCCCCTTGTCACTTCACCGCCGCTCACTTTCCACAATTTCGGGCACTGCACGACTCTTGCAGGTTGCTGCTATTTTAGCGAGCCGCCTAATGTTTCATCATCATTCAAGATGCATCACGCGTAAACGCACACACCGCATGTCTTGTTACGGTCTTGATGCATGGGCTTTCTATATTTCTACATCCTTGGAGCCTCAGTTTTATCGTAGTCGTCCCATTTGCATATAATGATGAAGCTACTTGTCTGAATTAGGATGCTTTGATATCGCGCTGCTTATCCATTCTTGCCACCCGAACAGAACATTTAGCCTTTCTATTGAAGAGCTCTATGTACAAATTCAGAGAGCGTGGAAAGAATTTCCAGAAAACTGTTGGTTGACACCATGCGCACGACATGTCCAGCATATGCGCCAATCGAGCAAAGTTAGTTTTATGGAGAAGGTAAATTCCTGGACTTGTAGCTCCACATTTGCTCTAGATCTCCACTTCTAGGAAAACAGTTTAATCTCGGCCGTGCGCACGGTGTTTACATATGTATCGTACCCCCCGTCGACTCGAGGGCCCGAAGAGAGATTGTACCTCCTGGTGACTAATTCTACCTACCCCCATCACCTGCAATCTACGTAAGCTACAGGCGGTTATTGATCAAAGTGGAGAACGTTCTGGGTACTAAAATATACTAGAGAAATGGGTGTAGATAGATGTACATGCACTTGTCTCAATTTGGATTTGTATTTCTTAGCACGTACTTAACTAACAATCAGAATCCCCGTGAAGGTGTAGTCTTCTACGTAGCTCGCTCAAATGCGTCACTTTGTAAAAGTAGATAAAAAATTAACCGGGAACGTATGTAGTTGGCCAAGGTCATTTTATTCTCCATCGAATAGAGGAATATTCATGATGTGTTCACACCTGGCCTACAACGTCTTCAGTTCCGTATTACAAATTTCTCCAGTTCCACACACACTTGTCCAGCGACGTTACCACGACGGCAGTCCTACATAAACGAGGAAAAGGCCGAGGGCAGGATGGGCAGAGCCTCGACCACGATGTTTGACAGCAGCTCATTCATGCGACAGGTTTCCGCCTCAAAGTACCCAGCAGTGAGTTGCTGACAGTGCGAGTGAGAACGGGCGCACTATACAAACCCCTGCTCAAAAATCCCTGCACAAACCAAGAGGGAGGGGTGCGGCAACACGGATGACACACCTTAACCATGAGTGTGAGTGGGGAGCGGCGTAGCTCCAGTAATCCCTGCTCAAACGAAGAGGGAGGGTTGCGGCAGCATTGACCATATGAAGTATGGCGAAGGTCAAGTACTCGGGGCGCCCTCCCTGATAGGTTGCCTTACCATAGTCCAGGTCCTCGGTCAACACCCGCTGAGGGCAGCAAGGGAAAAATTACGTTACTAGTATACAAGTGACAACGAACGGTGGTCGAGACTTCGCCACTCGGTGGTTGATTGACCTAATCCCTTGATAACGAAATTCAGTCTTGCAATCCATTTCGCTAAGCGCAAAGCCGTTGATGCTGTTGAGGCTCCAAAAGGTGCTTCTCAACCAGTACCCTGTACTGACCTAACGAGGCGCACATATTGCTATCAGCCACAAACCGTGCAAACAGAACCCTGACTTAGCTGTCCTGCACATCATATATCATAATGTTGCGAGGGTCGCACAAGCCATTGGATACTATCCTAATAGCTATCCTATAAAATAGAGCTGCCCTCTTGTTCGCCAAAACTTTTAGCAATGCGACTCGCCATACGTACAATAGCAGTATCACGTTCTCCTATATTAAGCTTAAAACTGCTGTATCCCCGAGCTATTCATAGTCAAAAGGATTGTTTCATGAATTGCTTTACCAACCCAAGATTTACCCAGAAAGCACATACGCTGCGTAGAGTTCTCACATCACACAATTACTAGCATCTGCGCGTCCAGTGCCCAGCAAGTCGACCTCTTAATATCTCTTACCAAGTTTGTTCCGATCTACCTCTTACAACATCTCGCCAATTTCTTCGTACACATCGACAATCGCATGACAGCAGTCTCTGTAGTGAGATCTGCACCAAGAGTCGTGGAGGCAGCTGTTCCAAGCCCATCACTCTACTAGCAACAGCAATGGCATCAATCCGCTTGGACGAGGCCGTTCAAGAATCTGCAATGTATGTTTTGCAAGGTTTCACTGCTGACCTTGATCTCATCTCGCATGATCCTGGTCATGTTACGTCGCTTTGCGTCGTTGGGTGATCAACTGACCCAACATTGCACGAGGAAGTCATGAATCTCTTCCTACAGCAAGACGGCGACATGCCTTCCCGCTTTGTTGCGTTCGGAGAATCGTCTCCCCAATCGGGGGCTCATATTCGCAACCATTCTGAACTCATCCAGCAGGCGGACCGCATGAATCTTAGCCCGCAGAGCAACGACGGCACCAATCGGGGCACAAGTGGCTGGCGTCGCAGACGTCGGCAGTGTGAAGGCAGGCGGCCGAGCCCAAAATATCATGGACGACGTCAGAGGGGCTGGGGCTCGCTTCGACGGTGGCGGTCCGTAGGGAGCGGTGATGCGTTCCGTGTCGTCGACTCCGGACAGTCTAAAGATAACAGAAGTCCTGGATAACAATACCCCTACTTGTAGCGCATGGTGAAGGTGCCACTAGGGAGGCAGTCTCTTCGAGACTGTTTTGTCGCATTGTTCCCAAGTTGCACCTTCGTTCCTGGATACCATCCCGAGTACCTAACCAAGTACCTGCGAGTAGAGCTAACTGTAATTGATGAAGTCATAGTTCGGAGTTCGGGTTAACTCGTTGACGTCCGGGACTTGAGAACATGAGGGGATGAGGAGGTGGTTGATTGATGATGGCGATGACGAGCGCACCGATACTTTTGGGACATGTCGGATGGTGAGGAGCAATAGGATCTCCTTGGAAAGCGCGTCGCGAATGGAGAAAGGACCTACATTATGTAAGTAAGTTGACAGGGGACTAGGGGATTGCTACTGATCAGGGGTTCCTGGGCGAAGAGATGTGGGGTTGCTAGACCCACTACGGGAAGTTTAAATGGCACGGAGAGCTATGGTGGTGGCCCCATGTGGGGAGGGAAACGTTTGTTTGTACAGTTAAAGGGTATTATACACATTCTGGACATTATGTTTCTGCCATATAGGATCGCATTCAGGGCACGTTTAGGGAAAAAAAGTCTGAGAATATCCGAAAATAAGGTACGTACCCCATACCCTAACAATACCTACTATACGCCCCGAATCCCCTTTAAACTGTCCTGCAAGTAGAAATGTCCGGAAGGCATATGCGCCTACTCGAATCCAGTTACCCATGATAACTTGCAGCGGGCCCCAGATAATCATGCAGTTATCGGGAAAAATACAGTATAAGGGTTATACACTTTCAGAGACCACTAATGTACGAGTAACTAGACCAAACCTATATGCACAGAGAGCGTCTTGCGCATTAGAGCAGTTGGCAGAGCTGCGCAAGCTGCGCATGTCCGCTCCACTTCTAGTTCCTTGTCCTTGGCCGAGTAAGGCATCTGGAGCCATTCATCGCAACACAACATCTCGATCTCAATATGTGTGCGCGCGCATTTCTTTGACTACCAGGAACAATTCCCAATAAAGTTGGTAGCAAG